CCGATCTTATTTGACTTTATTTTATCCCTTTTATTTTATTCTATTTTACTAATTTTATATTTATCTTAAACATGTATTTATATTTTCATGCTTTTATTAGGGCCTGAGCACGAAGCGTGCGAGGTCCCTATTGAAACTGTAAAGATTTTTTGTATTTTTCTTTTTTCTGCAAAGTAAGCTCAATTTTGGCGGCCTAAACATACTCGAAAACTCACCAAATTTTGCACACATGTCAGAAGTGGTGAAAAACTTTGTATTTTATAGGTTTCACGCATGGGCGTGGCAAAATGACTCGCTAGCGGCACCTAGAAAATTGGAACAAACTGTCCTGGCCCGACGACATCTACACGCCAATATTAATTTATATTCATAGCGCCGAGTACTATGTAGCACCACAAAGGGGACACAGGAAGTGACGTCTAACACCTTCGTGCAGCATCGGAAGCAAGTGGAAAATACACAGCCGTGCAAGCAGAGCTCCACAATATGCAACACGGCTGCCAAACGCCCTGATGCTGGCCAACGCTGCTTGCAGCTTTAATTTACGTGACATTTACATCTGCTCATATGGCAGGCGCTTTTATCCAAAGCGACTCACTTTTGAAGAACAACATACAAGCATCAACAAAGCATCAAATACAGCACGAGAACTGCAACTGACAATACATACTAGTAAGAGCCAGCTTCGGGTGCTGCACAAACATGTTAATCATCACTTCCTGTTTCCCCTTTGTGGTGCAACATAGCGCTACATAGCACTATAAAGGTGGCGCTATGACTGTGGGTGAATGTCGGCATGTACGTGTGTTCATGGCGGGACTCTTAATAGACGTGTAAAATTTGGTAGAGATCTGAGCATGTATAGTTGAGTTACAACAACTTCCTGTGTCGTGGCAAAGTGTGGAACTTTGCCGCCACGCCACCCTCACGCTACTTACTGCAAACTCACAAGTTTTACAACATGGCTTCATCAATGTGTTTAGGGCTTTCTGGGAAAGTTCTGAAGTTGATATGTCCAACGTGCTAGGAGCAGTACATTACAGCGTAAAACGTGTCATTTCCTGTTGCCAGCAAGTGGCGCTATGGCTTTGAGTGAATATTGGCATATGGGTGTGTTCAGGGCGCAACTGTAGGGGGTGCTAGTAAGCCATTTTTCCACGTCCATGCGCGAAACACATAAAATACAAAATTTTTCGCCACTCCTGAATTTTATGCAAAGTTTGGTTTCGGTTTCAGTTTTGGTTTCGAATATGTTTAGGCCCCCAAAATTGAGGTTACTTTGCAGAAAGAAAAAGTGTAGTGATGGTACGCTTGGTAAGACCATCAGTGCATGATCTGCATCAGATGCTTGGGACTGACACCTGAGAGATTATGATGGTATGATTTTTGTATTACTCAGGGGAACCACTAGTTTTGTGTTTTCTTATATTGATCTCTGATGTATTTTATAGGTAGAAGTTTATATGTTGGTTTATCATTTATTAAACTAGACCTGATGTGTGTGTTTTTTGGAGAGGTGCAGAAACAGGGGGTCTCTGCATGATCAGATAAAGAGACTTGAACAATGGGTAAAGGGTGGTTTGGAACGTGGTAACAAAACATCTCTTCTCCAAGATATCTCATTTCAGGAACTACGCTCGTAATCTGCCCAGCAACAGCACGGTGATTCGTGGAGCCCGATGACAAACATTGGGGTCAGAGGATGTGGGCCAATCATGGACTGACCTACACTTTTGTTTTATTGTTTTATGACATGACGATGTATCCTAAAACACTGGGTCAGGGAGAGATAACCAGTCAGATTTCATGAACTGATACAGCTTGTTGTTTGTCAGAGAAAGGAAGATCGACCCAGAGCTCTGTAAGCTTTATTCATTTACTTGTAATAAAACTGATTAACTTGGACCAAAAACATCTTCTCCTGTTGCTTCATGAAAGAACACGCAGGACCAAGGACTACACATAGTTTAAAAAAGGGTAATTTAAAGTCATGGTCCAACATGCCGCAGTAGGATGAATGGTAGCTCAGATCCTGGAGGAGTGACCGAAGTAATAGATGGGAGAAATGCGTTATGAAAGACTACTTTGACAGAACTGCTGGTAGAACCGGAATAGAGTAGCTACTAAACCGGTTTTGGACGATCTGACATGGTTGTGCGCTGGGATTCCTTATAGTTCACAAGGGTTTTAAAGGGTTCAGAGATGACTGGACTTCGGAGAAAAAGATGAACGTAAGCTGGCCCGATTGACTGGACTTTGGATCGCTTTGGTAGAAAGCAGTGTTGTTTGAGGAATGACTGAATTGCGCACATGACGCCGAAGGTCAAGCAAAGAGAAGATGCAGTGAAATGAAATGTCTAAGGTTCAAGTCAAGTGAGGGATGCTGTAACCAGCGCAGATGGTGTGGAAGCAGATGGACATTGAGTCTGCTGTAAGAGGAAGGCTGCAGGGGTCTTGAGATGGCTTTTGACATTGAAGACCTCTAAGAATTTGGGTTATCTGAGAATGCGTTTTGAAGTTTGGAAAGGAAGCCAGTGCTTTCGCTAAGATGGACTTCAGTGGGGTGTGTTTTGTAGCCACTGTGGACGTGTTGATGAAATAAGACGTAGTGACGAGATGGATGACAGGGAGGTCATGTTGTGCTAGTTGTGACAGTGGCTGAATTCTTCGAAGCTGGCCTGTAACCCGAGAGAGGGCTATGCTGTTGGTAGTAGTTTCGGGGACCATTCTGCTGTGATTAGTCTTCTTTGTAGAATCCCCAAAAACCTGCACAATATGTGGCAACGGTGTATGATTGGTATCCCGGGGTGACACGGTTGTTCGTCCAATCCCAATTGGCGAAGATTGAGCCAAAGCGAGGAGGAATTGGTGATGAAATGCTGATTGGATAAGCTTTCAGTCCAGAGTACAGTGTGAAACAGATTGTGTCGAGAGAGAATCCTAGAAATCTTGGGTCATGGGAAGACCTGCTGTTTCTCTGCAGACCTTCAAACCCGGAGGTTGGAGAATACTGGAGAGCTTGGCTCGGCGGCAATGGATGAGACCGGGTACCACTTGGGGGCATGGTAGAGTTGCGTGGTTGTTTGGTCCCTGATTACACCACTGAAGCAAGCTGTGGCTTGGAAGCAGTGTGGATGTGGATTTTTGGTAAAACCATGCCTCTGACTTTGGGAACTGATCTAGAATAATGGCCATGTAATCGTCTTAGTGTATGGAGAAAGTATATGCAAACATTTCAGGAGTGAGTTCTCTCAACCGGGTGGATGTTCTACCTTTCGGGTAGAGGTGCCCTTCAAGGGCTCTTTTAGTAGGCATTTAGTGAGGAAAAGGCGTGATAAGAAGAACAAGATATCATGTAGTCTACGATGTGTTTGAGTAGACTAGTGAGCTGAAGAACAGGCGATGAAAGACCTAGGATGACGAGTAAGAGGATTAGCTGAGGGCGGCGTAATAGGTTAAGAGGAAGACCGAAATTAGAAATGGAAATAACTTGGTGCTGCTAGGGCTGTGGAGGAAAGCTGGGTGCCAGTGCCGGAGGTTCTAGCTGTAGTTTCTGGACTGGTAAATATAAGATGCTGGAGATCCTGGCATCCCGGTGCCAGAATCCCAGACTAGAGCGACCTGCAGAGATTGATGGATGTGATCTACAAGCGGTTTTTGCATCCCAGCTGCCTAATGACCCGACTAAAGCTAAGCTGAAACGGTTTCCAACAACGAATTGGATGGTTCTGTGTAACGAACTGACTGACACAGTCAGGTTAGTGATGACTGAGAGTGAGTGGCAAAAGTGCCAAAGCCCCTTCATTTTGAAACAACTGTTCAGTCAGAACAATTTTAGTTTAAAATGACATCAGTTTGGAATGACTTGCTTTGAAGCGACTGTTCAATCTAAATGACCTTCCCTTGAGACAACATTAGCTCGAAACGACATGGTTTAAAACGAATGGAAACAACCGTTAGCTGGATGTTAGCTTGAAACGATTGTTAGCTTGAAATGATTGTTCACTCGAAACACTGTTCGCTCGAAACTACTGTTAGCTGGAGGTTAGCTCAAAACTACTGTTATCTGGAGGTTAGCTCAAAACTACTGTTATCTGGAGGTTAGCTCAAAACTACTGTTAGCTCGATGATAGCTTGAAACAAATGTTAGCTTGAAACTAGTTTTGCTTGAAAGACTAGGAAACAAATGTTAGCTTGAATGACTTTAGCTCAAACCGAATTAGCTAGAAGACGACTGCATGGAATGACTTAGCTGGAAAATAGCTGGTTTGTGTCTAGATTGTTTGTGAAGACTGATTCGGGACCTTGCTGGTGCGGGATAACGCTGTGATCAGCTGTTTGACGAGATGCGAAGGATTCTTCGGGTGCAATGTTTCTGTTTGCTGAGGAGAGTGGACCGTGGAAGGCGGATGGCGTTAAAGCTGGACTCACCCGCTCCCCGCCTGACTTTAGGATTGTAGAAAGCGGGGCCTCAAGCGTGGAGATGGAGGAGAGAATTGTCAGCAGTGACGTCAGTGATGTGTGGTCCCGCTCCTGAAACTCTGCTGGTAGCACCACTAGTTGACACAATGGAATTCATAACACCACCCTAAATTAATGACTATATGAAGTGGTGCCTGTGCGTCTACTTCTAACACACTATATAGTATGAGAACTGGCAGTATTAGACAGACCAAGTACAAATACAAGCAGCCTGTTCTAGGGCTGGTTCTGAGGAAATGTGTTTTGGAGCGGCATTAGCTCAGTTAGCTAGCTCTGTTAGTACTTGGCTTGGAAACCGCTGGGTTGCCAGATCGAGTCCAGCATGACCCATGGGTCCCCAGGCGCCATTTGATGGCAGCCCACTGCTCCTAAATAGGATGGATTAAATGCAGAGAACAAATATCCCCTTCCCCATCCGTCTTTAGCTCATCATCTCCAGCATGATAACTGTGACTAATCACAATATATCGGGGCCACAGAGGGTTTGTTGGTAAAGAAGGGCGTGTGTGTGATGTGAAGCGTGCCCTCATGATCAACGCACCTGAGGGCAGTTTGGTCACACCTTCCCCTCCAGGTTGATAAACTCCTCCGTTGATCAGCAGACACAGTTGGTAGAGTCGCACCATGGAGGTCAAACTGTTGGTTTGTGGCGTCGTGCTCGTGGTCTTAGCGGTTACAGGTGAGTGCTTTTAAATATTGTCTCAGTTGATCACCTAAATTATTTTGAGTTCATAATGAAAATAAATCTGGATGGAAGAGATTGACTCTTATCTAGTTATAGTAAAATCAGACACTTTGTTTATATTCCTGTATGTTGATGTGTTTATCGGGGTTTTCCTCTCTTGACACGGCGTTATCTGTTCACACAGGTGAGGTAAAGTAAGAAGGAACTTCAGTGCCAGCAGCAACAAGCAGAAATATTTGAATAACCAGAACAAGCAGTGTGACTCTGTGTGTTGACAGGAGACTGATTCACAGTTTTGTTAGATTAACAAATTAATAAATTGCAACTGTGTATTTTTCTGTAATAAAATAATTAGTTTACTTAATTACAGTTACTCAGAAATTGAAATAAGTTACTTACTACTTTAAAAAGTAATAATATTACTAGTGCTGTGTAATGATTAAAAATTGTAATCATGATCACATAGTTATGCACAAAACTGAATAATGAATTCTAAAGTGTATTGTGCAGCTTTAATTTAAATGTACTGCTATATACACAAAAGTGCAATAATGTGGTTTCCAAACACTTTAAACAAATAAGGTGCTTTTTACCAGCAGTGTTCCCTTTACACAGCAGCAATAAAATATTTCTTGTAAGTCTCAACATGACCTTTTATCTAGCTTGTTAAAACAAGTTACCATCCTGTTTTCTTGTTTTTTTTCTGAGCAGGTATCAGCAACACGTATCATTTATCAGGGAGCAGCAGAAACGGTCTGTGTTCAGCAGCAAGAGTCCCTGTTAGGCAAGAATTATACTTTCCGCATTTGCGATTACACGAGGGTCCCCTAGGGTCCCCTAGGGTCCGCGTGACGAAAAAAATTGTCATCAGAGGGGGTACGCGTAGGGTCTGCGCGTGAGTTTAAGAGGCTGCAAGGGCTCAAAGTGCTGTAAACAGGAACGGGACAGCACTTTATCACCTTGTCACGCCTGATTGAAAGTCCTGCAGGCTCTCGCCCTACAGAGTGGAGGAGAGGTAAATGTCAATATATATTTGTCAATAATCAATGCATTAATGTTAGTAAAAACAGCATCATTAAGCAAAAACTACAATAAATAGTTGAATAAACTAAGTGTTTAATAAGGTGATTGCATTCCTCTGACTTCATGCGTTCTATGTACCATCTTAAGTTAGGAAAACTTTCAACAATTGTGAGTTTGTGTGCAGTGTGTAGCTATCCACTTTGCTATGTGATCTGACCGTAGTGCGAGCTGACAAACAGTGAGTGGAAGTAACCTGCGCCCCTGAATATCCTTCCTCGCTACCCTTCCATATTCTGTAACCAGAAGTCTGGTGGGGACAGAGAAACAAACAGGGTCCTGAAGGTAACCCTGTTACACTCGGATTAGTAACTGTAATAATATTACTGATTTGAAAAAGTTGTTACAATGCTAGTTACTGGGAAAAGTAATATTATTAAAGTAACACATTACTCAGTGACGCGTTACTGCCCAAAACTGCTTTATTATAGACAGAACAGTCAAAAATGACTCAAGTTTCTCAGGAACACAGGAAAAACTGCTTGGTTTTGTTCTCAAAAAATGTACAGGTGCATCTCAGAAAATTAGAACATTGTGAAAAAGTACATTTTTCCCCCCAAATTTAATTCAAAAATAGAAATTTTCATATATTTTAGATTCATTACTTATAAAGTGAAATATTTCAGGCCTTTTTTGTTTTAATCTTGACGATTATGGCTCACGGAAATCAAAAATCCACTTTCTCAAAATATCAGAATATTAGAATAAAGAATTTATAATACTGAAATGTCAACCTGAGAAGAGCCTCTATTCTCTCAGTCTGGTTCAGTTCACACAACCACAGTCATGGGGAAAACTTCTGACTTGACAGTTGTCTCATTGACAAGCATCAGAAGGTCAGTGCATCAAGAGCCACCAGGCACAGATGTGCTACTCATTCCTGTCACCGGACATGAAACCCCATCGAGAATCTATGTGGTATTGTCAAGAGGAAAATGAGAGACACCAGACTAATAATACAGACAAGCTGAAGGCTGCTATCAAAGCAACCTGGGCCTCAGCAGTGCTACGGGCTGATGTCTCCATGCCACGCTGCACTGATGCAGTAATCCACGCAAAAAGAGCCCCGACCAAGTACCGAGTGCATAAATTAATCTTATTCAGAACTTTTCAACTTCTCAGAAGGTCAACATTTGTGTATTATACATTTTTTATTCTAATATTTTGAGATATGGACTTGAAAATCTTAATATTATTTTGAATGAAATTACGAGGAAAAAATAACTTTAACAAAATATTCTAATTTTCTGAGATGCACCTGTAAATATGGCTGTCAAAACCATTTTAGATTCATGTAGAGATCATCAAAGGACTTCAAACATGCGGACAGTTTCCTGTAAGTGACTAAATGTATTGTTATTTGTTTCTCCTACAGGAAGCAACGCACAGTTAGATGGTGAGTTCTATCCTATATATACATACACCTTTATTTAGTCATTTCATTTATTTTTTTCTTACAAGTTCAAAACAGTCTTTAAACCCTCAACATTAATCCAGTCCAGGTTTGTTAGTGTCACGTTTGAAGCTTCCCACAGAAGTTTGTTAAATTGTGATGAAGTGTGGTTCAGATTTTCATGTTCCCCTCAGGATGAGTCCCAGTAACTTTGATTTGCAGCTCGATGAAATCAGGTCGGCTGAGTAAGTGAACTCTTATTAAAAGATTATAAAACTTTTATAGGAGAGCCTTTCTGGATTTTACTTGACTTTATTTTAATTTTATTTGACCTGTATTTTAATTCCTTAAAATTGTTTTCTTGTTTATTCGGTTTTATCTTGAAACTTGATCTCTGCCCCATAAAGATTTGGAGAAATGCTCTATAAATAAAGATTATTATTAAAAGATAAAAAGCTGACACCTGCTGCTAACAGTAGCATGTTAGCATGCCGCTGGAAGCACAGCAGATAGTGATGTGAAATTCAGAGGTTTTCTATCCAAGTTTCGGACAAAACGTTAGATGAAAAGTCAGAGGATCACCAAAGTTACTAAGTCATCCTGAGGATGGTCTGAACCACACTTCATCACAATCCATCCCATAGTTGTTGAGATATCCAGACCAATGAGCTGGACAGACAGACCGACCATGATCATCTTTAGAGCCGAGCTCAACAAGTCCACAGAGATGATAGGACCCTGAGAGAAACAACACAGTAAACAAAGTGGACACAAAAACCTGAATATACATGAATTCTGATTGTTTCCCTCCAGTTTGTGGCACTGCGCCGCTCAACACCAGGATCGTAGGAGGGGCGAATGCTCCTGCAGGGTCGTGGCCCTGGATGGTCAGTCTGCAGTACGAAGGATTTCATTTCTGTGGAGGCTCCCTGATCAGTAACCAGTGGGTCCTGACTGCTGCTCACTGTGTCAGCAGGTGAGCTCTGATCCTGTCACATGACTTCACCTGTACAATCACAGTGAGCTTGTATTGCAACAAAGAAAAATTACAATCAGGGTGCCGCAGTAAACCACATTAAAACCATTTTTTCTTTGTGCTGTTAGTAATAGTCAGACACCATTACAGCTGTTTCATGTCAGCTGAGATCTTTATTGTTCCATAAGAGATTTTTTTTTGCAGCAATAAAAAACAAAATAAGCACAATAAGTCAAGTGAAGACGCTGCTGCTCAGAGGGAGCCAAGTCCCTCTCTTTCTGCCCACTGGGACCTTATTTCAGAAAAATATGCAGCCTGTGGTAGTCAAGAACCATGTTTTTCATCCTGTTTGAATTGTGTCCTGAATTACACACATGATGTTTTGTAAATTTAAAAGATAATTTTGTCAGTCGAGAAAGTTGCACTTTGTAGTAAAACAGTAACATTTAGATTTGTGTGAAACCGCTCAATGAACTACATCTCGTCTCGCACAGTATACCAATATCACTTATTCATCAATTGTTTAAAGATAGTTTATTCTACAATTCATGCAGACACCACCATCAGTATCCGTCATATATTTGTCTTTTTTGCTTCTCAGCTTCACACCCAATCTCACCGTTAACCTCGGCCGTGACACCCTGACCTTGTTGAATACAAACGCGATGTCCCAGACTGTGTCCCAGATCATCCTGCATCCCAACTATGTTCAAGCCATTTTGAAAAACGACATAGCCTTGCTGAAGCTGTCCTCACCTGTTAACTTCACCAACTACATCAGACCCGTGTGTCTGGCGGCGAACGGCAGCATCTTTAATCCTGGGACGACCTGCTGGGTCACCGGATGGGGGAACATCCAAACTTACAGTAAGGATTTAAATTAATTTGACAATCATTTTTTTTAAAAATGTGTTAATAGTGAATGTGGTGTTTTCCCAAACCACAACAAGATATTGTAATTGGATCATGGCAGTCTGGAGACCCTGCTGTAGATCAGAGGCAGAAAATGGACAGATGGATATTTTCTATTACACTTGTACCGGTGATTTAAACAGGAGAGTTTCATGTCCATCCAAGACTTGAAGTGCTCAACTGTGTCTCACCAAACATCGTCTATGTGAAAGATGAACGGGATTTTTACTGCAGAAATAATTCCTGAAATAATTCCCACTACCTGTTCTGGTATCATGAGCTGAAAGGAGCGGTCCAAAGTGAGGAATCGTCCTGTACTGGTGTAGCTACGAGGTTAAAAAGTCCTGCTCTTCTGCCTATTCATCAAATGAAAGTAATCGCTCATTAGTTTACACTTTGGACTGACGTCTCACAGTCCTGTTTCAACAGGAAAACCATCAGATTATATTCCCCACAGGGAAGTAATTCTACCATTTCAAGAGACCTTTCAGGCAGGGATCCGCTGATTTGGGCTGCCCCAGGTCAAAATCAACAAAGCTGACTCAAAACTGAATAAGCCAGTTGATTTAAGTTTAGAGGAAAAGTATTTTTTTTCCCCTTACTGTCAGTCTGTCTCTCAACACTGTCTGACTTCCTGTCTGTTGCTCTCAGCTCCGAGCCCAAGACGTAAATCTTCACAGATATATAGTTTCATGTTTAAAAAGGTTCAGTAATTTCCTAAAACAGCTGCTCGCTGTAGTTTCTGTCAAACAAACAGGAGGAAATGGTGTATTTGTTGTTGCACAATTTTCAGTGGTGTATAAATCCAAATGTGGTGCTCTAGTGAGTATTTGGGGCAGCAAGACGGTTTTGTGGGCCCAAATCCCTTTGTCTTGTATATCTTAGCTGGACAAACCTTAACACAGAGGACAAGAGGGAAGGACTGCTGGACAACAACAAGATCAGGCTGTGAGACACACACTGTTGACACAAAGACAAAATAGAGACCCAGCATTATTATCTCTTTTCTTTTTCAGTTCCACTTCCTTCCCCAGAGAGGCTGCAGGAGGTGAGTCTTCCCATCGTGTCCAACAGTGAGTGTAGGGAGGTCTACGGTGGTATAGTCACAAACAACACAATCTGTACCGGTGTGACCCAGGGAGGAAAGGGCATCTGCTATGTGAGTCTGTCTGCAAAACACTCCTAGCACTAATAGATCTGTCTCTGGTGAATAAAAATGACAGCATTTCCCTCTGATAGAGGAAGGATGAAGTATAACAACCTGTCTGACGTCTGCAGGGGGATGGAGGAGGCCCGCTGGTGACTAAAATGGGCTCTGTCTGGGTCCAGGCTGGAGTGATGAGTTTTATATCAGCACTAGGCTGTGCCCTGCCTTATTACCCACAAGGCTACACCCGAGTGTCCGAGTATCAGTCCTGGATCAACAGCCAGATCAGCACCAACCAGCCGGGCTTCATCACCTTCACGGAGGACAGTTCAGCCTTTGGGAGCGGTACAACCTCTGGAGCCGCTCACCTGGTTCCCCTCTCGGTTCCTCTGCTGCTGTCCATCGTCCCTGTTCTCTTCTCCTTCTCTGTCCTTTCGTAGAAAGTTTAGGGATGATTTAATTCACCCTGCTAGAGTGAAAATCCCTCTCTCTCTCTGCCTCGTGGTCGCAAATTTTTTGCCTTTGGAGATTAATTTACTTTAAAATTAGCTAAAATTCTGTCCGTTTCCAGTTATTCTTGTGTTGAAGGAGTTTTGCAGAAAAGAGTCGACAGAGGAGAAGATAGAGATCAGAAACTTTATTATAATTTATTATATAATTTAAATTATATATTATATAATTTATTCATCATTTTGTCTGTTTGTTTAAAATGGCAGAAAATAGAAAAATGTCCTTTTAAAATGTCCACAGCCCGATGTAGTCAAAAAGATTTGGACCAACAGTCTAAAACCCAAAAATATTCAGTTCATCATCATGTAAATCCTCATCAGTGAAGCTGGAACCAGACAACTCTTTGCAATTTCTGTTTATAAAATTAACTATGAACAGTTAGTGAATCATTTTCTATTGATAAATGCATCTATCACCAATCCTGGAGCTTCTATTAACTTTGCTGAAAACCGGTGAAATAATTTTAACTCCTCGGTAGGATTTTCACTTTAGTGGAAACCTTTAACTTGTTGATGTCGACTGTTATGGCAGAAAATTGTGTCGTCTTACATTTAATCTTTTATGCCTGTTCTTTTATTATTACTACTATTATTGTTAAGGCTTATAGATATATGTATTGTGTTTTTATCCTTTACCTTTCCTTCTTCTATACTCCTTACGTTAGTCTGTCCACATTTACTAGGGTTTAGATCAGAGCTGTGAGATTGTTTAGTGTCTCCCCCACTTGTTCTTTTTCTCCTCTCCTTGAATGTTCATTCAAGGCCGAGAGAGGATCTCTGTTCCCCAAAACATAGAAACCTAAATAGTGTAAATGATTATGCATCCCTTTGCTCGGGGCCACTCTTCAACAAAACACCATCCTTCAGTTCTCTTAAATATATTTTAATATTCCCCCAAACCTCTACTCATTTGCCCTCATTTACTGACTTCCTGGTGATCAGAGGTGGCCATGGAGTACACAACTCATACTCCAGTACAAGTCATTTTTCCAGCAGCGTCAGATTAGCCGACACAATGATTACAAAATAATGTCAGCCATTAGGACAGTTAGAGTTGAGACTGCATTAAGGAAACTGTGCTACATAAACAATGTCTGTGAAGGTTCTCAGTCATAGTTATCCAAAGAAGGTTAAAGTCACAGGTAACTGGACTTTTAGTTAATAAACTGACCCATTTAAAAAAAAAAAAAGTTCATTTCAGAACTGAAGAAGTCTCTTGGATGAGAGAAAACATCTTCTAATATCTTCAACCAAGTCCAGGTGCCCGTGACTTTAACCTTCTTTGGATACATTCAAACAATGTCAACCAGCTTTGACACAGTTTTCTCCAGCAGTAGGTGACAGTCTGACTATATGATAGGGGTAATTTTCCTGAAATGCAAGAGCACCAATTTATGGTTAATCTTCATCTATATTAAGGGAAAAAATATTCAGGCAATAGGTGACAATTAAAAATTTTATAGATTATAAGGCAGTAAGGTTTTCAGGCATTCTGTAGCTATTGCTAATTTTTTCTCCTGTATCAACATTTCTAATTTAATAAAATCCCTGCTGAGTCAGTACATGTGCTATGCCTTCCCTTCTCTTGAGTCTCCGTTTGGCGAAATAACCTCTTTACCTCTCTGTCCAGTCGGGTACTGCAGCTGGTGCTGAAGCTGTAGCCCTGGTAGCAAACATATCTGTTATTTTCACGCATTTGGTGGAAGCTGTTTCCAGATTTAAATTTTTTTTGGCCCGTAACATAAGACAAAAAAAAAGGGCAGAGGGGGAGGGATTGGAGGCTAGTAAGAGATGTGATTGGGCCCAGTCCAGTGTCAGTATAGTAAATTAACCAATGGGCCGCTGTCTGTGCTCTATGGGCCGTCTATGTTGGCCCATTTTTTATAAAAACATAATTTAAGTTATATTGATCCCATAGGTGCATTGGCCCACCGGGCATTTGCCAGATTACCAGTCCACCCCTTTCTTTCTTCAACAGAATTTAATGGACTCTCCCACTACGTTGAACTATGGTAAAGGGATCCCCATTGCGTCACAAACTGACGACTAATCTCCCTAAATCACAGAGGCTGCAGGGCTACCTGCATGAATGTTATGCTGTAGTGTTAAAGAGGTGGTATTATGCTTTTTGGCTTTTTCCCTCTCCTTTATATCTTTTCTGTGCATGTAACAGGTTTGCAAAGTGAAAAAGCCCAAAGGGAGTTCCCATCTCCCACAGAAAACTCTGCTCTGAACTGCTTGAAAACAGCTCATTTGTAGTCCAGCCCTTCACTTCCTTTACTTGTGACATCACAATGAAAACGCATCATAAAGCTTGCCAAGCGGCTAGCGGGGGTCAGACACGCCCTCAAACCAAGCTAGTCTGAGCGGAGGCCCTTTGGCTCGACTCACCTTTGTTTGGTTTCCCATTGTAGAAATGTTGCACCTGCTTCCAGGTACTTTTTTTCATATCACCTCGCCTCCGTCGAGGTTCCAAGCGAGCTGAGGGAAACTAAAATGTAACGTGAAAACATGACAGACTGCTGATTGGTCAGAGAGAATATTCACTATTCACTGCATCGTCATTGCTGCACCAGACAGAGGCCAGCAACAGAAAGGTTTATATTTTACAGTTTTCGTATGTAATTTCATCAGTAAATCCATTTGAGAAGTTTTGAGGTGAGAAATCAGCTGTGTAGATTTAAAATATTTACTGTTTTACGAGAAGTGATGGCGGCAACCCGCGGGAGGAGCGTGTGAGGCCGGCCAGCCGCCCGCTCACAGAGCCCTCTGCTCCCGCCGTCACACAGACCGCTGCAGCAACAACAGCAGAGGAAAACACAGCTGGAAGGTTTTCATACCGCTTATCTGTCTTTGCATTCTGAGGAAGGTTGACACGTTTTAACTTAAAAAAGAGAAAGCTGTGTGGATCACTGGTGTGTGCGTCGCATTGAACATTACGTCGCGGCAGTTGTGTGTGGCGTCACTATGACGACAAGCTACGTACCATCTCTGGGTCCTGTCTGCGATGGAAAACAGAGCAGGGCCGAGTAGAGTCGAGTCTATCGATTTGCGCTATGATCGCATTTTTCGGCAAGGCAGCATAGATCGTCAGAACACCGGCAACAGTTCAACGTTTAGTCCTAAAAGACGACGCAACTCCGACTGTTAATTATATTTATAATACACATGGCAATGTAACTTCACAGACTGTTGAAGTGCAGAGTTGTTATAAACGTTGGCTAACACAGCTAAAGTTATAGCTATGATGCTAACGTTACACCTGATGTGAAAGCTACTGAGCAAACATTCAAATTGTTTGGCCAGTTTATGTAAAATTGAAATATGGTGATTTTTGTAGTGGTTTATGGTAAGATGTGGAACAAGGATGTGTGGTTGTGGACTTGTGGGTAACTTACACCATGTGCTAGATTACGGTCGCAGTCTGAAGCGGCTTTGATTTGGATCACACTACCTTGTTTCTTACGACCGCCCTTCTCTGCTTCTGATTGGCTAGTAGTCCTTACCTGGGAACTGCGCATGTGCAACTCCGAAAAAAGATTTTGTACAAGTAAGATGCAAAACTCTGTAGCTCAAGAGCAGAGTGTACAACACACAGGGTGAAAAGAGGAGCTGCAGCAATGTGCAGTATGAGAAAACTATGGTGTTTCTTTTTATTAATTAAATTATTTAAACCATGTAAACCTGTTCTGGTACAAACCCCTAAATAAGATTTTGAACCTGATAATGAGCATAATACCACCTCTTTAAGAATAACTTCATTTCAGCTGCAACCCCTGTAAAAGTCTGAAATCTAAAAAGATTTTATCAAGTAAAATGTATTAGTACATAAAAGAAACGTTTTAGCTAGCTTACAATAGCTAAATTGTAAGGCAGAAGTTAGAAACTTGCTAACTTTAGCATTCATTCAGAAATTTCATAAAATAAATGAAACTTTGAAGGTTGGGAAAGTTAAGTGTATTAAACAAGCTAGATCGCCAACTACTTAGATTAATCCACAGTGTTACAGTAGCTTGTTGTGATGCACTAGACTTCAATGAGCAGCTGCGGGTTACAAGACGGGCAGGCGAGACAATCAAATAAGATCAAGGTTGGGAAATGATATGGTCCATTTTAGGGGTGTCTGACATTGTATATCAAGATTCTTGAGGCATGAATATGGGGAATATATTGTTACGGTTTTACAGTGTGTGAGCGCAAGGCTGAGGACCCAAACGCAGGACACCAGAGCTTAGCAGTAGTGATGTGTCCCTCCGTATCGAGGCTTCGAAGCGCGTGTCGAGTAATCAGGGGTGATTTTTGTGAAGTGCGTATCGAGGCTTGTGTTGGGGACGTTCGAAGCCTCGCGAGCCGGCCATACCACGTGACTGATTCAGGAAATGGTTCGTGGGTTTGGTGTGTGATTCCAAAGGAGCAGCAAAATATAATGGACCCTCATTAACATTTTCTGGACTTTTTAAATTGTATTTCAGATTTTAATTGAATACAGTTAGATTGTATCTACAGATTATTTTATCAAAAATTGTGATGAAACAGGACATTTTTAGTTCAGTGAGACTTGCGGCAGCCAGAAGATTTTTTTTTGACATAGTGGTTTTTGTAAGAATAAAACTGGGGCGTCTTACCCCATATTACCCTAATAATAATAATAATAATAATAATAATAATAATAATAATAATAATTCTAAAGCAGGTAAACTCATCTCCAAAAGAAGAAACCGCCTGAAGCCCAGCACTGTGGAAAAATAAAAATGAATAAATGTTGTCTCTATTATCTAAAGTCACAAACCAAACAACACATTCACATCATAACCCTCTCCGTTGTTTCCACGTTCCCTTTGACCCTATCATTGTATCATAAAGACAGACACCATATTAATATGTTTATCATTTATGTATCGGCATGACAAACATGATACATGAGTTTATTCAGTTCAAAGCTTCACTCACAAAAGCCACGGTGCCATTATAATCACCTGTTTTACATTTATTGTCCACTAGATGACACAGTAGAGCAAATGAAGCTTCGGCCCATGAGTGAATCAATTGGACGGAAAGCTTCAATGCTTCATGAAGCTTCATCTTGCCATCACTACTTAGCAGGTTCAGTTCAATATTTAATTAACTGAAGGCGTACTCACAACAGTGGCAGATACAACTAGTCCAACGAAAACCAAGTAATCCATTTTGAACCAAAAGTCCACAATAAGGCAGGGAGCGGGAGCAAACACAGACTACATGTGACAAACCACAATGATGCAACACAGACTGAACAGAACACAGGCATTAGGTAGTGAGGCAAACGAGCAGGGCGGGAACATAAAACAGGTGGATTACATAAAGGAGAACTGAACAGGAAGCAAAGCTAGACAAGAACACCAGGCACAGAAGATTACAAAATAAAACAGGAAGTAAAGTGCATGGGAACACACCAGGACAGATCTAGCAAAGTAAAACACAAAATATGGAAAGACTGAAAAATCAGGGCATGGACTAAGACCGGACCAAACAGGCGACAGGGCTACACTAAAACATGGAGACAAAGGACTCGAACAGGTAAAAAAAAAAGAGAGAATAAACTAAGCTAAAAAGGACAGTATTTCCCTCTGAGAGCAGAAGTATGAAGTATAACCGACCTGTCTGACGTCTGCAGGGGGATTCAGGCGGCCCGCTGGTGACTAAAAACGGCTCTGTCTGGGTCCAGGCTGGAGTGGTGAGTTTTGGAGAAGGCTGTGCCCTGCCTAATGTCCCAGGAGTCTACACCCGAGTGTCCCAGTATCAGTCCTGGATCGACAGGCAGATCAGCACCAACCAGCCGGGCTCTGGAGCCGCTCACCTGGTTCCCCTCTCGGTTCCTCTGCTGCTGTCCATCGTCCCTGTTCTCGTCTCCTTCTCTGTCCTTTCATAGAAAGTTTAATGATGATTTAATTCACTAGGATAGAGTCAAAATCTGTCTCTCTGTTTCGTGGTCTCATATTTTTTTAGCCTTTTGAGATTCAAAAATATTTCCACCTGTTTCCAGTTCAGCTTCTTTTTGTTAAAGAAGTTTTGCTGGTGTAATGACACTTTATTTAAAAAATGAGGGCTACAACTAACACATTTTTTCATTATTGATTAATCGGCTGATTATTTTAATTAAAACATTAATTTATTCATGTTTCTGTCTCTTTCTCTGTTCTCTCTACAACTTGCTGAAGTTTTATGGCCTTCAAAAGAATATAAAGCTGTATGTTATGTTACATTACTTGAAGTGTCTGATTATTACTGATTATTTTCTCAATTAATTGATTCGTTTATTGAGTCCTTTATAACTCCTACAGCCCAATGTACTCAAAAAGATTTGGACCAACAGTGTAAAGCCCAAAGATTCAGTTCATCATCATGTAAATCCACATCAGAGAAGCTGGAACCAGAAAAAAAGTTTGCTTTAACTTTTTTAAAATGACTAAAAACAACTGACCCATTTAAATAAATCTATAAAAATGTAATGCTTTTTTTCGACCAGTTAATGGCTCTATTTCCTCATTTTGTATATAACAATGAATTAATTATTTAAATTATAAAATGTAATTGCAGAATTTATTTTAAAAGGCTTTTAAATTGAATTTTTCCATCGCACAGTTCATAATGGCCTAAAAGGGTTAAGGTGTTAATGTGTTACTAACTGTGTAAGAATGTATCAGTTAGTGGGTTTTATTTATATTATTCTGGAAACATTAGTAAACAAGTAATCTATAGTCTGAACTTTAACTCAGCGCTCTACAGTCTGTGTGAAGAAAGAAAGTCTAGTGTACACAACAGAGACAACGACTGTATAAACAGAGCAGTTTCCACTCAAGACCACGACATTAGAGTGAACGACCCGTGTTTGTTATGCAGGAGCTATAGGAACTAAGACATATAGAAATGATTGATTTTTATGGCCATGTAACCAGAATATATTTATAACCAAGAATGTATGATTAAACTTTCAGAAAATGCTCTTTGACATCCCTAGAGTTTAAAAGTGTAAAGGTATCCAGAATGAACAAGTTAAATCCTTTTTGAGTACAGTTCTAATTACAGTGCCTAAAAATATATAATAACACACATAAGGGAGTAAAGTATCACAAGAACAATACTAAATAAGGCCATTAGGTGGTGCAAGGGAGAACTAATAAGGGCACATCGCACCAGTAGAACCCCAAAGGGCTGCCATGGATTTGGAAAATAGGTGTACGCCTTGTAGAGGCCCCGCCTGACGCAGGAGGAGCCACATATATTCAGGAGCTCAGAGTTATTCAGTTCGCCTTGAGGTCTGCTGAGGCTTACTCTGGTTTTGTCTTGTAAAGCCAGCAAACTCTATTGCATCGATCTCTGACTCCAGTGACTCCTTTTGGACTCCAAGTGTTGTTTACTTCTACTTAGAGTTTCTTAAAGTGCTGAGGGCAAGTTTGGGCTTCAACCTGGCCTTTCCACAGAACCAGGTGCAGCAGGAAAGAGAGCCAAGAGATGACGTCATGCTTAGAAACAAAGCTATAAAAGGAGGTCCAAAAGAAGTAGAGTGGAATGAGACTTTTATTTTGCATCGATCTCTGACCCTCTCCGATTAAACTTATGTATTCTAATTGGTGTCTGTTTTTGCTGAAAATAAAAATGTTGGGAAAAGTTCAGACGTTTTCATCTGGCCTAATCAGCTTTTTACACAACACCTGTAAAGACACCGTTACAGTAGTTGAGTCGACTGATGATAAACGCATGGACAGGTTTTTCCAGGTCCTGCTGAGACATAAGTCCTTTAATCCTTTATATATTCTTCAGGTGATAGTAGGCTGTGTATTGTAATTGTCTTAAAGTGGCTGCTAAAATTCAGAGTCCATGACTACCCTGAGATTTCTGGCTTGGCAGAAGAGAAGAGAGAGATCAGAAACTGGTGACACTAAAAAACAGTGCTGGAAACAGGTGAAATTATTTAAAGTCATTTGCAGAATTTTCACTTTAGTAGAAACTATTAATTAATTAAATAAAATGTATAGAGCCTGGAGTCAATTGTAGCTTTTTGGTGTTTAATTATAATCAGTTAATGAACCTTTAACTAATCTATTTTTTTTTTAAACTATTAAAAATAAACAATCAATGCTGACTTTAAATCTTACTTCAAACTCAATTAAATTGACCAGTTAAAGATGAATTATAATTTAAATGCAATTGCAGATTTTAATTCACTTAGGCCAGAGTTCAGAGCTGCTCATGTAAATGTGTGATGAGTAATATCATATCTGATTCCTCTCTCTCTCAGATAAGTTGCAGGTCCAAAGAATGCTATTTAATTACACTAACTACTGTCACTGCACTGTAGAATGGTTCAATCAGTGTGTGATTTTGCTCTGTACTTCTACTTGCATACAGTATGGATCTTGTGGGAGATCCAGTCACACCAGTCCATGTGCAGCAGGAGTGAAGCAGAGACAGGAGTCAAGTCCAGGCAGGGAGTCTACAAACAGAGGACAGATTTAGGCGAGTTTACAAAAACAACAAGAAAGCAGCAATATCTAGAGGCTAGGCGTGAGACTGACTGTGCAGTTTAGTCTACAATCTGGCAACAAGTTACAGATAAGACTGGGTATACATGGCAGATTTGATTGTGGTAGATCACAGAGACACAGACAGGGGAGGAGGAGAGAGAGGCACACTCACAAAGCTGCTCTGGATTACACATGTAAATCATTATGTAGACTTTTATTAATTCATTACTGTCACTACTAATGTCTAGTTGTTGTTTTTTTTCACTCACAACTTATTTACTTTATTAGCAGAGGATACATGAAAATGTATTAATCTTTACAATTATAAATAGGTAATAGGCTTACATTAATGTTCTAGCTGGTACTCTGGACTGATGAGTCAACATGTGAAATATTTGGCTGCAACAGAAGGCAGGTTTTTCACCGAAGGGCTTGAGAGCGACACAAGAATGAGTCTGCAGGCAGAAGTGAAGCAAGTTTGGAGAACTGCATTTCTGCAATTGGAGTTGGGGATTTGGTCAGAAGAGAAGTAAATGCAGATCCATCATGTTGTAGGGGAGAGCGTGGTATGTTGTCACACTTACTAGAATTTGCTGGCCGCCATTTCACAATGGTATAAATGTCGTACCAAATAAAATAAGTCTTGGGCGCATATAAAATCTTATCTCATTACAGAGTTGTAGAATGTTAAATATAGAGTTTGCACTTGGCTGGTAAGTTGTCACACTGGATTGTCAAAAACTTTTGGAACCCATGTGAGCAGTGGGGTAGGAATGATGAATTGATGACACTCGTGGTTATCCAAAAGGAGGAAACAGGACTTCTCATTTGAGCACTTTCCATGTTCACTGAAATGTTTCAGGAAGTCAACAAAGTGCATGTCTTTGATCCATCCAGAGGGATTTTACACTCATTTGCTGACACTTGGCCTGTCAGGAAATGATTGCGGACGTTGATATGGGGAAGAATTTAACATAGAGGTATACTATTCCCTGCGGCTGAGACAGCACAGGCCAGTGTGACAACTCATATTTAACACTTTGTCTACGAAAAAAACATGAACATTTTCTCTGTTGAAGCTGATTACACTGGCAAGATCAGTTTCTCAGTGACGGTGTTGTGTGCCGATTGAATAAGCCTGTACACCTCTTTGCTGGCCTTTCTGCAAGCTAATTCTCCCATTCTTCCGTGGTGTTGTATAACCAACCATCGTTGTTGGCATTGCTGTTTGACTTAGTTTTTTCAACAGTGCTTCTCACTTGAGCACTTTGCATGTTCATTCAAATATTTAAGGAAGTCAACAAAGTGTGTATCTTTCATCCATCCAGAGGGATTTCCCCCTCATTTACATGACATTTACATCTGCTCATATGGCAGGCGCTTTTATCCAAAGCGACTCGCTTTTGAAGAACAACATACAAGCATCAACAAAGCATCAAATACAGCACGAGAACGGCAACTGACAATACATACTAGTAAGAGCCAGGGATGTTGTTAGGCCTTTTTAGGGGGTCATATTGTCGAGGTGTGAGGCGGCCGCGTTGCAGATTCTAGAGCTCTGCCGGTGCGGCTGTGAATTTGCCATGGGCATCGGGTGCTGCACAAACGTGTTAATCATCACTTCCTGTTTCCCCTTTGTGGTGCTACATAGCGCTACATAGCACTTCGCACTACGACTATAAAGGTGGCGCTATGACTGTGGGTGAATGTCGGCATGTACGTGTGTTCAGGGCGGGACTCTTAATAAACGTGTAAAATTTGGTAGAGATCTGAGCATGTATAGTCGAGCTACAACAACTTCGTCGTGGCAAAGCGTGGAACTTTGCCGCCAAGCCACCTTCACGCTACTTACTGCGGCTTTCTGGGAAAGTTCTGAAGTTGATATGTCCAACGTGCTAGAAGCAGTACATTACAGCGTAAAACATGTAATTTCCTGTTGCCAGCAAGTGGCGCTATGACTTTGAGTGAATATTGGCATATGGGTGTGTCCAGGGCACGACTGTAGGGGGTGCTAGCGAGCCATTTTGCCACGCCCATGCGCGAAACACATAAAATACGGAATTTTTCACCACTCCTGAATTTTATGCAAAGTTTGGTGAGTCGAATATCTTTAGGCCCCCAAAATTGAGGTTACTTTGCAGAAAAAACAAACAAACAAATCCAGTTTCAATAGGGACCTCGCACGGTTCGTGCTCAGGCCCTAATAAAACGGTGTTAATAAACATCACATCTTGTTCTCAATATATATAAATATATATATGTGTGTATAGGCTATATATATATATAAATATATCCGGGAGGAGGACGCCCCCACGCCCATGTAACATTACAGTATGTCTGTCACTTTTTATTTGTTAATATCTTGTCTTCAGTGGTTGTTGACATAAGTGTAGTTCTAATACAGTAACAAAAGAAGCGAGTTAGGCATATCCTGGGGGCTAATTTCCCCCTCCGTCTTTCAATCCTAGTGAGGTCCCTGTTAAGATAACTAATAAATACTAGTAAGACCTAATAGCACATATCGCATCAATGGGGTAAATACCTTGGGACAGAAGTAAGAGTTAACAAAAAAGTGCAATCAATACAGAATAATTGTAAGGGGATAGAAGAAGAGGAAGAGCACAGGAAGTGCATGTTAGAAGTTAGGAGTTGTTGAGGTGTTCCTGTCCATCAAGTGATTGCAGAAGTTGACATGGGGGAAAATAAAATATGGCGGGATACTGTTCCCTGTGGCTGAGACAGCACAGGTCAGTGTGACCCTTCTTGCTTGAATTGACGTTCAGCCATCACCTTGCCAGGATTGTGTACATTGGTCACCCCAGTTTCATTATCAGTCCATATGTCTCCTGGTCCAAACTCATATTTCTCATATTTCACAAAACTTTATTTGTGACAATGTCGAATTAACATTTTCTCTGCTGAGGCTACTTTCCCCACTAAACCACTCTTTGCTGGCCTTTTCTTTTTCTGCCCACATAGACGGGAATGTCAGCTGGTGTGCCAAAGCAAACCGGTAGGCAACTTGGCGACAGACCAAAATAAATGTCAACTGTCCTGGTAATATATTCAACAAGCTGCTTCTCCAAATCAGGAAAAATTCTTCCGTGGTGTCAAATAACCAGCTATTGTTGTTGGCATGGCTGTCTGACGTCTTGTCTTGTCAGGTAGTCTTTTGACAGTACTGAGTCAGGGTATGGTCACTTATGTCAAAATCTTTTGCTGTACTCCTGATTGATTTTATCTGCAACTATACCATCCTGACTACTTGTAACATTATGTCAGGTGGTGTGGTAGCATACTCTGTGTGTTGTTGATCATTTATAACCATATTCCTTCCTACCTTTCCTTCCAAAGCACATTTCCTCATTTTTACAAATAAATTACTGGCGCATTATGCTGTCTACTATGCTACTACTATTCACTAGCAAGGACCAAAACCAACAGATACGATTATGATGATTTATTGATAAACAAACTGAAAGATGTCTGATGCTGTTGCTGAATAGACATTCGAAAGTGTTGTGGGGAAGCTACGATAGGGAAATCCGCCGTAGCGCCTGGGCATGACGGACCCCCAAAAGGCTTCCAGTTACATTTTGTGATCTGGGATCTTAAGATCTGAAATATAGTGATGGTACGCTTCGTAAGACCATCAGCACATGATCTGTATCAGATGCTCGGGACTGACGCCGCAGTAGGATGAATGGTAGCTCAGATCCTGGAGGAGTGACCGAAGTAATAGATGGGAGAAATGCGTTACGAAAGACTACTTTGACGGAACTGCTAGTAGAACCGGAAGAGAGTAGCTACTAGACCAGTTTCGGATCATCTCACATGGTTGTGCGCTGGGATTCCTTGTAGTTCACAAGGGTTTTAAAGGCTTCAGAGATGACTGGACTTCGAAGAAAAAGATGAACGTAAGCTGGCCTGATTGACTGGACTTCGGATCGCTTTGGTAGAAAGCAGTGTTGTTTGAGGAATGACATAATTGCAGGAGGAGATGCAGTGAAATGAAACTGAAGAGAGCAAGTGTGGACGTAATGTCTAAGGTTCAAGTCAAGTGAGGGATGCTGTAACCAACGCAGATGCTGTGGAAGCAGATGGACAGTGAGTCTGCTGTAAGAGGAAGGCTGCAGGGGTCTTGAGATGGATTTTGATGTTGAAGACCTCTAAGAATTTGGGTTATCTGAGAATTTGGAAGTTTGAAAAAGAAGCCAGTGCTTCCGCTAAGATGGACTTCAGTGGGGTGTGTTTTGTAGCCACTTTGGGCATGTTGATGAAATAAGATGTAGTGACGAGATCGAATGACAAGGAGTTCATGTTGTGCTAGTTGTGACAGTGGCTGAATTCTTCGAAGCTGGCCTGTAACCCGAGAGAGGGCTATGCTGTTAGTTGTAGAGTTTCGAGGACCATTCTGCTGCGATTAGTCTTCTTTGTAGAATCCCCAAAAACCTGCAGAAAATGTGGCAGCGGTGTACGATTGGTATCCCTGGGTGTCACGATTGTTCCTCCAACCCAATTGGCAAAGACTGAGCCAAAACGAGGAGGAACTGGCGATCGAATGCTGACTGGACAAGCTTTCAATCCAGAGTACAGTGTGAAACGGATTGTGTCGAGAGTGAATCCTAGAAATCTTGGGTCATGGGAAGACCTGCTGTTTCTCTGCAGACCTTGGAACCCGGAGGTTGGAGAAGACCGGAGAGCTTGGCGCGGCGGCAATGGATGAGACCAGGTACCACTTGGGGGCATGGTAGGTTTGCGTGGTCGATTGGTCCCTGATTACACCACTTAAGAAAGCTGTGGCTTGGAAGCAGTGTGGATGTGGATTTTTGGTAAAACCGTGCTTCTGACTGGCCATGTAATCGTCTTAGTGTATGGAGAAAGTGTACGCAAACTTGGGTTAAGAGGATCACCGAAATTAGAAATGGAAATAACTTGGTGCTGTTAGGGCTGTGGAGGAAAGCTGGGTGCCAGTGCCGGAGGTTCTAGCTGTAGTTGCTGTACTGGTAAAGATGCTGGAGATCCTGACATCCCAGGTGCCAGAATCCCAGACTAGAGCTAAGCTGAAACGGTTTCCAACAACGAATTGGATGGTTCTATTTAACGAACTGACTGACACAGTCAGGTTAGGGATGACTGGGAGTGAGTGGCATCCTGGTGCCAAAGCCCCTTAATTTTGAAATGATCGTTCACTCAGAACAATTTTAGTTTAAAATGACATCGGTTTGGAATGACTTGCTTTGAAGCGACTGTTCAATTTAAATGACTTTCCCTTGAGACAACATTAGCTCAAAATGACATGGTTTAAAACGAATGGAAACAACTGTTAGCTGGATGTTAGCTTGAAACGATTGTTCGATCGAAACAGTGTTCGCTCGAAACTACTGTTAGCTGGAGGTTAGCTCAAAACTACTGTTAGCTCGAAACTAGTTTTGCTCAAAATACTTAGCTAGGAAACAAATGTTAGCTTGAATGACTTAAGTGGAAACTAATGTTTACTTGAAAACGACTATAGCTCAAACCGAATTAGCTAGAAGACGACTGCATGGAATGACTTAGCTGGAAAATAGCTAAGTTAGGAAATGATTGTTGACTCAAGACGATTGTTAGCTCGAAGTTAGCTTAAAAGGAATGTTAGCTCGAAACGACTTTTGGTTGAAGCAACTTAGCGAGATGGCGACTGTTTGCAGGAAGCGACTTAGTGAGACGGTGACTGCATGAAGCGACTTAGTAAGACGGCGACTGTTTGAAGCGACTTAGCTAGATAACGAGTGTTTGCTTGAACGACGTGGTTAGATAACGTAGCTAGGTAATGACTCTTTACATGAAACAACTTAGCTTTAAAACGAAAAAAAATGAACCCCGAATTGCCCCTGTTCTGCCAGTGTGGCTGGTTCTGAGAAAACGCGTTTTGGAGTGGCATTAACTCAGTCTGTTAGTACTTGGCTTGGAAACCGCTGGGTTGCAAGATTGAGTCCGGCGTGACCCATGCCAAAGGTGAACCCTGAGCTGCTCCCCAGGCGCCGTATGATGGCAGCCCACTGCCACTGTATGTTGATGTGCAGGGACGTGCACAGGGGGGTTGCTCTGGTTGCCCGGGCAACTGCCCGTTTGCCTTTCCTGACTCAAGTTGCCCTTCCGACTCGCCCTTCCGAGAAAATAAAATAAAATAAAATAATAATCGCGATCGCAAAGCCTCATTCACTTCCATTCGGGCACCGAAAGTGAAAGTCAGTAGGGGAAGGGCAAACTCTGTTTAAGTGGCTGCACTGCTGCAGCGCTGCCTGCACGTCAGTCGATTCTGTTCCCTACCGGAATTCCTGTTTCCTTCCTTTATGCAATCATACTACAACAAATCATGCGTAGTTTTGCCCAGTTACCATACGTGATACGTACCAACAGAAGTGAATACGAGCTAGAAGCGCAACTGAATGTACGGGAAGCCAAAAGGTTAAAAAAGGATTGTATTTTTTCCGAAATCTAAGCGTTTTTTTATTTAATATTTTATTAGAAGCGAGTTTTCCCCATCTGTCAATTCAATCTAGATTATTTATTTTCAAATAAAAAAAAAGGAAAATAATAATAATAATAATGATTAAAAAAAACAATAAACAATAATATAAGGAACTCTTTTTCTCATATGTATTTTGGTGACATTTATATTGTTAATACATTTTGGATACTGTGTTTAGTGCCTTTTTTCAGGTCAGAGCAACTGCCCTTCAAAATTCCTGTGCACGTCCCTGTTGATGTGTTTACCGGGGTTTTCCTCTCTTGACATGGATTAAATGCAGAGAACAAATATCCCCTTCCCGATCCATTTTTGGGGTGGCAGTAGCTCAGTCCGTAAGGAGGCTGGAGGGTCGTCGGTTCAAGTCCAGCTCGGACAACAGAAACAGAGTGGGGACTGGTAGCTGGAGAGGTGCTGCTTCACCTCCTGGGCTCTGCCGAAGGTGGCCTTGAGCAAGCCTCTTCACCCTAACCGCTCGGGGTGCCACACCAAGTGGCAGCCCCCCTGCTCTGACTCTCTCAATGTGTTGTTTGTGCATGTGTGTGTATTTCAGACCTGTGTAAAATCCTAACATTAACAACAGAGTGAAAACATTGAATTTCCCCTTGTGGGATTAATAAAGTATATCTTCTTATTCTTTTTCTATGGGTTTTCAGGCAGCCGGCTGTAAGCAGCAGGAATTCACTGATAAGCGTTTGTTTGATATGATCAATGTCTACTTTTCCTTACCTGTGATTCACTGTAAACAGGCTCATTCACATGTATCAACACTGATAAGGTGTTTTACATCAACCATTTCTGGCTGAATGTGGGCGTGCAGAGGGCTGCATGTGAGGCTGATCCACCTGCGCACATTTCCAGGTGTTTGTTTCTGTTTTTTTGTGCACGTACACTTTTAGTATTGATTCTATGCCCTGTTTTATAAATGAGGCTTATGAGCTTATTCCTGAGCTGAGATGGGACACTGAGTTTTGGGTTTCAGAACACATTAAGATTAAGCAGCTAATATTCAAAAACTCACTTTTAAAGTACATTTATTTGTGTCAGCTGCACAGAAATATTCACATCATCTCCAGCATGATAACTGTGTCAGAAATGCGACTAATCACAATATATCGGGGCCACAGAGGGTTTGTTGTTAAAGAAGGGCGTGTGTGTGATGTGAAGCGTGCCCTCATGATCAACGCACCTGAGGGCAGTTTGGTCACACCTTCCCCTCCAGGTTGATAAACTCCTCCGTTGATCAGCAGACACAGTTGGTAGAGTCGCACCATGGAGGTCAAACTGTTGGTTTGTGGCGTCGTGCTCGTGGTCTTAGCGGTTACAGGTGAGTGCTGTTAAATATTGTCTCAGTAGATCACCTAAATTATTTTGAGTTCATAATGAAAATAAATCTGGATGGAAGAGATTGACTCTTATCTAGTTATAGTAAAATCAGACACTTCGTTTATATTCCTGTATGTTGATGTGTTTACCGGGGTTTTCCTCTCTTGACACGGCGTTATCTGTTCACACAGGTGAGGTAAAGTAAGAGGGAACTTCAGTGCCAGCAGCAACAAGCAGAAATATTTGAATATTAATTAAGTAAATGAGTTTACTTAATTACAGTTTTAAAAAATTAATATTACTAGTGCTGGGCAACGATTAAAAATCACGATTAATTGCATTGTTGTGCACAAAACTGAATAATGAATTCTAAAGTAGTGTATTGCGCCCTTTTAATTTAAATGTACTGCTATATACACAAAAGTGCAATTACGTGGTTCGCAAACACTAAACAAATAAGGTGCTTTTTACCAGCAGTATTCCCTTTACACAGCAGCAATAAAATATTTCTTGTAAAGCTCAACTTAAACATTAATGTAATCAAATCAGATATAAAATCAAAGCTATTTGTCACTGCCAGGGCGTTACCTTTTATCTAGCTGGTTAAAACAAGTTACCATCAGAGTCCAGTTTTCTGAACAGGTATCAGCATCACGTATCTTTTATCAGGGAGCAGCAGAATTTCTGTAAGTTTCACGTTGCTGTGCTGCTTCAGCAGATGTTTCAATAAATCAGATGTCGAATCGTTGGCGGTTGAAAGCTTTTTGCTGGTTGCACAGAGTTTACAATGAACGACAATGTTCTTTGCATCTTAGACTGTGACACAATAATGGCAGTAGCTACTTACAGCTGTGGAAAGAACGCCTCTCTCCCTCATTCTGGATTCTGCTTTTAGCTTTTTGGCTAACAGCTGACCTGAACAACATACGATCGATGCCGCTGAGCTGCTGAGCCGTCGCACATTCATGTCAAGCATGGTGCGTTCAGTAAAGCAGTAGCGCAGCCTTACTGGATTAGTAACTGTAATAATATTACTGTTTTGAAAGTAACACTACACTACACGTTACTGGGAAAAGTAATGTTATTACAGTAACACGTTACTCAGTAACAAGCCATGTTTCCATCTAATTGTCATGCAGATTTTAAGCGTACTTTTGCAATGTTGCAAAAAAGAAAAAAAAAAGACCATCAGTTTCCAGTCACCAGTTTCCATCAGCTGGTTTGGAGCGAATAAACCAGGCAAGAGATTCAGCAAAAATATGCGGTGATACGGTTTGATCCGTGTGCAGAATAAAGTATCTGAGAAGGATCTTTAAGCGGTGAATGCATAATTCGGCAGAACAGATGGTGAAGGCTGCCTGCCCAGATCTGCATCCACCTCTTTTCTCAGCACAAATGAGCGTTACCAGCCGCGAGGTGCGTGAAATTCTCGGCAGGCGTGCAGAACTCTGCACAACCGGGCAAGACGCCGACAGCAGAAACAGCTGATCAGACGTGAGTTACAAGTTCGCTACATTAAAACTTATTCGGAAAAAATGTTTACATCTCCCATTTAGCGCATGTACTTATTTTCGACAAAGGCAAAAACCACCTCAACCGCGAGCGTAAAAACTTTTTTGCGAAATAAAGGATTTTTTTCCGAATTTTGCCGTTTCCATCGACCTTTTCTGATGCGACGCTTTAAAACGCGCATTAAAAAATGTTGATGGAAACACGGCTACAGTGAATAAAAGTTGAAAATGACTCAAGTTTCTCAGGAATGCAGGACAAACTAGTTGGTTTTGTTCTCAGAAATGTACAGGTGCATCTCAGAAAATTAGAATATTGTGAAAAAGTTCATTTTTTGCCGTAATCTAATCAAAAAGTGAAAGTTTCCTATATTTTAGATTCATTACATATAAAGTGAAATATTTCAGGCCCTTTTTGTTTCAATCTTGATGATTATACCATATATCATGGAAATCAAAAATCTAGTCTCTCAAAATATTAGAATATTATAATAAGGAATTTAAAATACAGAAATGTCAACCTGAGAAGAGCCTTTACTCTCTCGGTCTGGTTCAGTTCATACAACCACAATCACAGGGATGACCTCTGACTTGAGAGTTGTCCTGTCATTGACGCCCTCTACAAAGAGGGTAAGCATCAGAAGGTCACTGCTGAAAGGGCTGGCTGTTCACAGAGCGCTGGATCAGAGAATATTCATGGAAAGTTGACTGGATATTTTGACATATGGACTTTTCTCTGAGCTGTAAGGCATAGTCATCGAGATTAAAACAAAAAAGGCCTGAAATATTTCACTTTATGTGTAATGAATCTGTTGGGGACTGCCAGCTATTTGCCCCTATTTCCATGAAAAATGCCTAAAATAACAAACCCAACATTAATCAGGAATAACTCCTCAACCGTTTGGCCAGATGCATAATTCTGGTCTCTTTTGAAAGGTCAGAATCTAAGGAATAGAAATCCATTGTAAATTAACATGTTTATTTTACCATTACAGACTAAATGGAGATGCAATATAGAAAAAATAGGATATTTTTCATCCTCGCCTGGTAAAAAAGGTATATTTTATTGCAATAAGCCATCAAAACCATCATAAGATAGATCATAATACATCTGAATATGTTTTAATACACCTGGAATGCAATTGTAACTTTAAAATTGATGAAAATAAACTAAAATGCAACAGATATCATACATTATTTTCAAAATATACCAGGCGAATGTCCATATTTTGGCAATATTTACTGTTTAAATGTTGACTTTTATTGGGAGTTATCTTTAAAACACCTTTTATGTCCATACAACCATGTTCCAAATAACATAACATTGAAATATTGATAAAACAGTGAATATTCATCAACTTTCTTGTCACCAAAAGCAAAATGCTTTATAGGCCTGTAACTTGAGAATGGAACGTCCCACAGTGATGGGGGGGGGGGCATTAATCGATCCGGCTTGAGCAGACCTTTCATTTGCCACTAAATAGCGAAAATAAACCTGTGTGTTCCAAAGCTGCACTTCTCTTAATCTGCAGAAAATGGCGAGGAAAAACAGGCACAGCTCCCAGGCATTGTTCAATAATCAAGATGGCGCTCGCCGATACTTGGAGCAACAAATCAGCTGATCTTTGGACTTAAAAAGGCGAAAACGGCAAAACAAGAAAAAAGGTTTTGACGGTACCGGGGGCATCAAATTCCACGTTTTTGAATTAAATTATCAAAAAAAATAAACTTATACTCACAATATTCTAATTTTGTGAGATGCACCTGTATAAATGGCTGTCAAAACCATTTTAGTTTCATGTAGAGATCATCAACGGACATCAAACAAGCAGACAATTTCCTGTAAGTGACTAAATGTATTGTTATTTCTCTCTTCTATAGGAAGCAACTCGCAGTCAGATGGTGAGTTATATCCTCATATGTTTATTTAGTCATTACATTTATTTTTTTCTTCTGAGTTTAAAACAGTCCAGGTTTGTTAGTCGCACATATGAAGCTCCCTGAGAGTCGAATACTGCCTCTCCGCAGAAGTTGGTTAAATTGTGATGAAGTGTGGTTCAGACCTTCATGTTCCCCTCAGGATGAGTCCTAGAAACTTTGGTGATCCTCTGACTTTTCATCCAGCTTCCTGTCCGGAACTTCAACAGAAAACCTCTGAATCTTACATCAGCTCTTGCTGTGCTTCCAGCAGCATGCTAACATGCTAAATGTAGAGCAGGTGTCAGCATTTTATCTTTTTAATAACAATAATTTTTATTTATTGAGCCTGTTTTAAAGTCCATGTTACAAAGTGTCTTTACAAGAGCAGAAAATAAACAGGTTTTAAGATAAAACAAGAAGTAACAGATAAAAACAAGAAAATACATTTTAAGGAATTAAAATACAGGTAAAATACAATAAAAGTAATTCCAGAGCCTCGGGGCCCTGAATGCAAATTATACCTATGCAACATTTACATGAATTTTTTTCTCTCCAGTTTGTGGCACTGCACCTCTCAACACCAGGATTGCAGGAGGGGCGAATGCTCCTGCAGGGTCGTGGCCCTGGCAGGCCAGTCTGCAGAGCAACGGATCTCATTTCTGTGGAGGCTCCCTGATCAACAACCAGTGGATCCTGACTGCTGCTAGCTGTGTCAGCAGGTGAGCTCTGATCCTGTCACATGACTTCACCTGTACAATCACAGTGAGCTTGTATAGCAACAAAGAGAAAATGTAATGAGGGTGCCGCAGTAAACCACATTAAAACCATTTTTTCTTTCTGCTGTTAGTGACAGTCAGACACCATTACAGCTGTTTCAATTCAGATCTTTATTATTCCACAAAAGGAATTTCTTTTTGCAGCAAGGCTGCATAGAAACTTAAATAATCACAGTAAGACAAGTGAAGACACTGCTGCTATAAAGAGTCTATAAAAAGTCCCTCCCTTTCAGCACCATGTGACCTTGTTTCAGAAAAATATGTAACCTATGGTAGTCAACAGTTTTTTTTATCTATTTATTTTAGACGCATAACATTTAGTTTTGTGTGAAACCGCTCGATGAACTACATCTCTCATCTTGCACAGTATACGTCACCAACATCACTTATTTAAAGACAGTTTATTCTAAAATTCACACACAGTCAGCACCAGTATCTGTCACATATTTAAACATGTTGTCTTTTCTGCTTCTCAGCGCCAGACTCAATCTCACCGTTAACTTCGGTCTTGACGCCCTAAACCTGTCAAATACAAACTGGATGTCCCGGAATGTGTCCCAGATCATCAAACATCCCAATTATAACACCACCACGAACGATAACGACATAGCCTTGCTGCAGCTGTATTCACCTGTTAACTTCACCGACTACATCAGACCCGTGTGTCTGGCGGTGGACGGCAGTGTCTTTAACGCCGGGACAACCTGCTGGGTCACCGGATGGGGAGCCATCGAGGCTAACAGTGAGAATTTAAATTTATTCGACAATCATTTTTAAATGTTTTGTTATTAGTGAATGATTGCATGAACTAATTCCATTTTTATTGTTTCATTTGTTATATTTTATTGTTGTGTTTTGCAAACTACACCAAATTATTTCTATAAACCAGAACCACTTCAGAGGAGATGGACAACAATATGACGTCATTAGAGGCCCAAATAAAACCTCAAAAAATTCAAAACCACTTCTGATACTTTGATGCTAACACTGATGTGCTTTTACTGCAGTAATGGATCATCTGATTTTGGACTGCCCCAGGTCAACAAGGCTGACCTTGTTCCTCCTGAAGACGTAAATCTTCACAGATATATAGATATTTATTTTTAAAGGTTCAGTAATTTCCTAAAACAGCTGCTCGCTGTAGTTTCTATCAAACAAACAGGAGGAAATGGTGCATTTGTTGTTGCACTATTTTCAGTGGTGGATGAATCCACATGTGGTGCTCTAGAGAGTATTTGTGGTAAGGTTTGTCAAGCTGTCAACCCCAGAGGACAAGAATGAAGGACTGCTGGACCACAACAATATCAGGCTGTGAGACACACACTGTTGACACAAAGACAAAATAGAAACCCAACGTAAATATCTCCTTCTCTTTTTCAGTTTCACTTCCTTCCCCAAAGAGGCTGCAGGAGGTGAGTCTTCCCATCGTCTCCAACAGTGATTGTAACGCTGCCTACGGTGGTAAAATCACAAACAACATGATCTGTGCCGGTGTGACCCAGGGAGGAAATGGCTCCTGCCAGGTGAGTCTGTCTGCAAAACACTCCTCAATCAACTTATAACACACATGTTTAAATCTGCACTACTACATCTATCTAAGGTGAATAAAAAGGACAGTATTTCCCTCTGAGAGCAGAAGTGTATGTATATAACCGGCCAGGTCTGATTTCTGCAGGGGGATTCAGGCGGCCCGTTGGTGAAAAATAGCGGCTCTGTCTGGGTCCAGGCTGGAGTGGTGAGTTTTGAAAAAGGCTGTGCCCTGCCTAATGTCCCACAAGGCTTCACCCGAGTGTCTCAATATCAGTCCTGGATCAAAAGCCAGATCACCACCAACCAGCCGGGCTTCGTCCTCTTTGGAACCGCTCACCTGGTTTCCTTCTCTGTTCCTCTGCTGCTGTCCATCGTACCTGTTGACGTCTACTTGTCTGTTCTTTCATAGAAAGTTTAGAGATGATTTAATTCACCAGGTTAGAGTCAAAATCTCTGTCTCTCTGTCTTGTGGTCGCATATTGTTTAACCTTTTGAGATTCATTTACTTAAAATAAGCAAAAATAGTCTTCTCCTGGAGTCAGATATTTCCGCCTGTTTCCAGTTATTCTTGTGTTGAAGAAATTTTGCAGAAAAGAGGCTGAGCAAGAACACTGCACCCTAAAGTTCAGTAATCTTTAAAGTTATCATTTATCAATAAACAACTTAAACATCATCCTAGAATTTAGTAGTTATCAAGCAAGGCATGTAGCACATTTAAACATCATGGCTAATGGCTAAATAAAAAGTCTTCAACAGTATTTAATGGACTCTTCTGTTATGTGAACTATGATTAAGATGTAAAGGTACGGTCACGTTCAGCTAGTTAGCTGAACGCAGTTAACGGGGTGGCAAACACACGAGACACCAACGTGTCCCTGAGCAAGACACTTAACCCCTAGTTGCTCCAGAGGCGTGTGACCTCTGACATGTATAGCAATTGTAAGTCGCTTTAGATAAAAGCATCAGCTAAATGAATAAATGTAAGTCTAACAAGCTTTGGGCTTAGATGCAGACACTACAAGGTAAATTCAGTTGAGTGAAGTTTTATTAAAGTTTCAGTTAAATTTTAGTGGCATCTAGTGGTGAGCGTTGTGAATTGCAACCAGCGGCTCACGGTGCATTCACATGCTCCTCGGATGGTCCCATTTCCCGTGCTGTGAAGTCCGACTTGAGTGTGTTCGTGTGCTCTTAAGTTTAAATGTGGAATCAACATGAACGCTACTACAAAGATGTGTTGGATTAACATTATCAGAGCGTATAAACAACACACAGACAGCATGTTCACTCTACATGGAAAGCAAACTAACAGTTAATATTACACACTGAGTGAAAACAGAGGCAGTCCAGAAGAAAGCAAGATTAAATCCAAACATCCAGTGGAAAACACAGGCAATGAACCAGAAATTAAACAAGCAATTCCACATCCACTCTGTCAGACACCAAGAAATGTTGAACTCGTTGTTCTGCACGAGTGGTTATAATTATGACATGTTAGTACTTAGCATTAACAAATCAGAGACCAACTACCATGTAGAGCTTTTTTCTTGCACAATAATTTAATGAATGACAGGCAGGCAGACTATAAGTGTAACCTGTAAATATATTAATATTATACTAACATTTTACTTTTTATAATATTTACTAGTTTTACCTCGAGGCAGGGGCGTTTCCAGGCTCCTGAAACATTGGGGGCTTTGCCCAGCCCAGAAATCTTTCATGTTTTCATCTGTTTTAATTATGTATAATGTATCAATACATTATTATTACTAATAATAATTAACACTGATAATATTAATTGAGTCTGGGGGTTCATTTTAATTAAGTTCTAAACTCCTGGACTTTAAGAGCTCCTGTGTTTCAGCAGGTTTTCTGTTCATGTTTAAAACTTTCTGCACATTACCAATCTCTCCCACATATCTGTGTTCTGACAACTGCAGATTAATATTTTAAGACAAAAGTAATAATATTACGAGAATAAAATCTGCAATCTAATGAGAATGAAGTTAATAATATTTTATTAAAATGTACCTGTCCCTCTGCTGTGCAGTAAGCTACCCTGCGTTATTGCTCTGCTGATATGGTAGTAGGCTAATCTCACCACAAATCCACAAAAATGTAGCCCATGACAAACGTCACTCCCGACCTATTCACATGGAACATTACATAATTACAATGGTTACAGCAGATACTTTGACGTTGACAAGGTGCACACCACAACAGCTGCTGCTGTGATACACAAACATGGGACATGGAACACCAGAGACTGTTATATTAGATAATCGCCCTGAGTACAAATGCAGAGAATTAGAAACCTTTGCCAGCAATTGGGATTTTACTCACTTCACCACAAGCCCAGACTATCTCCTATATCAGGAGCATGGCTATTGGAAACCAGCAGAAACTGACAGATCTTATCACATATGTACAGATGAAGGAGGGCTAGAGTACAGTCGAAACAGAAGTCACCTCCTTGACACAAAATAAACATACAGTACACACAGTGCAGCAACACATACCATACCTCACAGACAGGAAGAAGACAAGATCAGGACAAGAAACCTCGGGTTGTTTTGGACTTGTAAAAGCGTGTAGGCGGATCGTTGCCTTTATACAAAAAATGTTAAAGGCTGCTGATTAATGAGTTGTACTGAGAAATAAAAGTTCAACCACCACTGTACATGTAGAGCTTCAAGTTTTAAAAAGGACAAGTGCGGCGGAAACACTGAGCTTTGTTTTGATATGTGGGATTAGAATGCAAATCAAGTAATGCTACACTGATAACACGACTGGTTTATCGACAATGCTTTAAATCAGGGTTCTTAACCTTTCTGGCAGTCTGACCCCTTTCTGAGTTGAAAATATTTCGCGACGTATCAGTGCTGGCTGCCACATAATGATTGTTGTTTTTACTATTTAAAATGGATGCATCATGTCTGACTGTAGAGCTGTGTGCAGCGCATATATTCGCTCGGCACGTTCTCTGGCTCGCTCCCTCCCTCTCTCACAAACACACTGACCCGTCTGTAAATAGCCCCTCCTCTTCACGCACAGTCTCAATCAAAATATAACCATACGCTGGAGGAAGCGTTGTTGCCGGCTTTTCGGCGCAGAGAAGATTTCTGAATCAGTCCGAAGTTGAACGGTTAACGGTAGTATCATGAACACCGCTGCACAAATCTGTCCAACACAAGGCTGTCAATTTCTGAGACCCACCTTCAAATAAGTTAATAGCAAGCATGTACAGAGCCTAGCTAATAAGGAGAGCTATATTAAGAATACAGCTGGGTTGCAGAGGTTAGCACGCTGTACATTACTCCTATTTTAGCTTCATTACACTGGCTCCCAGTATGTTTTAGAATTGACTTTAAAATTCTATTGATCACTTTTAAAGCTCTTCATGGCCTCTCGCCTTGTTATATTTCGGACCTTTTAGTCCCATACGCACCAGCACGTACCTTGAGATCCTCGGGCAGAGGTCTGTTGTCTGTTCCAGAGTCTCGACTGAAAACAAAAGGGGACAGAGCGTTTGCTGTCAGGGCCCCGAGGCTCTGGAACAGCCTGCCCGAGGAAATCAGGTCGCTGAGTCAGTGAACTCTTTTAAGTCCCTTCTTAAAACATACTTTTATAGGAGAGCCTTTCCCGATCTTATTTGACTTTATTTTATCCCTTTTATTTTATTCTATTTTACTAATTTTATATAAAATTTTCATGCTCTTATCTTTTTTTTTTTTTTTTTTTTTGTATAATTCTTTACACTTGTTAAAGCACTTTGTAACTTGTTTTTGAAAAGTGCTCTACAAATAAGGATTATTATTATTATTATTATTATTACATAGCTGCTAGTCAATATCGACTGCTAGCAATCAGGAATGCACACACGCATTAGAAAACGATAATGTTTCGGGTTAAAATAACGTCCGTTAGCTCGTAAGTTAAGTAATGTTACTTGCATAACTTACACAATTTACGTAACCTACGTTACTTAAATAAAAACATTAAATGCTGACTTTTTGTTTCACACGGGAAACAAAGACCAGTCTGCTGGTTGAAGGTGACTGATTGTGATTTGTTATTATCTCATGCAGAGTCCCTTCCCTGCGTATGCTCAGTCTATGTTGTGTGCATGAGGTGCACAGGTTGCAGTCCAAGCTCATTTGAAGAAGCACAAAAAAACGGGCAAGTAGACGCAGTGGTCTGCCAAAGAAATGTTATTATCTTAATTCTTATTGTGTGTATGTGCATGTATCCTGTACTTTGTACACAGAGTGATGTAAACCCAGAGTCAAACTCCTTGTAGGCTCTGTGTACCTGGCCAATAAAAAGTGATTCTGACTCAGAAAAGTAGGCATGGCAGCAGCAGTGCAACCCTCGGGCCAAAGAAAGTGTTTCATTGGATTTGCTGGCAAAGAAGGGCGTGTGGGGCCGTTTCAAGGCGGTTTATACACTGATAAACTCCTCCGTTAATAAACTCCTCCACTGATCATAAGACGCAGTTGGTAGAGTCGCATCATGGAGGTCAAACTGTTGGTTTGTGGCGTTGTGCTCGTGGTCTTAGCAGTTACAGGTGAGTGCTTTTAAATATTGTCACCTGTTTGTTGTGTTCATAATGAAAAACAATCTAGACAGAAGAGATTGATTCTTGTGTTTCTGTGTAATTATCTACTTGTCGCCAGTTCAGACACTTCATATATTTTCATGCATGTTTTTACCTGGTTTTCTTCTCTGGACACGCCTTCTGTTCACACAGGTGAGGTAAAGTAAGCCTGAGGACAATCCAGCAGCAACATGCAGAAATATTTGAATATACTAACCCTGGCAGTCTGACTCTGTGTGTTGACGGGTGACTGATTCACAGATTTATTAGATTAATAAACCAAGAAATGCATCTGTGTGAAAAATGTGTGGTAAAACAATTTACTGAGTTTACTTAAATAAATAAAACATAACAAAGTGAATTAAAGTTGATGACTAAAGTGTCTCAGGAACACAGGAGAAACCGGTCGGTTTTGTCTTAATATGCCTATCAAACCATTTTAGTTTCATTAAGAGATTAATGGTCATCAAACACGCAGACAGTTTCCTGTAAGTGACTAAATGTATTGTTATTTGTCTTTCCTACAGGAAGCAACGCAGTTAGATGGTGAGTTATATTCTCATTTTGTTCATAGGGTCTTCTGAGTTCAAAACAGACATTAAACCCTCGACATTAATCCAGTCCAGGTTTGAAAAGCAGCTTTTAGTTACACTTTTGAACCTCCATTAGAGTGAAATTCTGTCTCTCCACAGAAGTTGCTTACGTTGTGATGAAGTGTGTTCAGACATTCATGTCCTAGTAACTTTGGTGATCCTCTGACTTCTCATCCAGCTTCCTGTCCAAAACCTCCAAAAACTGAATTTTCAGCTCCTGTTGTGCTTCCAGCAGGGGGGGGGGGGGGGAGTACAGCGCAGGAGCGGTCCAGTAAACTAAAATCTTAAAATGCTTTCAATATCCTTGCTTATTTAAACTAATGTGTGTCTGTAGATGATGATAAATCAAATTCACTGCACCAGTTGATGGGTGTCCCATACCAAACAACAACTATCTAGTCAGAGGTCACTATTCTACAGTAAAACTGCCAGAAAGTCAGACCCCAACAGCAGACCATCATGACCATCATGACCGCTCAAAACAGGCCACACAGTGTAGAACCAGGACCAAAGACACTATCAGAAAATACAGTCTGCATTATCATCTCTAATTCCTAATTGTAATCATTTCAAGTTTCAACTTTTTGTTTAGTAAAACCTCCTTTTCTCTTGCTCATGACTGTGAATGAAATGTAATCTGATTCCATAAAGCAGTTGTCACACTCTGTTGGGGAATTTTAGGGTCTCTGTAAATAATATTGAACAGTAGTGTCTAGACCTGCTCCATATAAAAAGTGCAATGAGATGCCTTTTGTTATAAATTGGCTCTGTATAAATAAAACTGAATACATTTTAAATAACACACCTGGGATTTAACACTTACCTGTGCAGGTAAAACGTCTGAATTCCAGAGTGAAAACAAATATCATCCTGATTGCAGAAAGAATCACAAAGTAGCCAACTTAAAATGAAATAATAATCTCTATTGATGTCAAAATGTGTATCAACAATAATTAATTCTCAATCTCACTGCTCATGCCGAGGCACCAGTGTTGGCTAAAAATTACATAAAATATGAAATGATATAGTGGTAATGAAATATGAAATGAATATAAATGAAATGCTAATTACAAAACTCAGAAGGTAGGAAAGTTAAGTGCATTAATCTCCACCAGCGTATGATGGACTGGATCAGCTGCTGCTGCGAGTGATGTGACGTTCAACTAACGTCAATGTTAGGAAAAGGCCTGTTTTGGGGGGGTCGAAGTTTAAATTAGGGGGTCCCCTCTAATCCCCCCTGTGATTCGAACCATGGCTTCCAGCAACATGCTAACATGCTAACAAGCTTCTTTAAATCTTTGTCTTTATTTATTGAGCACTTTTCAAAATCCATGTTTCAAAGTAACTTTCACAAGGTCAGAAAATAAAACACACATGTCGTAAAAACCCTCAGGTGTTCCAGAACCTCGGGGCCCCGACTGCAAACACTCGGTCCCCTTTAGTTTTCAGCCGACACACATATACAGATGCTTTAAAACTAGCTTTAAAACACTGTGGGCTGACATAACTTACAGGGAACAGTTGCTGTTGAGGGGTTGCTATGGATGCTGCTGCTGCTGCTGCTGCTGATACTACTGGAGGTGATCTGTGACTACAGATATTAAAACAACTACAGGATATATATTAGCTGATTAAACAATTATGTGACCATAAAAAGATTGTTGAGTGTTTGGGACCAGCTCACAGTGACTGACCTGCTGTAATACTGCAGCCACTACCAAGGCTGACTGCTGGGAGACGCTCACAGAGCTGCACACCAAGAGCTGCAGCTGCATGAATTATTATGAGCTATGGTGGAGAAAAAGTATCAACTTATAATAATACAAGAAAGATAATTTTTGATGCCTGCTGGTCGTAAAATAAGGCATGCTGGTTAGAAATCGTGTCTGACTTTCGCCGGCTCTGCAAAATGTCACCATGTCACATGACATCAATACCTCGCAGGAGCAAGGTGGCTTCAGGCGTCGAGTCCGGCGCCGCAGTTGCTTTTCTCCGCGAACAAAGTTGGAATCATCTTTTGCCTGATCTCGAGTCCTTTTTCTTTGCAAATGCTGAGAGATCTCAGCGCACAGTAAGCTCTCACAGGTAGAGGGCGTCCACTTGACAGCGTGTTTTTATATCTCGCCTCTGCAGTCGGTTGTAGCTCGCTGGCCTTAACTTTTTAGAGCCACACGAGTAGCCGAATTATCGCTTCACCAGGCATCGTTTTCTGAGCGGTATACAGGGGGAAGGGAGGAGCGATCAACTTCTCCCGAACGGCCGTCAGGTGGTCGAATGAATTTCTGACATTTCTGACAAATTTTGTCAGGTTCTCGCACAGTTGAAGCTAAACCGCGTCTGAAAGTCAACAATCTGTACAGTAAGGCGTAGTCAGTGCATCTACAATTCTCTCTGCAAAATGAATATGCCATCCTGTCCACATCTTCCAGCTCCCTGGTCGATAAACACCAGCGCCTCTTTTTTAATATTAAGTGTTTGTTGTTGTGAGATCACTGAAAATGGAGATTCTTCCTTTGTTTGTTGGGACCTTTTCTTTGAGTACTGTAGCCTATTCTTGTTTTTCAAAAATACTTTTGATTTAGTGGACAATGTTTGAGAACAGCAGCTTTCTCTGCCTCATGAGTTATGTGATAAATCTGAAATATGCAACCAGTTAACAGATAAAATATTCACATATCCATGTGATCACCCAGATGAAGGTTAGTTTTAAATTAGTTCAGTTCAATGTCCCTTGTGCACAACCATTGAAAACTTTGAAAGGCTGGAAGTAGAAAGCACGAACACCAAAACTGATAAAAATACATGGCAGCAATGGAAACCTACACGTTTCTCACCTTGATCATCTTCTTCGGGTCTGGATCAGTTTTCTGTTCTGATCTCAAGAAGTCTGGCCACTTTTAAAGCTCTTCATGGCCTCTCGCCTTGTTATATTTCTGACCTTTTAGTCCCATACGCACCAGCACGTACCTTGAGATCCTCGGGCAGAGGTCTGCTGTCTGTTCCAGAGTCTCGACTGAAAACTAAAGGGGACAGAGCGTTTGCTGTCAGGGCCCCGAGGCTCTGGAACAGCCTGCCCGAGGAAATCAGGTCGGCTGAGTCAGTGAACTCTTTTAAGTCCCTTCTTAAAACATACTTTTATAGGAGAGCCTTTCCCGATCTTATTTGACTTTATTTTATCCCTTTTATTTTATTCTATTTTACTTCAGTATCGATCTGGTCAATGAACTGAACAGCATTAACAGTGACACTATGACATTTAGTTTTCACTAACTACAACATTCTATGGGGACTCATATTGTTTTGAAATTGCTTTTTACTAGAGAACGGTAATATTAATGACGTTCACACTATCAACACTAGATTTTCATAGCCAACTAAATATCCCCTCTCCTTTACCTCAGGTTAACATAGCTACAACAAGTTGAGCAAGTAACAGTCACTAACAACAACTTGCAGTTTCATTCTGTATCACTCACTACCCTGAATCAATCTTCCTTCACCATATCTGTGTCTGTGTGTGTGTGTTGTTTGTGTGTCTCTCTGTGTGTAATAAAACACAGCCTACCTCAGGGTCCTAGTGCCTGACCACAGAATGGATGTAAATTGTGAAGCAGAGGAAACAACCAGAAGGATTTTTTAGGCCAATAAATACAAATTATATTTGTATTATTCTATAGTATTTATCAATATTCTTGCTTCTCTTTGTTGAGTAATGTCTGCACTGTAAAAAAAATTTGATCTAACAATTATTTTTCTCATTATTATTTGGGTGGTCTTAGGACAATGTTAGGGTAGCTTCAGCCCCCCTAAAATATAATCCATGGTTCACACACACACTAAGTGAATAAACAGAACCCGCAATTACTACAGCTTTATCAACACAAAGTAAATATTTAGCTGGGATTAAATAGCAATAAATGAGTGAAACTGATGCTGAAATAACTACAAAATGATGCCGATTTGTTAAACATGTGAATTCATGCTTTACCAGGTCTGTCAGCAGGACAGCAGGACAACAACTTCTAAAATGTTTGTTTTCTGAATGGATTTCGGATCGAAAGGAACCGGATGTGCTCAGGAGCTGCTGCCGAGAAGCTTGAGTGAAGATAGTGAAGATAAATCATGTTGCAATCCCAAAAACTAAAGTAAAAGCTAATTTAACAAAAACAGAGTAAACGGCATAGTTGTCTGACTACGGGTGTTTATTTGTCCAAAAGCTGCAGCGCACAAATTATTCTTTGTGATTTCTTGTCTGAAATCTCATTAGGCCAAAATAAGAAGTTTGACGGTGTCCCTCCTGCACACTGATACCCATCAAATGTTTGCAAGGAACAGAGGTGCTTTGAGAAACATGCTAATGTCAGCATGCTCACAATAACAATGCTAACATGCTGATGTTTGTGCATGGTTCACCAATTTAGTTTAGAGTGTTAGCATGCTAACATTAGAAAAAAGAGTACAGCTGAGGCTGATGGAAATGTCTTTAATTCTGCAAATATTTAGACATGAACCAAAGTGTTGCACACCTGATGGATAGATGGAAAGTCAGAGGATCACCACAGTTATTAGAGTTCATCCTGAGGGGAACATGAAGGGCTGAAACACTTTTCATGACAATCCATCCCATAGTTGTTGAGACATCCAGACCAAAGAGCTGGACAGACAGACTGACAGGATCATCTTTAGAGCCGAGCTCATGCTGGATTAAACAAATCCACACAGATGATGGCACCCAGAGAGAAACAATACTGTGAACAAACTGGACCCAAAAACATGAATATACATGAACTCTGACTGTCTCCCTCCAGTTTGTGGCGCTGCACCGCACAACAGCAGGATCGTAGGAGGGGCGGATGCTCCTCCCGGGTCGTGGCCCTGGCAGGCCAGTCTGCAGAGCAACGGATTTCATTTCTGTGGAGGCTCCCTGATCAACAAACAGTGGGTCCTGACTGCTGCTCACTGTTTCAACAGGTGAGCTCTGATCCTGTCACATGACTTCACCTGTACAATCACAGTGAGCTTGTATAGCAATAAAGAGAAAATTAAATGAGGGTTTAGCAGTAAACCACATTAAAACCACTCATCATGTTTTTCTTTATGTTGTTAGTAATAACAGTCAGACACCATTACAGCTGTTTCAGGTCATTTGGTCCACAAGAGATATTTCTTTGTGCAGCAAAGTTTGAGCATAACAACCAAAATAAGCACAATAAGAAAATTAAAGACACTGACATTCCTGCTGCTATTATAGAGAACCTAAGCCCCCCCCCTTCCACACCAATGTGACCTTATTTACTTTATAGCAGTTTGTTGTAAAACAGTAACATTTCGTTTTGTATGAAACCGCTTGATGAATTCTTGTGATCTCATCTTGCACAGTATACGTCACCAACATCACTTATCACTTTTTTAGGGATAGTTTATTCTAAAATTCACACACAGACAGCACCAGTGTCCATCACATATTTAAACATGTTGTCTTTTCTGCTTCTCAGTACCCTCCCTGATCTCACCGTTAACTTCGGTCTTGATGCCCTAAAGTTGTCGAATGCAAACGGGATGTCCCGGACTGTGTCCCAGATCATCAAGCATCCGAACTTTAATCAACCCACGCTCAATAACGACATAGCCTTGCTGCAGCTGTCCTCACCTGTTAACTTCACCAACTACATCAGACCTGTGTGTCTGGCGGCGAACGGCAGCATCTTTAATGCTGGGACGACCTGCTGGGTCTCCGGATGGGGGAACATCGAAACTAACAGTGAGGATTTAAATTCATTTGACAATCATTTTTAAATGTTTTGTTAATTGTGAATGATTGTATGGATGAATTTAGTTTTTATTGTTGTGTTTTGCAAACGAAAACACCAAAAGACACCACACATTTACAGTCCCCTCCGAAAGTCTTTGAACGGTAAGGAAAATTCCTTTGTTTTTCACTGAAGACATTTGGGTCAAAGATCAAAAGATGAGTAGCAAGAGTTCAGAATTTCAGCTTTTATTTCCTGGTATTCACATGTAGATGTGTTAAACAACTTAGGACAACTTAAAATTTGCCTTACTGTTCCAATACTTTGGAGGGGACTGTGTATAAACCAGAACAAGTACAGAGGAGATGGACATCAAGATGACGTCATTAAAAAGCCCAAGTAAAACCTAAAAAAGCCTCTTTTGGTACTAAAATGTCACCAATTTAATTTTGCTATTAAAGAGTAAATGGAGATGCAATTAAGGAAAATTTATTTTCATCACCATCAAAACCATCATCCAACTCATTATAATGCAACAGAATATCTTCTAATACATCTGTAACTGTACATTTGATATAAAGAAACTAATATACAACAGTTATTACACAATTTTTCAAAAATATACCAGGCGAATGTCCATGTTTTGGCCATATTTACTGTTTATCTGTTCACTTTTATTGGGAGTTTTTTTCAAAACACTATTTTCTCCAACCATGTTCCAAATAACATATAGCTTCCAAAACATTGACATATTCATATAAGCAGTCAATATTGATCAATATTGCTGTGACCAAAAGCACTCCCCTGCTTTACAGGCATAGAACTTGAGAACAGAACATCCTTCTGGGCTGGAAATGGGCTCATTGTCTTCGTATTGAGCAGACGAATCGTTTAGTATATTGTTTGTGTAGCTCCTATGGGTCAGCCTATAGATGGTGACAAAGACCATCTGTTCCAAAGCAACACATTTTGACGAGGGAAACAAAACCTAACCGCTCAGGGATTGTGCAATGCCAAGATGGTGGCCCGGGCGATATTTTCACACACACAAAACATCTGTTTTTGGATTGAAAACAGCGAAAACGGCAAAAGTTAAGTCAGTGGTTGTAACTGTATATGTATGTGTTATTGTTATCCAGCCATAACTCTGTGAGTTTTGTTATTTGAGTGATATGAGTTACTATGATGATACTGTGATATGAGCTGATCAGAGCTGGAGCTGAGCTTTCTTTAGAGAGGTCGGACTGCGGTGTGGGATGAGATGAGAAATATCTGGATGGCAATAACTGCAGCCATGTACAATGATCACAGAGTGATTTATGTTGTTGACATTTATGTATGTATTTAGATGCTTTGTGTTTGATGTGTGTTTGGTATGATGATCTAGCTGAGCCTCCTAGGTTCACTGAGGTGTGTGGCATGCAAAGGGTAAGGTGACCAGATTTCAGAAATGAAAACCGGGGACATTTTGGTTGGTGGTCAGTATGTTATTAAAAAATATAATGTTTTTATATATGAAATAAAAAAAGGGGGACAATTTCGGTCTTATAATCTATCAAAATAACTCTTCTGAATGAAATCAAGTAATTTTGAAGCAGAATCTACCTTTCAGTCAATAAGTCACTTTCTGGCAAGTGGAATACTGCGTTACGTGGTTTGTATTGACCATATTTTATATATAACTAAGCATTAAGTCATGGTAATTATAGGCTTCATTTCGTTTTCCAACTATAAACAATGATATTAGACATAGGCCTACCAAACACATAATGTTATTCATTTGGAAAGAACAGGCTTTGTCTATGATCATGTAGGTTAAATGCCATGCCTACTGTTAAAGTATCACAAAGACTATACCACGGACATAAAGTTATGTTTATTTGCACGTTCTGTTAGTTTGATCCAGATAAAAGCAGCTGTACATGTCAAAAGACTGGATTATACAGAATTAACAAGCAGCGCGTGCTCCCGCGGACGGCAATCAAAAAACTGCAGACTCGCTTTTCATCACGACACCTGTATGCTCTGCTATCCAGTCTTTCTGGCCAAGTAAAACTGATTTCAGGTCTGTTAATACCTCATACAGTCTATGATTAGCACACAGGTAAAAACGGAGCTCCAGACGGGGGAAGGCCACCAAATCCGGGGACTGTCCCCGGAATACGGGGACGTCTGGTCACCCTAGAATAAGGTGACAAAATACTAGGATCAGACACACTTGAATTTTTGGGGCAAAAATCGATTGTCCTGCCCCGTATGCAGTTAGTCAGGGCTTAACATTGTAAGGGTCATTTTATAATATAATGTTTAAAGGAAAAGGTGTTTGATGTTTTGTATTTTTCTTACTGTCAAGATATCCCATGAAAAGACTCAAACCAGCAACATGTCAGTCCGTCTCTCAACACTGTCTGACTTCCTGTCTGTTGCTCTCAGCTCCGAGCCTATTCATTCCTTCTGAAGACGTAAATCTTCACAGACATACAGTTTAATAATAAATTTTATTTATAATGCACTTTACATTTCAGGGAAATCTCAAAGTGCTACAGCAACAAGGGGTTAAAAACAGTTCCAGAAAATAACAATCGCAATAAAACACCGTAACAAAAGATTTAAAACCATGACTGTTAAAAGGCCTTTTGAAATAGAAAAGTCTTTAGGCCCTTCTTAAAAACCTCCAGAGTTTGTGGGGCCCTTAGGGGCTCTGGGAGGGCATTCCCCCATGGTGGAGAGTTTAGTCCTTGGTTGGTGCAGGCAGTGGGTAGAGGTGGAGGAGCGGAGGTTTCTTAAGGTGGTGAGTGGGGTGAGGAGTTCACTGAGGTAGGCAGTGGCAGTTCCATGTATGCACTGGTGGGTAAGGAGACAGATTTTATATTGAATTCTGTATTGAATGGGCAGCCAGTGGAGGGATTTCAGGACTGGAGTGATATGGTCATATTTGCGCCTCCTCGTCAGGACCCGGGCAGCGCAGTTCTGAATATGCTGGAGCTTTTGCAGTCTCCTGCCAGGGATCCCGACGAGGAGGGCATTACAGTAGTCCAACCTGGAGGAGATAAAGGCATGGATCAACTTCTCAGCATCTAGTTGTGAGAGGGAGGGGCGGAGTTTGGCGATGTTTTTGAGGTGGAGGAAGGAGACCTTACAGAGGTGACGGATGTGAGTGTCGAATGTGAGATTTGAGTCAAGTCTGACTCCAAGGTTTGTAACAGAGGTAGACAGGGGAATGTGATGACCAAAAATGGATATACTGCTGAGGGAGAAGGACTGGGTTTGATGTGGGGTACCGATCAGGATGGCTTCGGTTTTGCTGCTATTTAGTTGAAGAAAGTTGTCAGCCATCCATGCCCTTATCTCCTCCTGGCAAACCTGAAGTGCAGATGGCAGAGCTGAGGGGAGTGTGGAGTCCATTTTTATGTATAGTTGTGTATCATCTGCGTAACAATGGAATGAAACTTTGTGTTTATGGATGATGTGACCGAGGGGTAGTAAGTAGATGGTAAAAAGGGTTGGACCAAGGACGGACCCTTGTGGCACTCCACAGCTGACTGTGTGGGGTGATGATTGGGACTGTCCTAGAGCCACATACTCCGTCCTGGCTGTGAGATAAGACTGGAACCAGCCTAGTGTGGTCCCAGAAAGTCCTACCATAGACTGGAGACGGTGAAGCAGGATGTTGTGATCCACAGTGTCAAAGGCGGCCGACAGGTCCAGTAGGAGGAGGAGAGATGGTAAGCCCTGGTCTGCAGTCATAAGTAAGTCATTTGTGACGCGGACCAGGGCTGTCTCCGTGCTGTGTGCTGCTCGAAAACCGGACTGAAATTTTTCATATATGTTATGGATGTGAAGGTGATTGTGGAGTTGGGCTGCAACAACTTTTTCCAGGACTTTGGACAAAAACGGCAGGTTTGAAATGGGTCTGTAATGAGCCAGGATGTCGGGGTCAAGTGACGGCTTTTTCAGATGGGGACGGATAACTGCAGTTTTGAGAGCTGGAGGAACCTGACCGGATTTGAGTGACTGGTTGAGGATTGCTGTGATCAATGGACTGATGGCTGTAATGTTGGATTTTAATAATGATGTGGGGAGAGGGTCCAGTGAGCATGTGGAGGATTTCATGCACCTTATGATCCTCTCCACCTCTGTCTGAGAAATGCCTGAGAAAAGAGAAAATGTCTTTAATGGGTTTGTGGGACTAATTTTGGAGGAGGGTGAAACTGTGGCAGAAAGGTTGGATCGGATTGAAGCTACCTTGTTGGTGAAAAAATCCATGAACCTATTGCACTGGTCTGTACTGGTGTCAAAATGTGCATATATGGGAGGTTTGAGAAGAGAATTTATTGATGCAAACAGCTGTTTTGAATTTCCAGAGCACTTTGAGATTTTTTGAGAGAAGTATTGAGACCTGGCTGTGGTGAGTGCTTTGCAGTATGATTTTTGGTGTTCACGGTAGGCCTGTTGATGTACATGTAGGCCACTGGAGGTGAATTTCCGTTCCAGGGCACGGCCAGCCGTTTTCATCCTCCGGAGCTCTGTTGTGTACCAAGGGGCTGACCTGGAAAAAGTAACTGTTTTCGTTTTGATTGGTGCATGTAAATCAAGAATATTGTAGAGGCTGGAATTATAGTGGTCAACAGAGCCATTAACTGATGCGAACTGTGTGAGAAGTGAAATTTGCTGTATGTCTTGGTTGAAGAGGGTGGTGTCTATTGCTATTAATGTTTAAAAAGGTTCAGTCATTACCTAAAACAGCTGCTCGCTGTAGTTTCTATTAAATAAACGTTTTTGCACTATAGCCAGTGATGGATGAATCCACATGTGGTGCTCTAGTGAGTATTTGGGGCAGTAGGACGGTGGATGTGGGACCAAATCCCTTTGTCTTGTGTCTTAGCTTGACAAACCTTAACACAGAGGACGAAGTACTGCTGGACCACAACAAAATCAGGCTGTGAGACACACACTGTTGACAAAAAGAGAAAGTACAGACTCTACATTAATATCTCCTTTTCTTTTTCAGTTTCACTTCCTTCCCCAAAGAGGCTGCAGGAGGTGAGTCTTCCCATCGTGTCCAACAGTGATTGTAACGCTACCTACGGTGGTATAATCACAAACAACATGATCTGTGCTGGTGTGACCCAGGGAGGAAATGGCACCTGTGACGTGAGTCTATCTGCAAAACATGTTTAAATCTGCACCAATCTATAGATCTGTCTCTGATGAATAAAAATGACAGTATTTCCCTCTGAGAGCAGAAGAATAACCGATCTGTGTGACGTCTGCAGGGGGATTCAGGCGGCCCGTTGGTGACTAAAATCGGCTCTGTCTGGGTCCAGGCTGGAGTGGTGAGTTTTACAACACGAAAAGGCTGTGCCGCATCTAATTTCCCACAAGTCTTCACCCGATTGTCCGAGTATCAGTCCTGGATCAACAGCCAGATCACCACCAACCAGCCGGGCTTTGTCCTCTTTGGAACTGCTCACCTGGTTTCCCTCTCGGTTCCTCTGCTGCTGTCCATCTTACTTGTTGACTTCTACATCTCTGTCCTATCATAGAAAGTTTAATGATGATAATTAAAGCACCATGATAGAGTCAAAATCTCTGTCTCATATTTTTAGCCTTGTGAGATTCATTTACCTTAAGCAAACAGCATAATCTGCTCCTCTATGAATGTGTTTTTCTGTCTTTTTAATGCATATTTCTCACTGCAAAAAAACAGGTTTATTGCTAATCTGTCCTCTTTGATTGCAAGTGAAAAAGTTTTGCAAGGTGTTATGACCCTGGGGTCATATTTTGTTGTTAGTTTATCTCTCCTGGCACTGTCAGCTGTTCTCCTCCATTAGAGTGTGAGTGTATGCAGGTACTGGAGAACAGGTGGACACACTGGATTGGTCCGGTTGAGCTGATTGGAGCCTCCTGATTGGGCACCTGGATGACAGCAGCCATCTTAAGCCCTACTGACAGGAACTCTGCCCCTCTCTCTGCCATTCCCAACCTGCCTGAGGACTGTGTGTTATGTCTGTGTTTATTGTACATAGTGAACGGTTGTGACTATATTCAACTTAGATTGTAAGTAGTTTATCGTAGTCCTTCTGATTGTCTTATGACAACCTGGTTTTGTTGGCTTTGCCATTTTTGTTGCTATGAAGCAAGTTCCTTTGTCGTAGCTATATTGTGTCAGCTACTAGCAGTGAGTAGGAGTGAGAAGCCCTTTTTTTTGTTTGCACCGTTTTCTCCTGTTTTTGGACTTAGAAGCCTAGTTTTAGAGCTTTGTCTTTTCTTTACCTTTTGGTTTTGGGTTTAGGAAAGATTTAGGTTTTCTTAGTGTTTTGGTTGTTGTTTTGGGCACTGCTCATCTCCGATGTATAATAAAAACTGCTAAATTGTATTTGTTGTGTGCTGGCCTTGTTTGGGAATGGGAAGAGTGGGAGGCCACACATTTATGTTACATCCAGGACACCCCTAGACCTTGGGACGTAACAAAGTCAAAAATGGTCAAGATTAGAGTTTCTATTGGTGGGTGTGACTGACCAATCGTGGGTTTGGATCGACTGCTTCAATACAGAAAAATAAGGGACACCTGCCGCAGTGGGACCAGCTGTGATATATCACAACTTAATACATGTATTCAGGAAACTGAAACATAACAGAATAAGAATATATATCAGTATCCAAAACATGAACATATGCATACAGAGACTATATCTGATACACATAACTATGTTACTACACAATCCCTATCAAAGTGTAAAACACGCACTGTAGCCTACTGTATACAACAAGCGATTTCGCCTCCTATTTGAGAACACAGATCACCTACCACAACATCTACAAGTCACAAAACAAATAAAGAACAGGCTAGCTACTGCTGTGCTGCTAGCTACCAGAGCACATGTTTTTACTAAAGCATAAAAACATTCCTTACAAATACAAGTGATTGAAAATGATTTACATTTTACTTACAGGCACATGGTCTCCAAGACAGAAGCGGATCAGAAATACTTTCAGCAACATGAATCCAGCACTGTTTATCTTGCCTGTCTGTCTTCAGCTGAAGAGTGTGTTTCACTAAATTATTAACTCTGACCAGTAGAGGGCAGCAACCAGCATGAAGCCCTGTAATTTAACCATTAAGCTCAGTATTCAACTATTAACTTAACTTTAAAGACAGCACACTCCCCGCTTGATATAATAACATTATATCACTACAGATCCTTCCAAACCTGAGGAAAAACGTCTTTTGACAGCAACATACTTAAGAGTTTTTCACAAAGTCTCTTCAGAATGAAGGACTACAGTTTCTGAGACGGGACTTAGAAACACCTTTGCTGTCCCATCCTTCACAGTCCTGACCTCTACCTTGCGGACCCTATTGTCACTGCTTGGCAAAACCTTGACTACCAGTCCCATTTTGCCATTCGTTTCTGTGAGCTTGGCTGTCTTTTAACAACACAACATGTCCTTCTTTTACATTTGGCTTTTCTTTTGTCCACTTCCGGCGGCTCTGCAGAGTAGACAGATATTCTCCTTTCCATCTCTTCCAAAATGTGTCAGCAAGACACTGGACTTGCTTCCACTGCTTTGCATACAACTGAGCAATACCAAGGTTTCCAGAAGCAGCTACAATAGCACTAGTTTTCTGAATAAGGAGCATCGCTGGGGTGAGTACTGCAGGCATGTCTGGGACATGACACAGCATCGCATCTAGAAAGCGCCTGGCAACCCCGGTAAGTCTCTCCCAGGAGCCACCCATGTGGGAACCATGAGGGGGATTAAACACCCAGCAGCATCCTTTTTCCTGGAGGTACTTCCTTACTGTTGTGATATCTGTGTTCATATCCAACTCTTTACAAGCCCCCACAAAGTTAGTCCCCCTATCAGACCGCAGAAGGTTTGCTGGACCACGAATCGAGAAAAAACGCCTTAGAGCATTGATAAAACTGCCTGTTGACATGGGTTCTATCAGCTCAATATGCACAGCTCTGGCTGACATGCATGTAAAGAGCACAGCCCAGCGTTTGCTTTCCGCACTTCCTCCTCTTGTGCGACGTGTCACGATAGTCCATGGCCCAAAAACATCAAGACCAACACTGGTGAATGGAGGTTCAGGAGTGAGCCTATCTGCAGGAAGATCTGCCATCTTCTGGTGCTCCAACCTCCCTCGTAGTTTTCGGCAGGTAACACACTTGTGGATGACGGAAGACACAAGACACTTACCCCCAGTTATCCAGTATCCAGCTGCTCGGATTGCTCCTTCCGTAATGTGACGTCCTTGGTGAGCTACTTGCTCATGAAAGTGTCTCACAAGCAGAGTGGCAATATGATGGGTATGGGGGATGATCAGTGGATGCTTTTCTTCTTTCGACAGATCAGCAGAAGAAAGACGACCTCCGACACAAAGCAGCCCTTCTTTATCTACCACTGGATTGAGCTTCTTGAGTGTGTTTTGCTTGAAGCATGTCTGTCTGTCATTGAGACATTTCACTTCCTCCTTGAAGACGTCGCACTGGACAGATTGAATGATCACAGCTTTGGCTTGTGAAAGCTCACTTATGCTGGACGTTTCCTTAAAACACTTCCATCCCTTCCCCTCTGCCTTGTGTGCCTTTTTTTTGAAGGATGCAGCAACATGAATGAGTCTGGCTATGGTTTGATGGAGTGTTCTCCAGCTTGAGCATCGCTCAAAGTAAGCCGTAAGCTCTGTGATTGGTCGGCTGCCTCCGAGCCAACCGGAAGTACCCAGCACTTTGATGTAACATTTACTAGCGGCCAAAACGGCGGCTGTAACACAGTGAATCAATATATTTGACCGTCGCAACCCGAGCAAAATGACTCGTTTCGCTATCAGAATGTGATCCATTCGGTCGGTAACATTTGAAAAGGCTACACCAGCCGCACATTGACAATTTTACCCACATTTACGTTAGCGGAGCGCTAAACCCGAAGTTAGCCTGCTCGGCCAGCAAAAGTCAACACAGTGGACGCTGTGGTGCTACTGCCGACTAGCGTTTGGGGGTGTAATTGCAGAATGACGGACACACCTACGCACAAGTATAAATGCATGGCTACCCTACGCAGGAGTATAAATAGGCCTTTAACCCCTAGTTGCTCCAGAGGCGTGTGACCTCTGACATGTATAGCAATTGTAAGTCGCTTTAGATAAAAGCATCAGCTAAATGAATAAATGTAAGTCTAACAAGCTTTGGGCTTAGATACTACAAGGTAAATTCATTTGAGTGAAGTTTTATTAAAGGTTCAGTGTGTAAGTTTTAGTGGCATCTAGTGGTGAGCGTTGTGAATTGCAACCAGCGGCTCACGGTGCATTCACATGCTCCTCGGATGGTCCCATTTCCCGTGCTGTGAAGTCCGACTTGAGTGTGTGTTCATGTGCTCTTAAGTCGGAATGTGGAATCAACATGGACGCTACAACAAAGATGTGTTGGATTAACATTATCAGAGCGTATAAACAACACACAGACAGCATGTTCACTCTACATGGAAAGCAAACTAACAGTTAATATTACACACTGAGTGAAAACAGAGGCAGTCCAGAACAAAGCAAGATTAAATCCAAACATCCAGTGGAAAACACAGGCAATGAACCAGAAATTAAACAAGCAATTCCTCATCCACTCTGTCAGACACCAAGGAGAACTTCACAATGCACACCATGAAGAACAATGAACCACTAACACAATCAGACACAACGAACACAGGAAGTAAAACTACACAATGACAACAGAGACAGACAACCTACAAAATAAAACAGGAAACATGAAACACAAAACACCAAAACCTCAAAATCATGACGGGTAGGCCTTCAACTGCATATTAGCTCCATTGGAATAAAAACATAATGGAGTCAATTTAATTTCTTGGATTAAGTTGTAAACTACATTGACTTGGGGAAAATGATCATAAATCTACAAAACCTGAATCTTCTCTGACATTACAGTCAAACATTTATGAGTATAAAAACTATCTGAAAATAGGCAAGGCTGCAACTTCAAACTACGGACGCCTTGGCCGTGTATTATGCATGCAGTGGAAAGTTATATTAGACTTATAGGCTGCTTCTCAAGCAGATATAGCAATAAGGAAATACTGGTGAGTTCAGCTCACATCACTATATTTTCATCTGCATTGGGACTTTAGAGACTTTGTCGTGAATTGGGTGTACTCGGTGCTTGAAGTGGGCCGGACATTTTCTTACGTACCGGGACTTCTCCCAAGCTGCCGGTCCTCTCCTCTGTCCTCTCCATATCAGGTTCTCTGGGCGCTACGTGACGCTCACCTGCTCCCGTTCTCGACTGCCTGCTAATCTCTGCAGCCGTGTGCTGAATGTAGCTCGTCATTGTCACTCGTCGTGAACCGACCAATCAGAGGCTGGATGGGGTGGGACATTTAAAAATATTGAGAGATATGTGTCATTTACACTGGGGAGGCTGGGGACAGGTCAGAAACTTTGCCAAAACAAGGTCAAGCAACTCAACTATGCACGAAAACTCGGGAAGTGAGAAAAATGGCAGCAGATACTCGGGACTGATGAGTCAAACTTTTTTAGATGTGGCTGCAGCAGAAGGCAGGTTGTTCGCTGAAGGGCCGGAGAACGGTACAAGAATGAGTGTCTGCAGGCAACAGTGAAGGTTCTTCGCAGGTTTGTGGCAGCATTTCTGCTAACTGAGTTGGGAATTTGGTCAGAATGAATGGTCTCCTCAATGCTGAGAAGTACAGGCTGATACTTATTCATCACGTGATCCCATCTGGGAGGCATCTGAATGGCCCCATATGTACTTTGCAGCACAGCGAGCCCAAACATACAACGAAAGTCATTAAGAACAATCTTTAGTGCAAAGAAGAACAAGGAGTCCTGGAAGTGATGGTGTGGCCCCCACAGACCACTCAGCAACCCAGCTTATCTTTTAGTTTAGATAAGTGAATTATCAGTATGTTTAAACTTGTTGAGCTTGTTGTCAGGTTTATTTCTGCTTATTCTGTTATGTTATTTTAATTCTTAGAGTGTGTATGTGTATCTTAAACTTTGTACACAGAGTCAAACTCCTTGTAGGCTCTGTGTACCTGGCCAATAAAAAGTGATTCTGATTCCGAAAAGTAGGCACAGCAGCAGCAGTGCAACCCTCGGGGCCAAAGAAAGTGTTTAATTGGGTTTGCTGGCAAAGAAGGGCGTGTGGGGCCGGTCCAGGCGGTTTATCCACTGATAAACTAAATAAACTCCTCTATTTATAAACACCTCCATTAATAAAGTCCTCCACTGATCATAAGACGCAGTTGGTAGAGTCGCATCATGGAGGTCAAACTGTTGGTTTGTGGCGTTGTGCTCGTGGTCTTAGCAGTTACAGGTGAGTGCTTTTAAATATTGTCACCTGTTTGTTGTGTTCATAATGAAAAACAATCTAGACAGAAGAGATTGATTCTTGTGTTTCTGTGTAATTATCTACTTGTCGCCAGTTCAGACACTTCATATATTTTCATGCATGTTTTTACCTGGTTTTCTTCTCTGGACACGCCTTCTGTTCACACAGGTGAGGTAAAGTAAGCCTGAGGACAATCCAGCAGCAACATGCAGAAATATTTGAATATACTAACCCTGGCAGTCTGACTCTGTGTGTTGACGGGTGACTGATTCACAGATTTATTAGATTAATAAACCAAAAAATGCATCTGTGTGAAAAATGTGTGGTAAAACAATTTACTGAGTTTACTTAAATAAATAAAACATAACAAAGTGAATTAAAGTTGATGACTAAAGTGTCTCAGGAACACAGGAGAAACCGGTCGGTTTTGTCTTAATATAGCTGTCAAACCATTTTAGTCATCAAACACGCAGACAGTTTCCTGTAAGTGACTAAATGTATTGTTATTTGTCTTTCCTACAGGAAGCAACGCACAGTTAGATGGTGAGTTACATCCTCATTTTGTTCATAGGGTTTCCATTTTCTTCTGAGTTCAAAACAGACATTAAACCCTCGACATTAATCCAGTCCAGGTTTGAAAAGCAGCTTTTAGTTGGACTTTTGAAGCTCCATTAGAGTGAAATGCTGTCTCTCCACAGAAGTTGCTTACGTTGTGATGAAGTGTGTTCAGACATTCATGTCCTAGTAACTTTGGTGATCCTCTGACTTCTCATCCAGCTTCCTGTCCAAAACCTCCAAAAACTGAATCTTACATCAGCTCCTGCTGTGCTTCCAGCAACATGCTAACAAGCTTTTTTAAATCTTAATTTATTGAGCACTTTTCAAAATCCATGTTTCAGAGTAACTTTCACAAGATCAGAAAATAAAACACACAGGTCGTAAAAACCCTCAGGTCCCCTTTACTTTTCAGCCTCTGGAACAGACAACAGACCTCTGTGCTGTTGCAAACGGTACTAGAAGATCAGAGATACTGTAGGGAGAGAGGCCAGGAAGAGGCTTAAAAGTAATCAATAACATTTTTAAGTCTATTTTAAAAAATCTCGGGAGCCAGTTAGGGCTTTGGAACATAATCTAATTGCGATTTTCTTTTACCAATAATGCAATTTAGTATGCGATTAATTTTTAAGCTCTTTACCTTCTGTATTATTCAAAACAATCAACCAGTAAATCAGTGTATAGTCTGACCAACACTGTACTAGATAGATTAAACATAGACTGTTCTTTCTTGTAGGTCATGCCTGCGTTATGATGAAATTAATTGATGCATTAATTATTATTATGAGCAATGGTGGAGAAGTATCAAATTTTAATAATATGAGAAAGATAATTTGAGTCAAGAAAAAAATGATCAAATAATATGATATAATCTCATCAGGTCGGTCTACAGACCACAAGAAAAACTAAGTTCACCACAGTGTGTTATTCAGTAAGCGCTCAATACAAAACCCTCAGATCAACCACCAATTCATGCGTCCCGGAGCCCCCCCAGCAGATGGCCCAACAATTTCAACCACCAACACCATCAAGTTACCCGCGCGTGCTGCTTTCATTCCCTGTGTGACACTAAAGTTTCTGTAGTGTCAGCTTCTGTCAAGCTTAAGGTAGGCAGTGTAATGAAGCTACAACAGGAGTGATGTCATCACATTTCTCGGTTCTGGTTCTGCTACCTGGCAGCTGAGTTCTGGACAGTCTGGAGTCGATCAATTGATTTCTGAGTCGAGCAGGTAAAAGTGTTGCAGTAATCCAGACGTGGTGAGATGAAGGTGAAAGCAAGCATATATTTCTAAGATGATGTAAACACGATTGCAGAAGCTTTGCTCTTAAATTACTGTCTAACCAGAAGCCAAGATTCTTCGAAACAGGCTTGATGTGATCCACTAGAGAACCAGCAGATAGCAGTATTTGCTTTGCCGTGTGCGGGGACTCAATAGGTGCGTATGACTTCATGTGCAATAATGTTGTTATATTTTGAGGGTGACATATCATGAAATGTGCTAGCTGCCTGGTTGTTTTTAAATTAATTATAGGATTAGAACTCCATTCATAGTCAACCACTTATCCAGTGTACAGAGGAGAACATGCAAACTCCACACAGAAAGGCACGGACGACCGGGGTGCGAATCCACGATCTGCTTGCTGTGAAGTGACAGTGCTAACCACTGCACCACCATGACGCCCTAGGATTAGAATTGAATATGTTAAATACAGCTAAATGTTGTTTCTAGAGCAGCAACATTAATGTTTTATAGCAACGTCACTCTGTAAAGCAAATATGTAATATCACAATACTGCCAAATTTTAAGACCAGGCTTTGCTACAGACAATCAGCTTTCAGTTAGGTTTGTTTACAACATTTGGCTAATGCCAAGTTAACATCAGCTGTGCTTGCATAAAACATACAGGATGAGACACTGAGGACAGAGCAGTTTAAATGAACGCTTTCTACATGTTTAACCTACACTCAAAGTGCAAAAGTGTTGTCTTTTTACTTGCAAAGGTTTTATTGCACGTACTTACAGTAATGAGCGTAGCTGTCTGCAACTCAAGGAGTTTTGAGCTAACTTTACTGTCTCCACCACGACCATGTGGCGTCTCGCTCTGTGTGTGTGTGTGTGTGTGAACGCAGTAGCCGACAGAGAGCAGCAGAGGTTGCAGCCTGCTGATAAACAGCCCCGGGCCTGTTTAATACCAAGTCTTTATGCTCCTAAGATAGGAGCGGTCTCAAGAAGATACAGCCTACAGTTGAGATCTTAGTGCTTTCTCAAGAGTTAAAGACTGTACTTTTGTTTTCTGGTTGTTTGTATGTTGTTTAATCCTATGTACTATTGCTGGTTTTTATGATGCAAGGCGATTTTATGATCTAAAGCGACCTTGAGTGTCATGAAAAGCGCTATCAAATAAAATGTATATTATTATTATTATTCTGAGAATGATTTTTCCTCTCGCACAAAATATTCTTTGTCATTTCTTGTCTGAAAACTCTTTAGGCCAAAATAAGAAGTTTGAGGGTGTCCCTCCTGCACAATGATACCCATCAAATGTTTGCAAGGAACAAAGGTGCTTTGAGAAACATGCTAATGTCAGCATGCTCACAATAACAATGCTAACATGCCGATGTTTGTGGTTCACCAACTTCACCAACGAGTGTTAGCATACTAACATTAGCTAATTAGCAGAAACACAGAGTACAGCTGAGGCTGATGGGAGAGTCTTTAGTTCTGCAGGTATTTGGACACATTAACATGTTGACCTGATGGATAGATGGAAAGTCAGAGGATCACCAAAGTAATCTGAGGGGAACATGAAGGGATGAAACACTTTTCATGACAATCCATCCCATAGTTGTTGAGACATCCAGACCAAAGAGCTGGACAGACAGACTGACAGGATCATCTTTAGAGCCGAGCTCATGCTGGATTAAACAAATCCACACAGATGATGGCACCCAGAGAGAAACAATACTGTGAACAAACTGGACCCAAAAACATGAATATACATCAATTCTGACTGTCTCCCTCCAGTTTGTGGCACTGCACCGCTCAACAGCAGGATCGTAGGAGGGGCGGATGCTCCTGCAGGGTCGTGGCCCTGGCAGGCCAGTCTGCAGAGCAACGGATTTCATTTCTGTGGAGGCTCCCTGATCAACAATCAGTGGGTCCTGACTGCTGCTCACTGTGGTCTCCAGGTGAGCTCTGATCTTGTCACAACTTCACCTGTACAATCACAGTGAGCTTTTATAGCAATAAAGAGAAAATTAAATGAGGGTTTAGCAGTAAACCACATTAAAACCACTCACGTTTTTCTTTATGCTGTTAGTAATAACAGTCAGACACCATTACAGAGATATTTGTTTTTGCAGCAAGGTTTGAGCATAACAACCAAAATAAGCACAATAAGACAATTAAAGACACTGACACTGTTACACACTATTATAGAGAACCTAAGCCCCTCCCCTTCCACACCGTATAGCAGTTTGTTGTAAAACAGTAACATTTAGTTTTGTATGAAACCGCTCGATGAATTCTCGTGATCTCATCTTGCACAGTATACTTCATACATCGCTTATTTATCACTTTTTTAAGGATAGTTTATTCTAAAATTCACACACAGACAGCACCAGTGTCCATCACATATTTAAACATGTTGTCTTTTCTGCTTCTCAGTACCCTCCCTGATCTCACCGTTAACTTCGGTCTTGACACCCTAGACTTGTCGAATGCAAACGGGATGTCCCGGACTGTGTCCCAGATCATCAAACATCCGAACTTTAATCAAGCCACGCTCAATAACGACATAGCCTTGCTGCAGCTGTCCTCACCTGTTAACTTCACCAACTACATCAGACCCGTGTGTCTGGCGGCGGGCGGCAGCGTCTTTAATGCTGGGACGACCTGCTGGGTCACCGGATGGGGGAACATCGAAACTAACAGTGAGGATTTAAATTCATTTGACAATCAGGTTTTAATGTTTTATTAATTGTGAATGATTGTATGGATGAATTTAGTTTTTATTGTAGTGTTTTGCAAATGAAAACATCACACATTTATATAAACCAGAACCACTGCAGAGGAGATGACAACAAGATGACATCATTAAAAGCCCAAGTAAAACCTAAAAAAATGCAAAACCTCTTTTGGTACTTTGGCACTAATACTGCTATGCTTTTACTGTAGTAAATTTGAATGCAGGACTTTTACTTATGTAATGGATTATCTGATTTTGGGCTGCCCCAAGTCAAAGTCAACAAGGCTGACCTCTTGCTGACCTCTTGGAAACTACCACCTATTTCCAGGAAAAACGCTTAAAATACTGTAACATACCGAAAATAATTCAGTAATAACTCTTCAACCATTAGACCTAGATGCAAAATTCTGGTCTCCTTTGATAGGTAAGAAGCAAAGGAATATGAATAAACTGATGAATAAACTGTAAATTAACCTATTTATTTTGCTATTAAAGAGTAAATGGAGATGCAATTAAGGAAGATATGATATTTTAATCCTCATCTGTTATTAAATCTATATTTTATATCACCATCAAAGCCATCATCCAACTAATTATAATGCAACAGAATATCTTCTAATATAACTGTAAATTTGATATAAAGAAACTAATATACAACAGTTATTAAACAATATATGAAAAAAATATACGAGGCGAATGTCCACGTGTTTTGGCCATATTTACTGTTTATATGTTCACTTTTATTGGGAGTTTTCTTCAAAACACTATTTCTCTCCAGACAACCACGTTCCAAATAACATAAAGCAAAGCACTGAAATATTGATAAAAACAGTGAATATTGATCAACATTACTGTGACCAAAGCACTCCCACGCTTTATAGGCATATAACAGAAGTGGTATCCTTCTCTTCGTTTGTTTGGTATATAGGATGTCTGTGTAGCTCCTACGGCAAGGCAAGGCAAGGCAAGGCAAGGCAAGGCAAGGCAAGGCAAGTTTATTTGTATAGCACATTTCAACAACAAGGTAAATCAAAGTTTAGCTTTAAATAAAACATAAAAGCAACAGGGAAATATAAAAAAGTTTAAAAGCAACATAGGGAAATTGAAAAAATACACATTAAAATATGATAAAGGTTACAGTGCAGTGTACAATCAGGGTTAAAAAAAGTTAAATTGAAAATAAAAACAGGCTGAGAGGTTGAGCAAATTATTGAGTTACAAGTATTTTGAAAAGAGAATAAACAGAGAAGTACACTTAATCCACTCTCTCTAGCTAGTCTGTACTCGGGTCCATAGTAATCTTTGGGTCCACTGAAACTCCAAAAACCCTCGGACACTACAGAGAAACCAGGACATGTCTGTGTGCAGGCCACTTTGATCCAGTTATACTCTGGACCCACCGGCGCGTTTACAGGTGGACAGAGTTTCCTGCAAATCACTCAGGCGTGATATTTTAGTCCACTTCCTTCACTCTGTTCAGTCTCAGTCATTATCTTTCACTCAATTTCCTACTCATTTCCCACTGTGTAAATATTTCATTAAAAACAATGGTAAAAAAAAAGAAGCTAAAAACAAAGAAAAAGAAAACAGGACAGTAAAAGTTACAGTGCAGTAAGTTATCAATAAAAAGAAAAATCTTAAATATTTAATTAAAAGCAATGGTAAAAAGAAAAGTCTTCAGTCTTAATTTAAAAGAACTGACAGTTTCAGCAGACCTGCAGTTATCTGGGAGTTTGTTCCAGATATACGGAGCATAATAACTGAACGCTGCTTCTCCTTGTTTAGATTTGACTCTGGGGACAGAAAGCAGACCTGATCCCAGACAACCTGACAGGTCTGGATGGTTTGTAACGAAGCAGAAGATCAGAAATGTATTTTGGCCCTAAACCATTTAGTGCTTTATAAACTAACAGCAGGATTTTGAAATCAAGTAAAGACCTCAGAACTGGAGTGATGTGATCCACCTTTTTGGTCTTAGTGAGGACTCGAGCAGCAGCGTTCTGAATCAGCTGCAGCTGTCTGATGGATTTCTTAGGGAGCCTGTAAGGACGCTGTTACAGCAGTTAAGTCGACTGAAGATAAATGCATGGATAAGCTTTTCCACGTCCTGCTGAGACATAAGTCCTTTAATCCTTGATATATTCTTCAGGTGATAGTAGGCTGACTTTGTAATTGTCTTAATGTGGCTCCTCAAATTCAGGTCTGAGTCCATGACTACACCAAGATTTCTGGCTTGATTTGTGGTTCTTAACATTACAGATTAAAGTCGAGCACTGACTTTCAATCATTCCTCCCTGGCTCCAAAAACAATAACTTCAGTTTTATCTTAGTTTAATTGGAGAAAATTCTGGCACATCCAATCGTTGACCTGCTCAATACAGTTACTCAGGATCATAGTCCCCCAGATGAAATGGTTATGTAAATCTGTGTGTCATCTGCATAATTATAGTAACATATTTTGTTGTTTTTCATAATCATAACCAGTGGAAGTATGTAAATTTTTGTCAGCTCAGATGTGTAATTACCTATAGACACAAAGTAGTCCACGTCCTTTAAGTAGGATTCAAACTAGTTTAGTACTGTGCCAGAAAGTCCAACCCAGTTTTCAAGTCCGTCTAGCAATATGTTGTGGTTGACTGTGTCGAATGCAGCACTGAGATTTAATAATACTGAATAAAAATAATAATAATAATACTAAGACTGAAATTCTGCCACTGTCAGTGTTTAAATGGATGTCATTGAAGACCTTAACAAGAGCCGTCTCAGTGCTGTGGTGTGGTCGAAAACCTGACTGGAAGACATCAAAACAGTTATTTACTACCAAGAAAGCACTAAGCTGTTGAAAAACAGCCTTTTCAATGATTTTACTTAAAAATGGGAGATTTGATATGGGCCTATAATTGCTCATTAGTGAACTGTCTAGATCGCTCTTTTTTAAGAGTGGCTTAATGACTGCAGTTTTCAGGGCTTGTGGGAAAAAACAGAGAGAGAGACATGTTGACAATTTGTAGTAGATCTGAGGCCATGCATTCAGAAACATTTTTGAAAAAACCTGTTGGCAGAATATCAAGGCAGCATGAAGAGGATTTCAGATGTTGTATTATGTCCTCCAGGTTTTTATGGTTAATAGAATCAAATTGTCTCATGCTATATAAATTGTTTTTAAGTGGACACAGGGACAAGACATATCCTGTTACTGACATGGAGGCACTGATTGCTTGTCTAATTGTTTGAATTTTGTCTGTAAAGAAGGAAACAAATTCATTGCAGGCCCTGGTGGAAGTTCAGAGGCTACAGACACAGGAGGGCTGTTTAGCCTGTCGACAGTAGCAAACAGAGCACGTGCATTATTAGTGTTTTTGGTGATGAAGAAGAAGGACCGCCTTGCATTTCTCAGCTCTAAATTATAAATGCGAAGTCTCTCTTTATAGACGTCATAATGAACCTGGAGATTTGTTTTCAACACACTTTTTTTTTTGTTCTAACCAGCGTGGCATTTCTCCATGGAGACCTTCTCTTACCAGAGACCACCTTCACCTTGGCTGGTGCAATGGCATCAATAACATTTGTAATTTTAGAACTGAAATTATCTACAAGCTCATTCACTGAGACCCATAAGAGGGCGGGTGTCGAAGAGAAAGTCTCAATTAATTTTTCACTAGTGTTTTCAGTGATATGCCGTTTTGTGATTACCTCTGTTTGTATATTTGTAGCACTCTCAAAGAAAACACAGGAATGATCAGAGAGAGCAACATCAGTCACCACAACCATGGAAATGTCCAGACCCTTGGAGATGACTAAGTCCAAAGTGTGCCCCTTTTTGTGTGTGGGCTCTGTCACATGTTGGGTCAGTCCATAATTATCAAGAACACAACACAGTTATTTAGTCCCTCTTTCCTGGGGGTTGTCAACATTTATGTTAAAATCAACAACAATAACCACACAGTCAAAGTCAATACAGATTATAGACAGCAGTTCACCAAAGTCATCAAAAAAGTTTGCATGTTGAGTGCTTCCTGTTTCTTAACACATTCACCATGCTTTTTCTGTTACCTGTCAAGACAGGGATGGAGAAAACTACCAGCACACTGGGCCCCGGTTTGTCCTGGGAAGAGTCATTAGTGCTATTTTTGCTTGTAGCCTGGACCCAGCACATATCAGTCGGAGCTTACCGGGATTTTTCGCCATTGCGGAGGGGGAGGACGGGTTGTGCGCTGTATTTGTGACACGTGTCAAACCTGGAGGACTTAGAACCAGTGGTGGAGGTGGACGGTGAGGGGGGTTTAGGGTAGAGGGAATGGGAGTGGAGCGAGGGAAGGTGCGGGGAGTAAATTTGGTCCCAGCTCTAACCAGGTCTTCCATGTGATCAGTGAAGTCCAACAGGGGGGAGAGGGGAGAAAGTGTGTCTGGAGATAATGGTGACCTAGATGGGGATTGGGGGGGTGAAGATGTTGAATCCTCTCTGCTGGTTTTCAGTGAGGGAGGTGGAGACTCTTCCTCTTGGCTCAGATGTCTCCCGTGATCAGAGCTCTCTTCCAGTGGAGGTTGGGGTGGCTCTTCTTCAAGGTTTCTGGCGTGTTGTGTTATGTCTTCTTCTTGTTTTGATTCCTCTTGTTTCTTGTCCTTGGCAGAGGGAACAGATGAGTGACGCAGAAAGTAAAACAGGTGGGAGCTGAACAATTTTACTCCTGACTTGTTAAGGCGAAGTCCATCTGCCTTAAAAAGATGTCTGTGGTCCCACAGAAAGTAAAAGTTTTCGATGAAATGCACTGAATAGACGGTACATGCCGTTGAGAGCCACGTGTACAATGCCATCAATCTGCTGAATCTCTCAGCTCCTCTTCGGATTGGCGGTATAGGGCCACTGATAAACACCTCAGCATTCAAAGAGCTGACTGTGTTCAACAGATTATTAAAGTCCTCTTTCAAGCCACGATATGCAGGATTCTTTCTGCCAAGTCAGACACCGTATCCTTCGGAAAGCAGAGTATTTTGGTGTTCTTACTGCACATGCTTCTTACATCGTTTACAGCAGAGTCACCCACAATCAGAGTTTCCTTAGCTTTCCCTGCAGCCTTTTACTTTCTGATTTACTCTCAGTCCTTACCCTTATGTGTGAAGACGGGAGGTTATCCAGGTCATCAGATGGAGATCCAGGGTCCTGCAATAGTGGTGAAAATCTGTTCTGCTGTTGCACACTCGGTTGTTGGGGAGGTTTGTTGCTAATTCTCCCTTTCGCAGCTGTTCACGGCTGTGTCCTACCAAGAACAGGGGTTGAAGAGGCGCTCTGCCTGGATGATAATGCAGGCCAGCCAGTCGCATCAGAAATCTCAGGGCGCTGGGTTCTGCCTGTTACTCGTCCTCCCATTTCCCCAGGAAATGATTTACTCTTAGGCTTTGCACCAAGAGCGTTCCAGGGAGGACTCCCACTTTCAGATTTATTACCCGGTACACAGGCCTTCTGCTTCTTGGTAGTCTTGTTGGTGCTAATTAGCCGTGTGTTAGCATGCTCTTGTTCACTGTTTTGGGTCCACGGTAAAGTGGTGTCATTCCCACATAGTCCATTCACTTCCACATTCACTTCTAACCTGTGGATCTTGGTTTCCAGCACTGCAATTTTCTGTAGAAGTTTGTAGAAGTCGTCCGTGGAGAAGGTGGGCATCTTGTTGTTAATTAGCATTAGCTATAACTCCAGCCACTGCAGTACAGGCTAGTGCTATTGATAGGCCGCAGTCGCGTAGCACTAAGATCATAAAAGTTTTTAAAGTATGGCAAGAGCCAACTTTATCTGACAGTCCCAGTGATTTAAAAGTATCCAAGAGCTGCTGATTTCTTGAAAAAAGAATGCAAGCAGAGGCAAGAGCAAGCAGCAAAGCGTCTGCACAGTAAGAAAGCATGAAGTATGTATGTATGTACGGGTCGGCCTGTAGACGGCCATAAAGACCGTGGCTGGTATACAGCAAGTTAAATAATGTCATAAGGATGATTCTTTCTTATCTTTACTTTATATATATATAACTAAGCAGTAAGTCATATTAATTATAGGCATATTATAAACAAGGAAATTAACCATAGGCCTACCAAACACAGCGTTATTCCATCGGCAACAACATGCTTTGCCTTTGATCACGTACGCTAAATGTCATGCCTGGTTACGCTATATACTGCAAACACTTATTTGGCCACAACTGTGATTATTCTGTTAAAAGAAATGTTAAAGTATCACAAAGACATACCCTTGCTATACCATGCTATACCACTGTTTATTTGCACGTTATGTCTGTTTGATGCAGATAAAAGCAGCTGTAGATGTCAAAAGACTGGGCGATACAGCTTTAAAATGCTGAGCGCGCTCCCACAGACTGCAATAAATTTCATGTGGACAATCATTTATCGGCACAACACCTGTATGCTCTGCTATCCAGTTTTTCTGCCCACGTAAAATCTGATTTCAGGTCTGTTAACACCTTATACAGTCTTTGATTAACACACAGTTAAAAACGGGGACGTTTCCAGAGACAACTCCAGACTGCACCACTGCACCACCATGACGCCCTAGGATTAGAATTGAATATGTTAAATACAACTAAATGTTGTTTCTAGAGCAGCAATATTAATGTTTTATAGCAACATCACTCTGTGAAGCAAATTTGTAATATCGCAATACTGCCAAATTTTAAGACCAGGCTTCGGTTTTTGGTGGCCTGTCCCTGGAAAACGGGGACGTCTGGTCTATCTAGCATAGGGTGCAAAGTACTTCAGACACACTTGCATTTTTGTGGTGAAAATCGATCGTCCTGCCCTGTATGCGATAAGTCAGGGCTTAACATTGTAAGGGTCATTTTATAATAATGTTTAAAGGAAAAGACCTTGATGTTTTGTATTTTTCTTATTGTCAACAAATCCCACGAACAGACTCAAACCAGCAACATGTCAGTCCGTCTCTCAACACTGTCTGACTTCTTGTCTATTGCTCTCAGCTCCGAGCCCATTGGTTCCTTCTGAAGACGTAAATCTTCACAGACATATAGTTTCATGTTTAAAAACGTTCAGTAATTACCTAAAACAGCTGCTCGCTGTAGTTTCTTTCAAACAAACAGGAGGAAATAGTACATTTGTTTTTGCACTATTTTCAGTGGTGGATGAATCCACATGTGGTGCTCTAGTGAGTATTTGGGGCAGTAGGACGGTGAATGTGGGACCAAATCCCTTTGTCCTGTGTCTTGACAAACCTTAACACAGAGGACAAGAGGGAAGTACTGCTGGACCACAACAAAATCAGGCTATGAGACACACTGTTGACAAAAAGAAAAAGTACAGACTCTACATTAATATCTCTTTTCTTTTTCAGCTGCACTTCCTTCCCCAAAGAGGCTGCAGGAGGTGAGTCTTCCCATCGTGTCCAACAGGGATTGTAGGGAGGTCTACGGTGGTATAGTCACAAACAACACAATCTGTGCCGGTGTGACCCAGGGAGGACAGGGGACCTGCCAGGTGAGTCTGTCTGCAAAACACTCCATAACACACATGTTTAAATCTGCACTAATAAACAGATCTGTCACTGGTGATAAAAATTACAGTATTTCCCTCTGAGAGTAGAAGTATGAAGTATAACCGACCTGTCTGACGTCTGCAGGGGGATTCAGGCGGCCCGCTGGTGAAGAATAACGGCTTTATCTGGGTTCAGGCTGGAGTTGTGAGTTTTGGATCAGATCAAGGTTGTGCCGTGCCTAATGTCCCACAAGGCTTCACCCGAGTGTCCGAGTATCAGTCCTGGATCAACAGCCAGATCAGCACCAACCAGCCGGGCTTTATCACCTTCACGGAGAACAGTTCAGCCTCTGGGAGCGGTACAACCTCTGGGAGCGGTACAACCTCTGGGAACGGTTCAACTTCTGGAACCTCTCACCTGGTTTCCCTCTCGGTTCCTCTGCTGCTGTCCATCTTACTTGTTGACTTCTACTTCTCTGTCCTTTCATAGAAAGTTTAATTATGATAATTAATGAACCAGGATAGAGTCAACATCTTTGTCTCTCTGTCTCCTGGTCTCATATTTTGAGCCTTTTGAGATTAATTTATTTAAACAAGCAACAAAATCTGGTATATGAAGGCATTTTTGTATCTTTTTAATGCAAGCAAAAATGTCGAGAGCATATTTGTCACTGCAATCGAAAATAAAATTTGTGATTAAAAACAAACCGGCCTTTTTTGTGTCACAAAAAGGTTTTTATAGCTAATCCGTCCTCTTTGATTGCAAGTGAAAAAGTTTTGCGAGTCAAAAATGGTCAAGATTAGAGTTTCTATTGGTGGGTGTGACTGACCAATCGTGGGTTTGGATCGACTGCATCGCCTAGGTTTGCCACCTTTGTGACGGCCCTGCCTAGTTGGGTGTTTAACTGTGTGGTGTTGGGCAGTTTACTGTTCTCATTTTGTCCTTGAAGGTATCAGCGCCCGTAAGCCAGATTGGGAGCACCTGGCCCAGACGCTGTAGGAGGATAAATACTCTGGACCTTTTGCTCTCGAGCTCTTTCATCTGAGGGCTGTTTCACAAAACCAAGATAGCGGATTAAGGCGGGATTTTCCAGATATCCTGGGTAAATTAACCCATTGTCGCGAATTTACATCATACCTCTTCCTTGTAGACTGCAAGCCAAAATAGCACATGGATTCCGCCAAAATCTAGGAACCTTTTGCAAGCCCTTGTTTCTCATTTATGCCTGTTGTCGCTAATTTGCATCGTACCTGAATTTATATCTTTTCTATGTTCTAAAGACAAATTAGCAATCTTCACTTAATTTAACATCAGCTTGAAAGCAAATGAAAACACAAATAATTTTTTTTTTTTTTTGCAAGGTAATTCAAAGTGCTTTATATAAAAAAAGTAACAGGGAAATATAACAAAGTTTTAAAAGATAAATAGAACAAAAACAGGCAGGTCTCCCACCTTTGCTTATTTTACTCCTTTGATTCCCCATGTCCCACTCTATCCCCCCTTTAGTTACTTAGGGACTCTAAATGGTATGGTCCATTTTAGGGGTGTTTGAAATTGTATTTCAAGATTCTTGAGGTTTGAATATTGGGGAATATATTGTGATATTTACAATTACAGGTGAGAAAGACCCCCCTGAACTGTTGTTTTTGAGGGGTCGAAGTTTTAATTAGTATTAACAAAGAGCACTTCACACGAGAGCCAGATCCAGTCTTAACATATTTTTAACCCAACAAAGAGCTCAGGCTGTAAGTTCATGCATCTAAGCGCGTCGGCTATGCATCAAAACCGGTAACAGATAGTGTCAGTTATGAGCAAATTGAAAAAGAGCTGTATGCCATTAAATTTGGATGAAAGAAATATCACCAGTATGTCACTTTGGGAAGTCACGTAAGTCCATCATGTGGAAACTGCTAGCAGCAGCGCATACAAAGATATGACGTCACCATCATCCACAGACCAAGTCAAGCCACTCCTGTTGCAGAAACGCTTTCCAGGAAATCACTATCTGACCAAGACAACGCTATCAGTGAAGGCATGGACATGCAAGCGCACATGATATATAGCAATTTATGTGTCAGCGACATCAAGCTGAAAGAGAGCAGAGACAGGAAAAGACATTCAGCTCAGATCATAGCAGAATACTGGAACCATCTGGTTGAACTTTCGCAGAACTTTCAGAGCTTGAAAATCATCATTCCTACCTCACTGTGCACAGAGATGTTATCCAGGATGCATGCAGAGAGCACGAGACATCCTGTTTTGTCCAGGGATGAACAAGCAGATTAAGGAGATGGTTAGAAAGTACCACACGAGTCTCGAGCACAGACCTAAGAGGCATGTAAACCCGGAGTAAAATCTTGTAGGCTTTGTGTACACATACCTGGCCAATGAAAGTGATTCTGATTCCAAAAAGTAGGCACAGCAGCAGGCTCGGGGCCATACAAAGTGTTAATTTGTTTTGTTGGTGAAGAAGGGCGTGTGCGGCATGTCAAGGCGGTTTATCCACTTATGACAAGACATTGTTGGTAGAATCGCACCATGGAAGTCAAAGTGTTGGTTTGTGGCATCGTGCTCGTGGTTTTAGCGGTTACAGGTGAGCGCTGTTAAATCACAGTTGATCACCTGATTTGTTTTGTGTTCATAATGAAAAGAAATTTAGACGGTAGAAACTGACTCTTGTGTTTCTGTGTAATTTTCAACTAATTGCTAATTTAGAAAGCTTCATGTAACGTAAGACTGTGGAAGTGCTAGCAGCCACCTGCAGAAATGTTTGACTGAACTTGAAAAGAAGAACTGGCAGTTTGACTCTGTGTGTTGGCAGGAGACTGATTCAGTTTTATTAGAGTAATAACCTAAGAAATGTCTCTGTGTAAAAAAAATTGCGGTAAAACAATTTATTGAGTGTACTTGAAAAATCACAACAGAATGAAGTGAATATAAGACAATGACTCGAGTGTCTCAGGACACAGGAGAAACCAGCTGGTTTTGTTCTTGAAATTATTTTACTAATTAAGAGATAATCACTGCACAAACAACAAGCAGACAGTTTCATGTAAGTGACTAAATGTATTGTTATTTGTGTCTCTCCTACAGGAAGCAACGCACAGTTAGATGGTGAGTTCTATTCTCATACTCTTCTGTTCTGTTCTGAGTCAAAAACTGTCTCTCCACAGAGGTTGGTTAAAGTGTGATGAAGTTCAGACATTCACGTTCCCCTCAGGTCGAGTCCAAGTAACTTTGGTGATCCTCTGACTTTTCATGTAGCTACTTAGACAGAAAGCTTCTGAATTCGGCTTCTTATGTGCTTCCAGCAGCATGCTAACATGCTAAATGTTAGCAGCAGGTGTCAGCATTTTACAATTTTAAATTTAAAATATCAAGCAAGTGTTGAAAAATGCTAAATTTGACACTTTCAGGGAAGAATACTAGATGACTTCAGAGTTTAAAGTGATGAAAGAATTTTCACTTGAAGCCAAGCATTTTTTTTTAAGATTATTTGCAGAAACACAAACGTGATATTTACAGCATCACCTTGAGGTCAGAGAGGGTAGGTATATGTACCTGACGAGTGAGTGAAATGTTCAACCCACCTGCCAAATTTTGTGTTGTAATGCTTATCCTGCACAAACACTTTAGCAAAAAAAACTAAGAAAGTGTCCCAGGTTTCAAGTACAAACTACAACAGTGATCTGAACACCCCCATTAACGGCAAATCAAAATTGGTCACCTTGGACTTTGAACCCTCATTCTTCAGAGCCTCACAGTAGGTGACTTACTGACTGAGCTACTGTACTTTACAAGCTACAGCTTGATCACTGCAGACTCACCGTTTGACCGATTTGAAAAACCTTTGCAACACTTGATATCGGCCATCTAGACAATGTCTGTGTTGATTTTGGTAGCATTTCAAGAAAGACTTGTAAAGATATAGATGTTAATTGATTTAGCATATTCTGAAAAATATAGTGACAGACTTCTGAACTGACCAAAGGTTGCAGTGAGTTTGTCACATGTCAGTGGATGTGCTGAAAAAATTTCAGCTCTCTATGACGTACGGGTGATTTTCTTCTTAGAAATTTACACTCCCACTTTAAGCAATAATTTTTAAGTGTGTATTTTGAATATATGTAAAACAGAAACATCTGAGAAGAAAATGCAATTTAATAAACAAATTTTGTAATTTTTTGTAAAATACAAAAGTTTAAATATATGATAAAAAACAGATTGACATATCAAAATTATTTTGATAACTTTAGATCAGCGATGTCCAAAGATAATCCTGCCAAAGTTTCGCATCAATTAGCTAAATGGTGTTAAAAATAGCTTTTTGAGAAAATCTGATATTTTTAGGCCATAAGAGCAAAGATGGAGATATTTCCAAAGATTAAAATAATTTAAAAGAAGTTTTACTTAAAACAAAGCTATTTTTGAAAATATTGCAAAACGTAAAATATGATTGTTATAGCACCAACATGAGGTCTGTGAGTGCCATTTTTTTTACTGAGTAGTGGGAGGAATTTGCAACCCATCTGCCAATTTTGATGAGTTTCGTCGAGCAGTTTTTGCTGCACAAACACTTTTAGCGGAGAAAAAGAAGAAGGAAGAAGAACAACAAAAACAATAGGATTCCTGTAGCTTCACCACTTGGATCCCTCATAAAAATAATCTGTATTTATAGAGCACTTTTCAAACTCTATGTTACAAAGTGCCTCTACAAAGGCAGAAAATACACAGGTTCTAAAATCCATCAGGTTTTACTATAAAACTAGGAATTACAGTTCAAAGAAAAAAAAATCAGTAAAGGTTCACAGATGGAAAATACTTTAAAAATGAATAGCCCGAGAGCTTTTATTTGCTAAAATCACTGAATTGACCCTTTATTTGGGACAGGCGTCCATATGGGACAGGGCTTTAATTCCTCTAGAACAAAACTTAAATAGACTATGAAACAGTTTTTTATTTCAAGCAGAATATTACTTATATAAAATCCAGTAATATCAAATACACTAATTCATTTGATCTTGCTCCAACAGACGGCTTTTATTTTGAAGGCAGCAACGTAACGAAAACAACAACAACAACAGGGTGCAGACTCCAAAACCCGCCGATGTTGTTGCACCGAGTCCAAGCTGGCACGATCTTGATTATTGCGTAATACCTGCAAGCTGCCTGCCTGCTGTCGTCTTTTCTGCAGAGAGGAAACATGCCGCTTGAGAACATACGGTGTTTTTTGCCATTTTGTGTCCGTTTCATTGGAGATATCGGATCGATTGATTCCCCCCCATCACTGTGGGATGTTCCGTTCTCAATCTACAGGCCTGTAAAGCATGGGAGTGCTTTTGGTGACAGGAATGTTGATGAATACTCCCGTTTTTATCAATATTTCAATGTTTTGTCATTTGTAAATAGGTTGTATGGACTGAAAAAGTGTTTTAAAGATATCTATCAATACAAGTCGGAATTTAAACAATAAATGTTGCCAAAATATGGAAATTCGCCTGGTATATTTGAAAATGTTGTACGATAACTGTTGTATTTTAGTTTATTTTCATCAGATTTACAGTTACAATTGTATTCTAGGTGTAGAAGAAGATATTCAGTTGCATTAAAAGCTAACTCAGGATGGTTTTGTTGGTTTATTGCATCAAAATATAGCTTTTTTTACCAGGCGAGGATAAAAATATCAGATCTTTTCTTTATTGCATCTCCATGTAGTCTGTAAAAGTCAAATAAATATATTAATACACAATGGATTCATATTCCTTAGCTTCTGACTTTTCAAAGGAGACCAGAATTATGCATCTAGGCCAAATGGTTGAGGAGTTATTCCTGATTCATTTTGGGTATGTAATTTTAGGTGTTTTTTCTGGAAAAAGGGGTCTGCTTTCAAGTAGTTAAGAGATTTTATAGAGCCAAAGAACTTACATAAAAACCAGACCAGGCGTTTAATGGAGACCTGCGTTCATTTGTCAAAATGTGTTCCACTACGCCTGTAAATGGATGGGCGAAGAGGGATAATGGATAAGAAGAGGTTTACAAGAGTTCACTGACTCAGCCAGCCTGATTTCCTCGGACAGCAAACACTCTGTCTCTTCATCCTCTGAAACCGACAACAGGCCTCGAGGATCTCAGAGTACATACGTGACTAAAAGGTCAGAGATAGAGCATGGAGAGACGCCATTAAGAGTCTTAAAAGAAATCAATACAATTTTAAAATCTGTTGTAAAACATACTGGTCACCAGTGTAATAAAGCTAAAACGGGGTGATCACGTTTCTTGGTTCTGCAGGCTGGGTGGCAACTGTTGGAATCGATCAATAGATTTTGGGTAAAAAAGAGCAACCGAGAGGTAACAGCTATGGCTAAGAAGGACGGAAGAACAAAAGTATTGCAGCGGATGTAAAACTTATTACAAGGTAACGCAAAAGTAGTAAGGCAAGGCAAGTTTATTTGTATAGCACATTTTAACAACAAGTGCTTTACATAAAACATAAAAGCAACAGGGAAATATAAAAAAGTTTAAAAGCAACATAAAATATAATAAAAGTTACAGTGTTAGAATAAGGGTTAAAAGAGTTAAATGAAAAAAGCAATGATAAAAAGCTAAAAACAAAGAAAAAGAAAACAGGACAGTAAAAGTTACAGTGCAGTGTAAGTTATCAATAAAGAGAAAAATCTTAAATATTAATTAAAAGCAATGGTAAAAAGAAAATTCTTCAATCTTAATTTAAAAGAACTGACTGTTTCAGCAGACTAGTATTTAAAAATATTCTCGCCCTCAAACTTAAGGGGCTCCATAGTTTGAGGTTAATCTATACAGCTCATTCACAGCAAGACAGCGAAAAATGAATGAAAATATGAGATTAAATCACATATATATCCCTAACAACAGGGTTGGGAGGGTTACTATAAAAATGTAATCCGGTACAATTACTAATTACTTCTTAAAAAATGTGCTCAGTAATGTAATCCAAGTACCAGAAAATAAAAGTAATGTAACCTGATTACTTCAATACCAAATACGCAAATAAAGACAAGATGCATTGTCTGCTCAGTGTATTTTTAGAGAAACATACAATTATAAAATATCCCATTTCCATGAAGTCAAAATTGAAGTTCAGGCCTAAATGTTTTTATATGATGCCTTGTACTAGGCCATTAAAATGTTGATCTGATGATGGCGCTAAACAAAAAGTCAGAGGATCACCAAAGTTATTAAGAGTTTGTCCAGAGGGGAACATGAAGGTCTGTGCAAACTTTCATAACAATCCATCCCACAGTTGTTGAGATATTCCGACCAAAAAAGCTGGACAGACAGACTGACATCATCATTGATAGCAAATCTATACAGATGATGCTACCCAGCCAGTAAACAGAGTCTCCCCCCAGATTGTGGCACTGCGCCACTCAACGCCAGGATCGTAGGAGGGGCGGATGCTGTTCCCGGGTCGTGGCCCTGGCAGGTCAGTCTGCAGACCAATGGACTGCATTTCTGTGGAGGCTCCCTGATCAACAACCAGTGGATCCTGACTGCTGCTCACTGTTTCAACATGTGAGCTGTGATCCTGTACCAGGGACTTCATTTATGCTACAAAGAGAAAATGCAGTGAGGATGTGGCCATAAACCACATTAAAACCACTTATCATGTTTTTATTTATGCTGTTAGTATTAATCAGACACCATTACAGCTGTTTCAGGTCAGTTCCGATCTTTATTGTTCTACAAGATTTTTGGGGCATTTGGGATAAATAAAAACTTTTTGTCTCTGACTATAGGGGAGAATGTCAAATTCTTCAAAATGAGGATTGGCTATGATGGATTCAGCTTTCGTGTGATTTGCAACATGTTGTCTTTTCTGCATATCAGCCCCACTCCCAATCTCATCGTTTACCTCGGCCGTGACACCCTGAACTTGTTGACTCCAAACGGAAAGTCCTGGACTGTGTCCCAGATCGTCAAGCATCCAAACTATGATAAAGAGACGTTCAACAACGACATAGCCTTGCTGAAGCTGTCCTCTCCTGTTACGTTCACTGACTACATCAGACCCGTGTGTTTAGCGGCGGACGGCAGCGCCTTTAACATTGGGACGACCTGCTGGGAAACATCAAAACTGAGAGTGAGAATTTAAATTCATTTTACAATCATTTTAAATGTATTGCTAATAGTGAATGATTGTACTTTTTATTGTTGTGTTTTGCAAACGATTGCACATGAATATAAACCAGAAAAAGTGCAGAGGTGATGACGTCAACAGCAGCCAAAGTAAAACCAAAAAAATACTTTTTGTACTTTGTCACAATTTTTATGTGAAGTAAGATTTTGAATGCAGGACTTAGATCATGGCCGTCTGGACTACCTTTCTTAGCCTGCTGCCATCGGGACACTGCGTGGATAAGAAGCAGAAAATGGATGGATGAGTCATGATTGTGGTTTTCAGTTTTATTATTCCTGTTACTTTTGGTTTAGCCTGTTCTGACTTTTGCGTTTGTTCTGTGTTCAGTTCCGTGTCAGCGGGATATCTTAACACCTTTGATCTCCAGCCTACTAGCTATCTGCAGGCCAATCATCTATTCTCGGGCTGCTAGCTTACAGCAGACCAGCCAACCACTCTTGTCCTAGCTGCGAGCTGGATCATCTCCTGTTTTCTATCCTTCAGTCAGTTCTGGCTCCTTAGCTTGATCCTAGAACAACAAGTCCACATAATGGTAACTAGTCCACTAGCGGGGGCCAGTTTGTCTCCCTGCATACTAGCAACCCGCTAACTAGACCCCACCTGCCTGATAGCTGCTTGTTAGCTAATGACCACATGCCTGTTTCCCGGCCTGCTAGTGCTTCGCCAGCTAGCCACCTAGCTGCCTGTCTGCCTGACCCTCACCATGTCTGCGTCCCCAACAAGCAGCACTCCTTTGTGGGCACGTACTTGGCCATTTTTCCTGGCACCTGTGGAGGTCATAAGAGGAGACACGGCAGAGATGCTCACAAGTCTTTGCACTAGAGTCCAAGTCAAGTCTCTCAGGGTATAATGAATGTTGTATCACCTGCTACGTTCAAACCAGGCGGCTTATAAAACTGCTTTGCTATAAGGGATTCTGTAACTGTAACCTGTAAAATGCAACTAATGACAGCTTATTAACTACTGTAAGTCAACACCAACTGCAGGCTCTCAAACCCAATGTAACATTAACTAAATAAAACGCTGAGCAGCTGCAAATCCCGAAGTGCAGTTGAGCAGCAGCAACCCCTGGACTGGTTCTGGTGCTACCCAAAGTGCAACAATGATCCCAGCCCCTGCTGCAGGTGATGAACATATCAAACCCCTTGATCCTGCTGTTCAGCCACAGCAGATTTCTGACTTCCCGTCACTAGAATCCCAAGCCTCTAATGAACTGTTGCCGCCCCCTACCTCTGCTGAACAGCCACCTCCTGACTCTGTGCAGCCTCTTGTTCCCACTGCCTTGCCTCAGAAGAGGATGTTCTGCCCCCTGAACATTTTGAACTGTCCACTTCTGTCCACTAACCCCATTGAGCTGCTGTTCCACTCAGTGTGCCTACTCGTCTGTGTCTGCATCTGGGTTCAACCTTGTAGTTCTCCTGCCTTTGCACTTCCATCCATTGCAATAGGATGAATAATTTCTAACAGTTGTGAATTTTTTGTACTGATGATTTAAACTGGAGAGTTTCACGTCCATTTTTTTTACTTCAAATTTGCGCATATAAAATCACTGATGGTAACACGGCTACAGTTGACCAAAAAAAATAATACATGCAGACTCAACATTAATTAATTAATGTTTTTTCAGCTCTACTTCCTTCCCCAGGGAGGCTGCAGGAGGTGAGTCTTCCCATCGTGTCCAACAGTAATTGTAACGCTTCCTACGGTTTCATCACAAACAACATGATCTGTGCCGGTCTAACCCAGGGGGGACAGGGCACCTGTTTTGTGAGTCTGTCTGCAAAAATACTCTTCCATCAACTGATAACTCTGAGAGTAGAAGTTTGGAGTATAACCGACCTGTCTGACATCTGCAGGGGGATTCAGGCGGCCCGTTGGTGACTAAAAACGGCTCTGTCTGGGTCCAGGCTGGAATCGTGAGTTTTGTAGCACAAGAAGGCTGTGCCCTGCCGAATGTCCCCGAAGGCTTCACCCGAGTGTCCCAGTATCAGTTCTGGATCAACAGCCAGATCAGCATCTCTGGAGCCGCTCACCTGGTTCCCCTCTCGGTTCCTCTGCTGCTGTCCATCGTCCCTGTTCTCTTCTCCTTGTCTGTCCTTTCATAGAAAATTTATTTAATACACCAGGATTTAAAATCTCTGTCTCTCTGTCTCGTGGTCACATATGTTTTGCCTTTTAAGACTCATTTATCTTAAAACAAGCAACAAAATCTGCTCCTTGAGTCAAATATTTTCACCCGTTTTTACCGTTCAGCTTCTCGTGTTTTGCAGAAAAGAGACGACAGAAGAGAAGAGAGAGATCAGAAACTGGTGTAATGATGCTTAATTTAAAGAGTAAAATAAGGAATGTTCTATCACTCTATTTCCTTATTTTGTATTTATTGATGAATCATTATTTAAAATAAAATTGTAATTTTTTTAAAAAAGCTTTTAAATTTAACTCATTAAACAGTTTTTCTAATATTCCATTGCACAGTTCATTTGTTTCCTTTCCTAACATTTAATTTCCATTTTCTAATTGTTTCGATTAAAAGACGCTATAAAATAAATATGTGTGAATTATACAGTGACAATCGGGGGGTCAACTTTTTACGGGTTGTAAAGGGAACCCAGTACAGCGCAGACACATGCTTCAGTGAACTTAAGTCTTACAATGCTTACAATATCCTTGCTGATAAATCACATTAATTACACTATGGGTGCCTCACATCACACATCGTTTTTAGTCAGCGGTCACCAAGTATTCTAGAGCATAACTGCCTGCAAGTCAGACCCGCACACAACAGCAGACCCTCCCAACGCTCATAGACCCACAAAACTACAAATCTGTAGTATTCTACAGGTCAGCAGTGGTTTACACATCTGTAGTGGTCTTCAGGTCTGTAGTGGTTTACAGGTCTAAGGAAATGTGGGCTGGTTTGTGTTCTTCTAACATTATGTGTTTGTTGGCAGGTCTAGGCACCAAGTCATAACCTAATTATTTCTTGATATTTATTATATTTGTTATATTCTGACCCACTTCTCTTTCTGCATTCATTGGCTGTAATAAATGAAATAAATCTGTAGATGTTGCCTAAATGTCGAGGTTATACATGAGAACATGTCCACAGACATTTACACACAGGAAAGATATAATAAAATAAAAGCATTCATACATACATGTATACAAACATATAGTAATCTTTAAACCAAATCTTTTAATCTTTCCACCATCTGGTTATTAAATTCAGACAGGAGCCATTTTAAATAGGATCCTCATCAACAGCTAACAGAAAATAATTAGATATGGTATTACTTTATCACCAGGGCTGCTTGACATTAACACCTGCCAACGCAGTCACTACCACTAGCCACTTCGGCGTGGGAAAAATTGTTGTCTTGTCAACAGACATCGCAGTGCGATGGTGCACACGCCAAATATGACATCCAGACTTTTGTCAAACGAGAATATAAAAGTTCTGTGACAGGGCAGCCACAGTCCCTTAGACCTGTAGACTGTCGGCCTCCCACCTGCTTTTAACCTGATGGTATAATCTCTGTCATCACACACGACCGGTCGCATGCACACACGCACGTGCTCCCCCACTGGCTTCCTGTCCAGTACAGGATTGATTTTAAAATCTTACTTTTAACTTTTAAATGCCTTAATGGACTGGCTCCACTTTACTTAACGGAGCTTCTTCACGTTCACACTCCAGCTAGAGTGCTGTGATCTGCCAGTCTCCTCGTCCTGGATGGACCCAGAAGCAGACCAGAGTTGATCGAGCCTTTAGTGTAGCTGCCCCTAACCTGTGGAACAACCTGCCAGTCCAGATCAGAACCGCCCCAACTCTCGAATGCTTCAAATCACCCTTATTATCCTTGGCTATTTTAATATCATTATATCAAACACTGTATATTATAATGATTTACAGCTGTAGTTTTTCTGTTTGTTGATGCATTTTTAACCTGTGAAGCACCTTGGTCAACCTCGGTTGTTACAAGTGTGCTATATAAATAAAATTGATATTGATATTGATATCACATCATATCATCATTTCACTACCTGTTTTAATAAAAGTAATCATGCCATGTTCTAATCAAAAGATGCGTTTGTATGGGAATAATCTGGAAAATAAAGACCTGTGTACTCGTTTCAGGTATCTGGAAGGACCTCAGAGCGACCAGAGCTTCATAATTATAAACATAAATCCAGTCAAAGCTCGGAGGAAATGCAGATACAAAACAAACACTCCAGAAGTCCCCAAAAATGATATAGGCCTAGATAAAGTTTAAAATCAGTTGCCTTAATTGTGGATTTTTTCTTAGACAAAAATAATTCGATCGTCGTTGCTTTTTGTTTCTAATTATAGTATTTACTGCAGTTATAAATAAGTAGTTAAACAGTGTTTCTGATTCAATAGTATTTTCAGTTGTGTTTTTGAATCTTCTACACCCTTGCACCACTTTTATTATATACAATAAGAAGCTACTCTTTTTATGTGTTTATCTTAATAGACGTTTAATAAATGTTTTCATAAAAATGAGCTTTACACACAAACTTATCAAAGCCAATGACAAAATTAATAAACTTTAGCATGCCATAGTCAACTTTAATCATATAAAACGTAAATTCCCAACAACAAAAATGTGGCTAGTGAAAATGCTGTGTGGCTAGTAACTATGGAAATCCACTAGCCACATTGGCTAGTGAGCAAAAAAGTTGATGTCAAGCCCTGTTTATCACACATTTACATGAGCAGGTGGATAGCATTTAGCTCATAGCCTACAGAAGAACTCAGTCTGGCCTACGTGAATTCCCCCCGTTTAACTTTAATATGTCTAAAAGCTAACATTATAGTAACTTTTGTTCGACAGAGTAGAAATGGACCTATGGAATTAACATCTTTGCCTCTTCACTGGTTGTTGACATAAGTGTGGTTCTAATACCGTAACAAACATTGTGAGTGCAAAGATTTTGCAAGCGCAAGTTACGCATATCCTGGGGGCTAAGCCCCCCCTGTTTTTCAATCCTAGTGACGTCCTTGCTTCCACACCTCTAGGGTGAGCATCCGCGAAGTGGTTTCTGATAATTTGCCTACAAACTTGCTTACTACATAATTTGTAATCATGATCCACATGTCTTAGCCCGTCATTTGATATTATTGTAAAAAAAAGAAACTGTGTCAAGAAGTTGTTAAAGTTACTGACAGGTGCTTGAAGTGGGCCGGTACTCTCCAGTACGCAGTACCGGCACCTCGACATTTTACTCTTTGGCATACCGGGACTTTTTCTTGCGTACCGGGACTTTTCCCAAGCTGCTCTCCTCTGCCCTCCCCATATCAGGTTATCTGGGCGCTACGTGACGCTCACCTGTTCCCGTTCTCGCCTGCCTGCTAAAGAAGAGAAGCTCGTGTGCCTTTCAAGCAGCCCTGTGCAGAAAGTAGCAATGACACTTGTCTCGAACCGACCAATCAGAGGCTGGATGGAGAGGGACATTTAAAAATATTTACAGATAGGCGTCATTTACACTGGGGACGCTGGGGACAGGTCAGAATCAGGATGTCTCCATCACTTTTTGTAAGCTTTTGTTAAAAATGTTCTGAAAAACAGCAACAAGAAATGTTAAATTACAAATGAAACAATGGACATAAAACATGCAATGCAATTGAAATTACTGCATTATATTCCATTATATGTTTATATTTTGAATTGTCACCTTAATTTTGTTTCCCTTCATATAAAGATATTTCCACCATAAATTGGTGCAGAAAATGTCTCCAGAATGCGGGAAATTAAGTGTTTAATGCTCAAAGTCGTTAATGTTATAATATTTACTATAAAGTGTTGGGGACATGTCCCCAGCGTCCCCAGGCCAAATGACACCTATGCCACAAACAAACACTAATCCAAACCACATTTTTCCAGGCACTGCTGTCAAGCTGGGACATTTACAACATTGTTATTATTAATTGTAGTCCTATGGAATTAAATACACAATAATAATAATGTAGTAATAAAATAAACAACGGTAGAAATAATAAACATGTAACTTAGGAACCAAGCTTAATTTCACCTGCTAAGCCTATAGATGGCATTTTAATCATTGGAATGAAATTTGTAGAAAACAACATCGCTGGGTTTCATATAAGGTTTTCCAATAGACTACATGTACATTTAAAGATTATTTGTAACAGCATGTTTACACTATGTCTATTTTATTAAGCTTGTTGTCAGGTTTATTTCTGCTTATTATTTTATTATTATAATTCTTATTATATGTGCATGTATCTTGTACTTTGTACACTGAGAGTGATATAATGCCTGGGGTTAAAATCTTGTAGGCTTTGTGTACATATACCTGGCCAACGAAAGTGATTCTGATTCCAAAAAGTAGGCACAACAGCAGGCTCGGGGCCAAAGAAAGTGTTTTGGTTTGTTGTAAAAGAAGGGCGTGTGCAGCCTGTCCAGGCGGTTTATCCACTGATGACAAGACAAAATTGGGAGAATCTCACCACGGAGGTCAAAATGTTGGTTTGTGGCGTTGTGCTCATCATTTTAGCGGTTACAGGTGAGTGCTGTTAAATCTTGTCTCAGTAGAGAACCAGACTTGATCACCTGATTTGTTTTGTGTTCATAATGAAAGATACATAGACAGAAGAGATTGACTCTTGTGTTTTTGTCTAATTATCTACTTACAGCCAGTTCATTTATTTATACACTTCATTTATTTTCATGTATTATTTATGTATGTACCGGGGTTTTGCTCTCTGGACACGGCTTCACCTGTTCACACAGGTGAGGTAAAGTAAGACTGAGCACAATCCAGCAGCAACAAGTAGAAATATTTGACTGAACTTGAAAAGAAGAACCGGCAGTCTGACTGTGTGTTGACAGGAGACTTGATTCACAGTTTTATTATATTATTAAACTAAGAAATGCATCTGTATCAATTTTCTTTTTAGTAAAACGATTTATTGAGTTTACTTAAATAAATAAAACATAACAAAGTGAAATAAAATCGACGACTTGAGTGTCACAGGAACACCAGAGAAACCGGTTGGTTTTGTTCTCAGAAATGTAAATATGCCTGTTAAACCATTTTAGGTAATCACTACACATTAAAACAAGCAGACAGTATCCTGTAAGTGACTAAATGTATTGTTTGTCTCTCCTACAGGAAGTAATGCACAGTTAGATGGTGAGTTACATCCTCAATTATTTAATCATTTAATGTATTTTTGCTGCAAACAGACATTAAACCAAAAGCAGTTTTTAGTTGCACTTTTGAAGCTCCATTAGAGTCAAATACTGTCTCTCCACAGAAGTTGGTTAAATTGTGACGTTCATGTTCCCCTCAGGATGAGTCCTACTAACTTTGGTGTTCCTCTGACTTCTCATCCAGCTTCCTGTTCAAAACCTCCAACAACTGAATTTTACATCAGCTTCTGCTGTGCTTCCAGCAGCATGCTAACATGCTAACAAGCTTCTTTATATTTTTATCTTTATTTATTGAGCACTTTTCAAAATCCATATTTCAAAGTTACTTTCACAAGGTCAGAAAATAAAACACACAGATTGTAAAAAAACATCAGGTTTAAATATAAAATATTTAGAAATCAATAAAATTCTAAAGCATTGTGACCATTTTATGAAGCTAAAACAGGAGCGATGTGATCACATTTCTTGGCTCTAGTTCTAGGCCGGTAAAACTGTTGCAGAAATCCAGGCGTGGTGAGATGAAGGTGAAAGTTAACAGATTTAATTTTTTATATTTCTAAGCTGGTAAACACATGATTGCACAAGCTTTGTTGTGTGCTGCTCAAATCTTAAATTCTGTTTGAACCAGACAACAAGATTATTTAAAACAGTCTTGATATGATCCACTAGGGAACCAGCAGAGGGCAGAAATTGCTTTGCCATGAGCTGGGACTCAATGATAAGGATCTCTGTTTTGTCTGAGTTCAACTGGAGGAAATTATTTGACTTCACAAAGGCAGACAGAAAGTGAACTCCAGGGTCTGCGGATCTGGAACTTTTATTCGTCCGTCTTAAAAGTTTATTGTTGTGACATCACTGAAAATGGAGATCCTTTGTTCGTTTTCTTTGAATCTTCATCTGGGCCTTCACAAGGACCAGGGACGGGCAAAAATACATTAAAATGTGTTTTAATATAAGATAAGTATATAAGAGCCCTTACATGTCTGATATGCCAAACTACCTCAGCACATACAGAACACAGTACTTAACAGAACAGGGAAAAATCTGGTGGATACGTCACATTTTCACAGAGTTATATGAAAGAAACTGTTTTCAATCACGGAAAGTAAATTCTGTTTCCCTCCAGTTTGTGGCACTGCGCCGCTCAACACCAGGATCGTAGGAGGGGCGAATGCTCCTGCAGGGTCGTGGCCCTGGCAGGCCAGTCTGCAGAGCAACGGATTTCATTTCTGTGGAGGCTCCCTGATCAACGACCAGTGGATCCTGACTGCTGCTCACTGCTTCCCCAGGTGAGCTCTGATCCTGTCACAGCTGTTTCAGTTCAATTCAGATCGTTATAGTTCCAAAAGAGGAATTTGTTTTGCAGCAAGTCTTCAAAAAACAAACAAACAACATAAGCAGAATGAAAGCACAATAAGACAGTTGAAGACACTGACAGAGCTGCTGCAATAGAGAGCCTAAGTCCCTCCCCTTCCGCCTCACTGGACCTTATTTCAGAACTATTTGGGCTTGTCATTGGCGAGAGACAACTAATGTTATGATCCCATTGTGCCCTGAATCACACGCTTGATGTCTGTTTAAAAGATACTTAAATTCAAGAGAGTCGCAGTTTGTCGTGAAACTGTAAAGTAATGTGGTGTCCGAACGATAATGCTGCGATGATGTGTTGAGAAGAAATCCGCTTGACACTGTTCTTGGTTATAAAAGTTTATTACATCAAGGAATTCAGCATCAATTACAAGCTCTGCAGCAGCTTGGAGAGTGACCCAGCCCGATGGCCACTCTGTCTCTCTGTACATTGAACACAGCTTATATAAGACATGTTTAGGTCTCTGCTAAAAACCATATAAGGGCACAGTGCTGTAGACTAAGTGTAACCATCTGTTAGACACCACTTCCCCTACCACTGTGTCTCTCTCCAGCTCTGGGTCAGGGGTCAAATTCTATAGGAGGGTTCACTCTTGGTACACCCATCAATCATTACTTCCCCATAAGGGTTCACTGTCCCTCTCTCCAGCTGCAGAGTATTATGTTAAACTGTAATGTCAAAAGCATATGTTATACACCACAGTAACATTTTGTTTTGTGAAAACTGCTCAATGAACTTCATCTCTCGTCTCACTCAGTGTACATGACCAACATGTTAGCATGGTAATGCTAAGCTAATGTTTATTTCTTGCTGCTTGCTAGCTGACTTAGCTATGTTCCATAGCTGTGTTGTGAAGATAAAGTACCTTTACCTTTAATTCCTCCTCTTAGTCCCAAATTAGGCTTTAATAAATCTTGGCTTGTTATGTAGAAGAAATTCTTTGAATAGCAACATTTCCAACTATATTTTAAGATGACTGAGAAATTAAGATTATAGTTTAGTCTTTCACAAAAAATCATGGACCAGTATCTGTCACATATTTAAACATGTTGTCTTTTCTGCTTCTCAGCACCCCATCCGGTCTCACCGTTAACCTCGGTCTTGAAGCCCTAGACTTGTCGAATACAAATGGGATCTCAGGGTCTGTGTCCCAGATCATCAAGCATCCGAACTTTGATAGCAAGACGCTCGATAACGACATAGCCTTGCTGAAGCTGTCCTCACCTGTTACCTTCACCAAGTTCATCAGACCCGTGTGTCTGGCGGCGGGCGGCAGCATCTTTAACGCCGGGACGACCTGCTGGGTCACCGGATGGGGGAGAATCCAAACTGGAAGTGAGAATTTCAAATCATTCGACAATTATTTTAAAGTGTTTTAAAAACGAAACCACACAATTATATGAACCAGAACCACTTCAGAGGAGATGGGCAACAAGATGACGCCCAAGTAAAATGCAAAACCAATTTTGGTGCTTTTACTGAAGTGAAAGTTTGAATGCAGCACTTTTTCTTTTTTTTATAAATTGATGGCTGTCTGGACTGCCTTGCTTAGCCCACTGACACAGATACTCTGCCATAGATCAGGGGCAGAAAACAGATATTTTCTTGTATGTTTTCTTACATCTTTCATGTCCAACCAAGACTTAAAATCCTTAACTGTGACTCACCAATCATCATCTATGGGAAAGGTGAATGGGACTTTTACTGCAGGAACCAGGGCTGCCTGAAATAGTTCCCACTGAGCCCTGTATTTAAAGGAAAAGTCCAAATTTATCTTAATGTCAACAAATCCCAAAAACATGTCAGTCCACCTCTTAACACTCTTCTTGTCTTGAGACTTCCTGTCTCTGGCCCCAATTGGTTCCTGCTGAAGATGTAAATCTTTAAAGACACCCAACAAATGTATAGTTCCATGTTTAAAAAAGGTTCAGTAATTTCCTATAACTGGTGCTTGCTGCACTGGCGACCTGTCCAGGGTGTTCCCTGCCTTTCGCACGATGTCAGCTGGGATTGGCTCCAGACCCCCGCGAACCTGTACTCAGGATAAGCGGTTGACGGATGGATGGATGGATGGATGGATGGTGCTTGCTGCAGTTTCTATGAAACAACCAGGAGGAAACAATACAGTCAGACCCAACGTTAATATCTCTTTTCTTTTTCAGTTTCACTTCCTCCCCCAAAGACCCTACAGGAGGTGAGAGTTCCCATCGTGTCCAACAGTGATTGTAACGCTGCCTACGGTATAATCACAAGCAATATGATCTGTGCCGGTGTGACCCAGGGAGGACAGGGCACCTGCCAGGTGAGTCTGTCTGCAAAACACTCCTCCATCAAGTGATGATGCACATGTTTAAATCTGCACTAATCTATAGAATAAAAAGGACAGTATTTCCCTCTGAGAGCAGATGGATGAAGTGTAACGACCTGTCTGACGTCTGCAGGGGGATTCAGGCGGCCCGCTGGTGAAAAATAACGGCTCTGTCTGGGTCCAGGCTGGAGTGGTGAGCTTTGGATCAGATCAAGGCTGTGCCGTGGCTAATGTGCCAGAAGGCTTCACCCGAGTGTCCCAGTTTCAGTCCTGGATCAACAGCCAGATCCCAACCAACCAGCCGGGCTTCGTCCTCTTTGGAACCGCTCACCTGGTTTCTCTCTCGGTTCCTCTGCTGCTGTCCATCGTACCTGTTGCCTTCTCCTTCTCTGTCCTTTCATAGTTTAATGATTATGGCACCAGGATAAAGTCAAACTCTCTGCCTCTCTGTCTCGTGGTTTCATTATTTTTTCCCTTTTGAGATTCATTTACTTTCAAACAAGCAACAAAATATTTCCTGTTTCCAGCTGAGTTTCTTGTGTTGAATGAGTTTTGCAGAAAAGAGCCGACAGAAGAGAAGAGAGAGAAACTGATGTAACAACACTTGATTTGAAAAACGAGAAATGTTTTCATTACAGATTAATCTGCTGATTATTTTCTCAATTCATTAATTCATCATTTCTCTCTACAACTTGGTGGAGGTTTTGCACAGAAACATGTCTTGTTGTATTTTCATTGCTTATTATTATCTCAATAATAATAATAATTAATTAATTCCTTATAACTCACCCAATTTCAGTCTTATCCTCAAAGTAATTCAGTTCATCATCATATAAATCCTCACATCATAGAAGCTGGAAACAAACAATTGTTTACATTTTTGTTTGTAAAATGACTAAAATCAATTGCATGAAATAGTTATCAATTAATTTTCTAATGATTAACAAACCATTGTGTTAACTTTGCTCTAAACAGGTGAAATAATTTCAACTCATTTGCAAAATTTTCACTTTAGTGGAAACTTTAAAGTCGTTTGTGTCGATGTAATGAAATGAAATAATGAAATGAAATTTATTGAGCCTGGAGTTTTAATCATAGCTTTTAAATGTTTATTCATAATCAATTAATAAAACAGACCCATTTAAAAAAAACTATAAAAAATCAATACTGATTTTAAATAAGCTTCAAACTAAAAGTGAAAAATACAACAAAAGATAATTAAATAAACCATTTAATGACTTTATCCTTGTTTTGTATTTAATGATAAATTATAATTTAAAATGCAATTTAACTTATTAACTAATTTTTCAACTATTCCATCACATAGTTCATTTGTTTTCTTTTTTTGACATATCATTTCCTTTAGGCTATGTGATTGATTAAAAACCTTTCTTAAAGGTTCAGTGTGTGAGATTTAGTGGCATCTAGTGGTGAGGGTTGTGAATTGCAACCATCTGTCCAGTCTACCACTGCCCCCTAACTAAAGAACAAAAAACAGTGCAGCACATGTTGTAATCTGAGAAACATTCGCTGCAGAATCCAAAGTTGTCTCAAAGTGGGATTGAGGCCCAAACCCTTGGATTGCAGTCCTGCACTTTACTGACTGAGATAACCAACCAACATGTTGATGTAAGTCAATGTCATGACTTATATTCTCATCCACCATCTAATGGTTGAAAATATTGCTCCGATTCAAAACTTATGTGCCGACCCCTGCAGTATATTATTACTACTTCTTCTTCTAACGTACGTATTCAACATAGTGATGAGTGTCTGCACTGCCTGAATTCTACCAGAAGTAGAAGATCGTAGTGACGAAATGCGCTCTGTAGGCTGTTCATTTACAGCTACTGTAGAAACATTGTGATGCAACATGGCGAAGGGGGTGCCCGCGGTGATGTTGATAGAAATGGCTCATTCTAAGGTAATAAAAACATAATGGTTTGTTATGTAAGGTCTTTACACACCACTGAAAACACAGTTATGGATATTATATTGCATTTCTGCCGATAGATCCTCAGAAATATTACACACTGAACCTTTAAAAAGTGGTGAACGTATTAACATGGTAACAATTAAACACTAAAAGTTTATAATTATTTCAGGGGCTCCAGACTACAATCAAAGTCTGAACAGATTTTGGCCTGAAATTGAACAAACACACAAACAATACTTTCTGCTGTTTTTTCATGAAAAATTTTATTTATAAAAATTTGGACAGAAGCTGAATTTTAGAAGTTTATCATGTTGAACCTGTGATGTTGCAGATTGATGGTAAAGACATGTACATATTTAATCTACTATTAATTAATTACTGTAACTATTAATGCCTTATTTTTTTGCACTGAACACTTGCAACTGTGACTTAGAGGATACATGAAGTACACAATTTCATCATTTTACATTAATGTGGTAGTCAAATACACACACACACCTCAGACAGTATCAGCGGTTGGGATTTATTGCAGGGCTGTGCAACTGGATAACCTTTTACAGCCGTTCCTATTTTTTGACAGTTTGTTAATCTGTCCTTTTAACTGTAAAATGTTAATTAAATGCTTTTTTCTGATCAATACGAGTTATAATGCTGAAATATATATATATTTCTGATTGTCTCACATGTTTATCTGCTAATATACATTTTTAATGCAAGGATTTTACCACTAATGTAGTACATCTGTATGAATATTTTTATTTTGGTATTGCTACATTTACATTAGGATTTCTGACTGTGGTATATGTAATATGACTATAGTCATAGTTTTCAAGGTAAAATAGTTCATACAAGATATATATCATGCTGCAACCTTATTTATCAAGGTCATTACAACTATAGAAGAAAAAAAGGGCACTTTATGTTGTGACTGTATGTCAATATGGCTGTTTAAACAGATCTGTTCTGTTGTATTTGTGTATTTGCTCAAATAAAAACATATGAGAATGAGATACTATGAGATATTATGCTTTACAGCATACAGTTGAGGCCAAAATTAGTAGCCCCCCAAGAATTATGGAACATTTTCCTAAAATTCTTCCCAAAGTTTGCAGCATTGATAAAACTTGATATAATCAAACATTCATCAATGATATTTAGTAGCTTTGGTACATTTTGGAAAACAAAATACAGTTTTAGGCTTGCTTTATATCAAATATGGTGGTCAAAACTATTAGCCCCCATTTTTGCTTTCAAAACACACCTAATTAACCAATCAGCTTTCAAACAACACCTGTGCAGTCAATTGGCTTCCTAGTAACGCCTGAGCGTTCAGTCAGCATAAAAGGACTCCAAGGAACAGGGCACTTGAACACATATTGAGAGCTACTGAAAAGACTACTTTTACTCACCATGCCAAAGACAAAGGAGATCAGTCTTGATCTCAGAAAGAAGATAGTAAAAGCTCATGATAAGGGGAGAGGCTATACTGCGATTTCAAAGCATTTCACAGTGTCTAGAACGTGCATACGCTGCCTCATTGCCAAGGAACAAACCTGGGCGTGGTCGTAAGTGCAAGATTTCAAGAACTCAGGAGAGGAAAAGAGTCAGAGATGTCAGCAAGAAGTCCCGGACATCTGCCAAGATGATTGTTGCTCTCCCGGCCTCTTCTGGAGTTGATGTTTCACGGAACACAGTTGTGAGGGCTCTTCAGGGTCATCATCACCCAGAAGAACCCCTTTATTCAAAGAACGGCACATCACAGCCAGACCGAGGTTTGCCCGTGAACATTTGAAAGGTAAAGATGAGTTTTGGAAGTCTGTGCTTTGGTCTGATGAGACTAAACTGGAACTGTTTGGGCACATCAGAGATGCTCTCAAGTCTCTGAGCTAGAGTCCAAGTCAAGTCTCGTCAAGTCTCGAGTCTTTGAGCTAGAGTCCAAGTCAAGTCTTGAGTCTTTGAGCTAGAGTCCAAGTCAAGTCTTGAGTCTCTTGTGGTTATAATGAATGTTGAATCACCTGCTGTGTTTAATCCAGGCTGCTTATAAAACTGCATAGCTATAAGGTATTCTACAAATGTAACCTGTTTTTCACAAAGCACAACCATGTGATGTGCAATGCAATTAATGACAACTTATTAACTAATGTAAGTCAACACATCACCAGACTCTCAAACCAGTGTAATGTTATAACTAAATAAAACTGTAGCGTTCCATGATCAGCAATGAACCTGTAGCCTGTTTGCAGCCATCGGTAATAATTAACGCTGATGGCAGCCAGCGGGACATAAATGGTTACATTAATTGACTACCGCAAATTTGGCAAGCAAACAAATGCTCATTCATCTTTTCATAATGAACGACAGTCGGAGTTAACTCCTCGTAGGTTGTAGCTAAAGCAAGAACCAAGCTAACGTTAGATGGCCAATGCTGAGCTAAACATGTCTGGCTTTAAAGCCAAAGTTTATGATGAATGGGTCAGCAGCTGCTGGTGTTTGTTGTCCTCTCTCATGTGTGGCCACACGCAGCTGATGCTATGTGTTCTGTAGGAAGATTTTTCTATGATCCGACCTGCCCTTTCTGTGCCAACAGCACAAAAGTAATATTAGTGGTGGACAAAGTAATCAGATCCTTTATTTAATTAAGATTTTTATGTGGGGGAGGTGGGGGGTTGGGTGCTGGACTCGAACTTTGGCCACAGCAATAAGGGCTCAGTAATGTACATGGAGCGCACGCTCTATCAAGTGATGTTACTGTACCCCTAGATCTTTTATTTAAGTAAATGTACTAATACAACTCTTCCAGGTTAAAGTCCTGTGTTGAAAAAGTTGTTTCAGTAAAAGTACTATCAGGAAAATATCCCTGTGCCTGTCCAATTGTTTCTTAAATCAGCCAAGTCAAAACATCAACATTTGTTTAAAAATGAGTATGAACTTGTTTCTTTGCAGTTTTTTCAGGTCTGAAAAACCAGTTGTCATTTTGTACAATTATTTCCTCTAAATTAATTTTACTTGGAATTTCCTCTAAATGTTGTCAGCAGTTCATAGAAAAATCACACATTTCTATATATCTTCAGAACTGATAATTTAGCAGTGGTCTCTTAATTTCTTATATATTTAAATGAAGAAATTGATCTCATAAACCTGAGACGACTTGTTGACCAATGGCTCAAACTAACTATCTTTAGTTAAGGGCAGCCCTGTTATTGATTATAGCTTACAGGCAGGCAGGTAGGCAGACCAAGATAGCAGTACAGAACAGCAGTTCTTATCCAGTCTGTCCCTCCCAGCTTCAGATTTATGATCAAAACTGGCGTACACGAGAAAGGAAGGGCAGTTGCCAATTTTGATTAATGACTCCAATGCAAAAAGATGAACTTTTGCTTCTTTTAATTTTTATTTGGAATTTCAAAAAAGAAATTGTCAGCAGTTTATAGAATAAAACACTCAACCACACATCTATAAATAGTAAAACCATAGAAACTGATGATTTGGCAGTGGTCTCTCCCAGAGCTCTGTTTTATTACGTATTCTCTTTTCTCTTTTGTATTTCTCTGTAGTGTTGCACGTGTTAATAACGTCACTTTCTTTCTCACCTCTGGAACTCAAACCTTTTTCTGATCCCCCCCGGAAATATATCCAATCCAACTTTATTTCTAAAGCACATTTAAAAACAACCGAGTTGACCAAAAGTCTCTTGCTTACGAGTTCCAGTAAGGAGACAAGCGGCAGCATTTTGAACCAGTTGTAGTTGAGAGAGGGAGGCCTGGCTAACACCTACATACAGAGCATTACAATGATCAAGGCGTGTTGTGATAAATGCATGGAAACCCTCTCAAAGTCTGTGAAGGATAAAAAGGGGCTTTAGCTCAGTAAGAAGCTTAAGTTGAAAGCTTTCACAACAGAATTGATCTGCTTCTCAATTTTAAAATCACAATCCATTTTAAGGCCCAAAGTTTGTAACAGACATAAGGTCGTAAGGTGCCCTGGTCTACTTGTAAGACATCAGAGGCGCCACTGGATCTAAAACCATGACCTCAGGTTTACTCTCGTTGAAGTTTAAAAAATGTAATGCCATCCAGGCTTTAATATCATTAAAACAGTCAACCAATCTTTTTAAAGAGCTGCCATCTTTTCTTTTGATGGGCAGATAGATTTGCGAATCATCTGCGTAAAAACGGATTCTGATGTTGTGTTTTTTTTTTAAAAGCTTGATCCAAGGGGAAGCAAATAGAGTGAGAAAAGAATTGATCCGAGAAAATAATCTTATCATATTTAAAAAATTAAACAAGGTCCAGGGTGCTACTCTTTAGGGGTTATTTTGCCATGGCCACGCATGAGACTCATAAAATACATAATTACTGGCCCCACATGACGTGTGTGCAAAGTTTCAAGAGCCCCTGAAAGGACCAACCTCTGACGTAACTCCTACAACATACACATAGGCGGTGTATGTTTCATTTAGGTGAGGCCTTACACAAAGCATTACAGCAGGACAATGTAAAGCACAAGGTGGGGTAAGGTAGGACAGAGGGACTTCAGTAATGGTTGTCATACACATAATGTATTTGACTCAACATGAAAATCCAGAACAGGCAGTTTGACTCTCAGTGTGTTTGTTCACACACAGTACAAACCCCTCTGATCCGAACCTGCTGGCAGCTTTATTTGGTTTTGTTTGAAAAGAAGGGCGTATGTGGTATGTGCGGTGTGGCCTTAGACAAAGCATGACAGCAGGTCAATGTACCTGACGGGAGGGCCGGTTTAGTGGAGACGGGTGGGTCACACCTTCCTGTTCCAGGTTATTAAACTTCTCCATTGATGAACGTCTCCACTGATCATAAGACACAGTTGGAAGAATCGCACCATGGAGGTCAAGCTGTTGGTTTGTGGCGTCGTGCTTGTGGTCTTAACGGCTAAAGGTGAGTGCTGTTAAATATGTCTCATTAGAGAAGCAGTGGTGATCACCTGATTTGTTTTGTGTTCATAATTAAAAGATATCTAGATTGGAAAGATTGAGAGATTTATGCATTTTCAAAGACAATACTTAAACTGGAGAAAGAGCACATGGCAGTTTCATGGTTAATGTAATGAATAAATTATCAAACTAAGGGTTCATACAATTTTACTCTCACTGTTTCTTTAAAGTGACTAAATGTTTTATTCTTTGTCTCCCACAGGAAGCAATGCACAGTTAGGGGGTGAGTTATGTTCTCATACTTTGTCTTTTATTCAGTTAAGTTCTCTTTTTGCAAAGATAACGCACGGCCGATTCACCTGTTTTCTCTGTTTACACAAAACACACAGAAGAGAAAAGGTTTCAAGCAGAGCTCAAAACATACCTTTAAACCCTCAACATTAATACAGTCCTGGTTTGAAAAATCTGAATTAGAGGAGGACATTTATTATTTTTTGGGGCAAATTCATTGGATTCCTGAGAGATTCTCGCAGGATTGGAAAAAATCTCACTATTCCTCAGGAGACCGGACAGGAAAAATGTCAACAGTAGCGGGCAGGAAAGCAGAAAGCAGCTTTTAGTCGCACTTTTGAAGCTCCATGAAAGTGAAATTGTCTTTCCACAGAAGTTGGTTAAAATGTAGAGAAATTTGGCTCATACATTCACGTGTCCCTCAGCATGGTGTTCCTCTAACTTTTCATCCAGCGTCCTCTCAAAAACCTCTAAAATTGAATTTTACAGTGTACATACTTTATCCCAATAATATACAAAGTGCTTCACAGAGAGATAAAAGATGATGATGATGATGATAATAATAATAGGAGTAAAAGATCAAGCTACAAGAAAGGCAACTCAAAATAACAGTCAATAAGAAGCAACAAATAAAATATAACAAGATAAAAGAATAAACAGGAAATAAAAGCAATAAAAAGATCTGACAGCTCAGATAAAGTCAGAAAACGCTTTCTGGTAAAAATGTGTTTTCAGGCGGACTTAAAAGAAGACAGTGACTCTTGACAGCCTGATGCCTTCTTCTTTAATACAGTCACTCATTCCATATCTGGTCATTCCAGAGTCTGACCGCAAAGGCCTCAAATCTTCTATATCCTCCATAACCTTAAAACTAATCAATAGGCTCTTAAAATCAATCTTCGTTTGATAACTTGGGCTGCTTTCTGTTGGGATGTTTCACTGTCTTGCTGACAGTTAGAGGAAATGATCAATATCAGTTTACTGAGAAAAAGGTACTGTTTTGTTAGTTATTAGTGCTGTTGGGATTTTAAATGAGATTTTCTTGCTTCTGTAACAGAACTCAGAAGTTCAGTTAGCTGCAGGTATTTGGTCACAATCCAAAGTGTTGGACGCATTAAAATGTCGACCTCATGGTGGCGCTAGAGGAAAAGTCAGATGATCACCAGAGAAGTCAGAACGTATCCCCCACAGGACCTTGAATATCTGCAGTAAAGTTCATGGCAATCGTTTGCGTACATGTTGAGAGATTTCACTGATTAAATTAAAACCTGCTGGTGGAAGACAGATGAAGCACCAGAGGATGGACAAGGTCATGAGGATTCCTCCTGAGGGCCCTGAATGTCTGAACAAAATTTCATGATAACCCATCACATAGTTGTTGAGAGATTTCAGTCTGAAACAAAGTGGTTGACCAACATACGTAATGACATCAACGGCCGGCCGTGTTCATGCCGGCTGTAACAAATCCACACAGGAGACAGCACCCAGAAAGAAACGGCAGCAATTACATGAGTTTTGACTGTTTCCCTCCAGTTTGTGGCTTTGCGCCGCTCAACACCAAGATCGTAGGAGGCACACCTGCTTCTGCAGGGTCGTGGCCCTGGCAGGCCAGTCTGCAGAGCAACGGATTTCATTTCTGTGGAGGCTCCTTGATCAACAACCAGTGGATCCTGACTGCTGCTCACTGTTTCCCCGGGTGAGCTCTGATCCTGTTGCATAACTCGGCACAAACACAGTGAGCTTGTATAGCAACAAAAAGAAAAATGCAATGAGGGTGGGGCAGAAAAACACGTTTAAACCACCCATCATGTTTTTCTTTGTGCTGTTAGTGTTAATCAGTTTGTATTGGACACCATCACAGCTGTTTCAGGGCGGCTCATATTGTTATTGTTGCACAAAAGGAATTTCTTTTTGGAGCGAGGCCGCATAAAAACCAAACCCTAAGCACAATAAGACAATTGTAGACACTGGCATTGCTGCTGCTACACACACACACACACACACACACACACACACACACACACACAGGTTTGTGTGATAACAGCAAAGAAAAACTGCCAAACTAAGAACTGGAATCAGATAAAAAACTGAACTCTGCACATGGGATAAATGAGAACTTGTCTCTGACTAGAGGGAAGAATCTCAAATTGTTTGAAGTGAGAATTAGCTGTGGTGGATTCAGCTTTCTGTGTGATTAGCAGCTAAATTTACAGCTGCTGATGAAAAATCAGACATTGAGAAAAAAGAACTGAGCTCCAGCTTGAAATTTTATGGAGGTGTTTCCCTCATAATTCAGATTTTGACCTCAGAATGGTGATTTCTAAATTAAGAATTAATGTGCCTCTGTAATACAATTTAATATTTATTTTCTCTGCAGGCTCTTGTTTCTGTTCTTACTAACCCATCCAGTCTGGAAAGACTGTAGGATGCTGCAGAATGCAAACCAATTTCTCCCACAGTCTCTCTTGTTCTTTATAATAGTAGAAATTCTTGTAAAGTTAAAGAGGTGACGGAGCAGACGGGACTAAATAATGGGTAGAGATGCAGTGATAGCTGAAGGAAAACATTATTTTGGGTGAAATACCTTACATAACGTAATAAGTAAGTTTAACATGAGATTAACTTCATTAAAGTGTGGTGATAAAGGTTTGGCATGTTTATCCTAGACTGAGTTGCGGGCTCATCAAGGCTGTGAGATAGCACCACTGATTACAGAGTGAGGTAAGCGAACTCTCATTGACTGACAGTGCTGTTACATTGGTAAAGACTGCCCTCTATTGGCAGAAATCTACCATAAATTACCTTACATGATGATCTTTACAAACTAAGCACACTTACAAGGGGGTACACTAAGCAACATACAGACAACAATCATTTTCAGTAGCCTATACTGTACAAGAGAGGCTGCAGAAATCGGTTTGCACTCATCAGACTGCAAGGGATAACAAGAGCAAAAACGTACCACAGCACAGGCAAGGGGCCAGATTTACCAAAGGTTTGCATGAGTAAAAACGTGTGCAAACTTGATATCACCAGCAAATTAGCACGTAGGCTGATCTGCTAACGGTGTGCACGCAGAATGACGTCTTTCAAAAGCGCAGGATAGCACCTGTTTTTTTTACTTTTGCCTTAATGAATATGCAATTTGGGGCGTAACATGCAAATACATCTATTTACTACATGCAATTTCAGCCTAAACGCAATTTCATGTGAGCGCAACAGCCTCTGTATTTAATACGTTTGAAAGGAAGGTGCAAACCGCCAAGTGTTGCAGAGATGGCTGCTGTTATTGCCAGAAACAGCCGTAATGAGAGAAAACTTAGAGAAATTACCAATATTAGAAAATATAAATCTGTATCTAATATACAGAAATACAATAATTGTATTTATTCGATGAACTATATGAAGTTTTTTTTTTGTATTTTTCTTTGGCACTACTGTTGTATTAACTTTCGTTTCGATCCGATTCATTTTCTCCGGGAGATGGAAGAGTTTAGAAAGTTGCGTGGTGCTGCAGTAGTGCACGGATCACGCGTAAAATTCATCCAGCCAGAGTAGGTATCTGAGAGGGAATGGGGGCGTACAGGGCCAGTAGATCACGGAGCGACCGGGCGGTGACTGTTCCATCTGGCTGGATGAAGCACGATCTGCTGGCATTTCCTCGCGTCTGGGTCATTCCAGCACTTATGTTTCTGCTGGGGTTTCCCAAAGCAGGTTTTCCAGGTGTTCCTTCCTAAGTACTTAGTCCAATCTCATGCAGGACGGGCAGATACAGACGATTTCCACATACTCGGGACGCACTGAATGAAACAAACCAAGGTTTTTACGCAGTGGCTGCTTTCCCTCCCGACTCTCCATGGCGGAAAGCATTAAAACACGCAAAACCCTCATTTAAATACTGCCACCTCCATTGTGTTTGCTCCTGTTGTCATCTACACAATAATTCTTAGTAAATCAACCTGGTACTAAAATTGCAAGTGCAATATTTTAGAATGCACACGCAATTTAGCAGTCTTTATTCGGGATGTTAGTAAATCCAGCCCACAGTACATAAATAAGATGTATTACAAAGGGCACACTTCACCAATTAGAAGAGTAGATAATGAATACATTCTGATAGGTTTTTGGCTCTTATTTTGAAAGGCTAAAGGCATGAGGTTACATAGCAAGCGATACCCTGATTGGCTGACTATATTTGTGACAAGTCACATTCTCCATGGTCAAAATCATCAGATTCAGGACAAATGCAAAGAGATATGCAAACACAGATTTGACACTTGAATTAAACACGAATGTGGAACAATGGCAGGATGTAAAGTAACACATGAGGAAGGATACTTTCAAAATAAAACAGGAAGTAACAAAACTAAACCGTAAAAAACAACATAGAAACTCAAAAAACGATATTGTTCATCACTTATTTAAAAGACAGTATCAGTATGTTACAAATTTAAACATCTTGTCGTTTGTGTTTCTCAGCCCCGAATCCAATCTCACCGTTAACCTCGGCTTTGACGCCCTAGACTTGACGAATGCAAACGGAATCTCCCTGACGGTGTCCAGGATCATCTTAAATCCCAACTATGATAGCAACACGTTCAACAACGACATAGCCTTGCTGCAGCTGTCCTCACCTGTTACCTTCACTGACTACATCAGACCCGTGTGTCTGGCGGCGGGCGGCAGCGTCTTTAACGCCGGAACGACCTGCTGGATCACCGGATGGGGAACCATCCAAAGTGGCGGTGAGAATTAATTTTGTCAGTTTTAAATTTATTGGTAATTGTGAATGATTGAATGGATTAATTCAGTTTTTAGTGTGTTTTGCAAACGACACCACACATTTAACCAAACCAGAACCACTGCAGAGGAGATGGGAAACAAGATGACGTCATTAAAAGAGCCCAAATAAAACCAGTGGAGGTCTGATATCAATATATATATTATTCTCAAATTGGTCATTCTGCATAATGAGTGCTTTTACTTCTGGTACTTTGATGCCAATTTTTTTCAAAAAAGTTTGAGTGCAGGAGTTTCACTTGAGTAATGGATCATGGTACTTATTCCACCAGTGACTTTAGTGGTTTCCAGTGGATTCCACATGTGTAACACACATTCACTGGTGGAAGAAGTACTTAGATCTTGAAGGGGTTGAAAGGGAGCCCAGTCTGAAGGCAAAGCTTTTGATTTTATTTGGGTAGTGAGAGAAAGATTAAGGTTATGGATCATGAAATGAGTTTCCTCCACAGTGCGTATGGGCTCAGCTTTAGAGGTAAGGAGCTCAGACATCCGGTGGTAGCTCGGCCTTTGGCGCTTTTCCAGGCACACCACACTGTCCGTGTCCATCTACTTAAAGTGCTGAACTGCGACTCACTAACATTGTCTACATGAAAGATGAATGGGATTTTTACTGCAGGAGCCATTCTTGCTTAAATTAGTTCCCACAGAGCCATGTTCTGGTATCATGAGCTGAAAGGAGCAGTCCAAAGTGATGAGTCGTCCTGCACTGGTGTAGCTACGAGGTTCAAAAGTCCTGACTTTCTGCCTGTTCGATCTCAAATACAAGTAATCGCTCATTGGTTTACACTTTGGACTGACGTCTCACAGTCCTGTTTCAACAGCAAAACCATCAGATTATATTCCCCACAGGGAAGTAATTCTACCATTTCAAGCGACCAGGTATGCACTGATTTTGAGGTGCCCCAGGTCAAAGTCAACCTAAAAAGACTAATTTTTGTAATCAAACAGGAGGAAATTGTACATTTGTTGGGAACTATTTGAATGAAACACAAATTCCAAGCAGACTCAACATTCATATCTCCTTTCCATTTTCAGTTCCTCTTCCTTACCCGCAGAAGCTGCAGCAGGTGAGCGTTCCCATCGTGTCCAACAGTGATTGTAATACCAACTACGGTGGTGCAATCACAGGCAACATGATGTGTGCCGGTCTGACCCAGGGAGGACAGGACTCCTGCCAGGTGAGTCTGTCAGCAAAACACTCCTCCATCAAGTGATAATACACCCGTTTAAAGCTGCACTGATCAACAGAAATATCCACCACCTGTATCCACGTTACACTCAGTCCATGATACCTTGGGGCTACAATATTTCTGTCAATAGAAGAAACTGGAATCACTTCAAAAAGATTGACTCTTTTTTTTCTTAGAAGACGTTCAGATTAACACCACTCAAAAGGTGGAGGAAGATAGTGTGAACATTTAGGTCTTAGCCCAAACCTAGGCGGTCATCCTGTAGAGCAACCTTAACCTTTCTGGCAGTCCGACCCTTTTCTGAAGTTGAAAATATTTCGCGATTTGAATGCAGAGACGGGCCCTCAGTTGTGCTCACAGAAGTTTACAGTTGCTTGGATTGTCCGGAGACTGCAACAAACCGTCCCCGACTCGACCTAAAATAAGACTTGAACCGACCATCATTAAGACGAAGCCCCTGGACCAACTGTTAGGCTACTACCAGCGGTGTCTCATGTGCCCGCACAGATCTCCCTTTCCCCGTCTCCTGCGTGTTTGTACACCTCACACACTCAAAACAGAGCCAGAGCAGGCGTTTGTCTATTTTCTTTTATGCTCTAGATGTTTTCAGCAACAAAAGACCTGTGAGTTGGGATCAAGTTTCTGCTAATGTTATTACTTAGCAGCAAACCAAAGATTACAGACATTACATTGTGAAACCATAATACAACAAATGCTGAGGATGACTAACTTCCATTTCTGACACCTAAAAAGTGGCATTTATTTTAATCCGTACCATGATGTTTTCCAAAACCTAAAACAGCAACCCCTTATGACAATGTTCGAGTGGACCTGTAGGCTAGACTGCGAGATTTCTCCAGTTGCAGAACTTTTGCTCCATTTATTTGCCGGTCCAGTCAGAGAGACTGAGGGGAAATTAAACAAAGTAGAAGTTATTTTAGAAACCTAAAAGATTTCAGGCGTTTGAGAAAACATTCGGGGAGCCTAAGAAGCCACCCTCTGCCAATAATACTTCTGTAGGTGTACTGACTTTTACTTGTAATAGTATATTTTCTACACTCTGGTACAACTTTAAGACTTTTACTTAAGTAAAACCAGACTCCACTGAGAAAAATAATAATTTTACCTCACACATTGTAAAACACACTTCACTATGAAAAACTTGACAGAAACAAACTAAAATTCACAAACTGTCTTTGTTAGTCTTTTCAGTTTTCCAACAATCACCAGCTCTTTGGTAGAAATAAATCCTTAATTCACCGTATTAGATGAGAAAGGAAACAGCTGTTCTATCGCTATCAAAAAACTAAAATGCTCGGCATCATCTTCTGCTCAGGATGTCATTACGCCTCTATTTCTTTACACAGCAAATAGTTGTTTGCTGCTATATTAATGTTCAGAGTCTCATATACAGAACCTTTAACTTATAATACATTATAATGTATCAGTTGATTATAATTTAACGAGTAACGTAAAGTAAGTAAATGTAGTCAAGTAAAAAGTGAAATATTTCCCTTTGAGATGTTGTGAAGTAGCATTAAATGGATATACTGTACTATAACCGGCCTGTCTGACGTCTGCAGGGGGATTCAGGCGGCCCGTTTGTGAGTAAAAACGGCTCGATCTGGGTCCAGGGTGGAGTGGTGAGTTTTGGAAATGGCTGCGCCCAGGCTAATTTCCCAGGGGTCTACACCCGAGTGTCCCAGTATCAGTCCTGGATCAACAGCCAGATCAGCACCAACCAGCCGGGATTCGTCACCTTCACGGGGAACAGTTCAACTTCTGGAACCGCTCACCTGGTTCCCCTCTCAGTTCCTCTGCTGCTGGCCATCCTACCTGTTCCCTTCTCCCTCTTTGTCCTTTCATAGGACGTTTAACGATTTAATGCACCAGAGTAGAGTAAAAATCTGTCTCATGTGTTTTTTTTTTGTTGTTTTTTTTAGCATTTTGAGATGAATTTGCTTTAAAATAAGCCAAAAAAATCTGCTCCTGGAATTAAATATTTCCACCTGTTTCCAGCTCAGCTTTTGGAGTCTTGCACAAAAGAGTCAATAGAGGAGAAGAGAGAGATCAGAAACTGGTGTACTGACACTTGATTTAAAAAACGAGGGCTACAACTAAGGAATGTTTTCATTTTGATTAATCTACTGATTGTTTTCTCCGTTAATTTATTCATCATTCTGTCCCTTTCTCTGTTTTGTCTATAACTTGCTGGAGGTTTTGCACAAAAAATATAGAAGTATAATGTGATAATAACTTGGTTTTGTACACATATTATTGTACCTGATTTAAATTGACTAATTGTTTTGTCTTTAAAATGCAGAAAACAGAGAAATATGTCCTTTATAATGTCCACAGCCCAATTTACTCAAAAGGATTTGGACCAACAACTGAAAACCCAAAGATTCAGTTCATCATCATGTAAATCCTCACATCAGTGAAGCTGGAACCAGAAAAAAAGTTTGCATTTCATTTGTAAAATCAATTAACAAAATAGTTAAATCAAATTTATGGAGCGTCAATCGTAGTTCTTTAGTGTTTAATTGTAATTGGCTAAATAAACTTAAAAATTTAAATCAGCACTACAGACTATAAAAAACTTTGAATTCAAAGACACAATAAAAGATAATTGAAACAGTAAATGACTCTATATTGTTATTTTGCACTTAATGATGAATTTAAATTTAAAATGCTATTAAAGATTTTAAAGGCTTTTAAATTTAACTAATTTAAAACATTTTCTAATTGTCCATCTCACAGTTGTCACATTTGTTTTATTTCTTTCTAACATTTAGTTATCATTCTCGATTTAAAGACACCTTAAAAGTTCATTTTAATATAAAAAGAATAAAGAACCATATTTATTTAATGATGAATACATCATTTCACCTTCAGTTTTACAATGCGTTATTTTAACAAATCAAAAAGCCCTTTTAGAAATTGTTGAATTCATTAACACTAAAAGTGTATAATTATTTCAGTGGCTCCAGATTCTCATAAATGTCTACTAAACTCAGTGTGACGTCAGTGACCATGACAACTCATAACAGCCAGGAGCAGAGGTTTAATAGCTGAGTTGGGAGAGGTTGGGATTTCTGCAGGGTCAGGTATGTTATTGTCAGTAAAGCCTTTTGAAATACAATTTAACACAAAGACAGTTTGGTTTATTGTCCTTTTCACTGTATTATGTTAAATGCTTTTTTCCTAATCAATATGATACTGAAAGATGATTCTGATTTTGTATCATTACTTTTTGAAAGCGTTTGTTAAATATGTTCTGAAAAACAGCTTGCAACAAGAAATGTTAACTAAGAAATAAAAATGCTTTGAGGAAGGTTTATTTCCACAATAAAAATGTGCAAGCTAAAAAAAAAAAAAAGCTGCTGATTACTATTATATTTTGAATCTCCAGAATGTGGGAAACGTTTTACTTAATTTCTTAGTTTTACGTTTACTTTTAAGATTTTGAATGCAATTTGAATTTTACTTCTAGTGTAGCGTGTTTGTATGAGTATTGTGTTATTGCTACATTTACTTAAGTAGAATACCTCAATACTACAATCTTATGGGAAATTTTGATCATTAAACACTTCTATATTCCTGAATTCTGGTGAAAGTTTCTGCACCAATCTATGCTGGAAATGTTTTATTTATGTAAAAGGAATTTCAAAATAGATAAATATAACAGAATATAAGTTTTCAGATCTGTTTCTCCCGGAGATCAGCTGTTCTTATGTAATATCATCCCTGCTGAGGCACCACATATGCAGGTGTAATTTAGTCTTCCCTCCTCTGTTTTCATGTTCACAGGGAGAGAACGGAAAACTTGGCCACATAGAAGTTGTTAAAGTTACTGATCGGTGCTGCACGTTTTTGGGTCATCTTATCAGTAGCTTGTTATTTTTTTTTTAAAACTTAAGTTTAACTAACTTTTTTTGGACAATGCATGTTTGTTTCTTCTATATTGTAATTGCACTGCATGTTTTGTTATTGTGCAAATAAACCTTTTAAAAAGGCATTTCCATTTGTTATTTAACTGCGAGCTATATTGCAGAACATTTTTAACAAATTACGCTTTTTAAAAAAGTGATAGGATTCGCCATTTTCAAAAAGTGGTGGGGACATGTCCCCAGTGTAAATGTCACCTACGGCAGTTGTGTTGCTTTTAGTATTTTCAATGTTTTTACACTGCTATATCGACGCTAGATGTTCATAGTTCCCACGGAACCTGAACGCAGCACACCGTCAGATTAATGTGGGGTTTTCTGATTGGATGTCTAACAGGAAGCGAGAGGGCAGTTCATGCTTTGGGTTAATATATGAAATTCACCGTAAATCGACTGTATTTCCTCCTGATTTTAGTTTTCTTTCCGTTTGCGCTGATTCAGTTCTGAATGGAATATAATTCGGCTGTGTTAAACACATGTACACAGTTGGTCCTGTTATGTTTTATCGTTCTGAAGGCGGAGGATCCGTTAGGTGACGGAGGCGGCTGGTGAGTCTCAACCAATGTGCTCACTTACACTAAAACTACATATGTGTGAGGTTATGTGTAATGTAATGTTGGCAATTTACAGTTGGTGATTTTTTACTATAAAATGAATTGTACCACGAGCAAAATGTGGCCCAGTTTATCCCCGACACCTGCTGTGGAGACGGAACTTCACACCAAACTCCATTTAAAATTCGGTCACTTTAACGTCTACCTTCATAAGGAGTCATTTGTAAACACGTCACAGGGTTTAAGACTGCAAGGAGCAACTTTTCAATTTACCACCGAGAGGTAGAAGTCGCAGGGGCTAAAAAGAGAAAAATCCATGTTGAAAATAATGAGTTTGACTAAATTGAACTAACTTGAATCCAAAAGCAAAGAAGAGAAAAGTTAAGTGATGTGTTGCATAGACTTCATTCCAGTGGTAATCTGCACACACTGTTTAGTGCATAGCCCACTTTGTGATGTCGTTATGTTTTGTTCTCCTCTTCATGTCTGTTTGTTCAGGTCATTAAATTCAGACTTCAGATTGCAGGATGAAGGTCCTTGTAACATCGATGTGTTGGACAGCGCTTCTCTCTCACACAGACAGTTCATCGAAAGGTACGTATGACAAACAATCTGATGTTTCCTGGAGCTGGTGATGATGATGAATCCATTAAATATTAAATAATAATAGCATGCTATAACATACATATGTTTAGGTGTAAAAGTCAGCTGTACTCGGAAGTGATGTTCCGAGTTTGTCAGACCTTCTGAGACATTTGGTCAAAAATATTGAGATATTTGATTTGTCTGTTTTCTCCACAGTCTTGTACTAAGCATCTTAAACATCCAGTGACTGTGCTGATTCAACGTTTGGTCTGCAACATTTCCAAAAATAGTGAAGAAAATCGCTGTCACAATTTCCCAAAGGCCACATTTACATATTAAAAAGCTTGTTCTGTCCTGCCAACAATCCAAAATATTCAAATTTATTGTTAGACTTTTCATTGTTCCAACATTCACCAACTCTGGTCTGGTCAAAATAAATCCTTAATTCACCACGATGAGGAAATGTCACAAAAACAACTAATAGACCCTCAAAATTGTTGCTGATTAATGTACTGCAGGATTATCGGTCTCAGAGTTATGCTCATATTATTAAAAACTTCCTTGGTGCTCCGTTATGGATGTAACATGTTTGCTGACTCAAACCAGCTGATCACGTGTCATTGTTTCCCAGATATGCCTACAGCAGACCGGTGATCCTCAGAGGTCTGACTGACAACACGGTACGTATTTAAATATTTGGTTTCAGGTTTAAAAATATCAAAATGATCCTTTGCGTTGGCTGTGATGGGAGAAGGTGTTTGAGCCCAAGCTGGGTGTAGCTGCTTGAATGAATTGGCAATCGCCACAGATGATGTCCTCAAATGGTGCTTTATTAACTACCACTCACATATAACGCAGGCCACTCTGTGTTAGACTTAGTTCAGATCCATGTCTGTGAACTGACTAATCGTCTCTGCAGCATAATTAAAAGTAGGAACAGCATGCATTAATCATTTCATCAGTTACCAGTACAATTTACCACCTGCATGAAACTACTACAACATAACTAAACATGAATGAAATGAATGAAAGCAAAGTCACTAAAGCCTTTTAGCTGGAGCTGAGTGGAGCTGAGTTATTAAATGAAATAAGAGAGGATTGTTTTAACTTAATCACAGGCATCAGCATAAAATATTAACAACAGAGTTATTTGTAAAGACTTACAGTCTCAGGATCTGTCAGTCCGCAGACGTCTCTCAAAACAATGAATCCAGGATGAATTTACTGAAAGGAGATCAAATATATCCTGTCAAGGAGGCAACTGCTCTCAGCAACACACTGACAGAGCAGGAAGCTGGAGACAGCTGGTCATTGGTGTCCTTCCCTGATTGGCCAAGACCCTAATTGGTACTTAACACCACATGGTGGTGCAGAAATGAACCCGCTGAAGGCTATTTTATTTGTCCACGAGGGGGTTGTGATGAGGTGGTCAGACCATGAAAAAGTTGGAATCCACTTTTTTTATTGGCGTTAGAAAAATATGCAGACTTTAAAACCGGCCTAGTGTTTTATATAAAAGTGGAACCTGGTAGATTTTTCCTTAAATGCATCAAGCAAGCATCGCTGGAAGAAGTACTAAGATCATTTACTTCAGTCAAAGTACACACGTATTATAAACAAAATATACTACTGTTATGTAGAATGGACTCCGTGAGGGCTGTATGATCCTTTTTGATGCATTAACATATAAACAGTACTTCAGCTGGTTGAAGTGGAGCTGATTTGAACAACTTTATGTACCTTTTGGGAGTTTTAATCTAAAATATAATATTGACGATGTGTTTTCATATTTGATGAATTCAGCCCATAAAGGAACACTTCGTCCTTCAGTTTATCACGTTCACAATCAGCACATCTGGAGATGCGTGGTTTTCACTGGACAGGAAGTGGATGAGAAACAGTAATCTGAAAAGTAACTTAAACTGTAGTGAAGTAAAAAGTACAGTATTTGAGTTGTGGTGCGGTAGAAGAAGAAAATAAATAAAATGCAAATACTCAAGTAAAGTACAAGTACCTCAAGTTACTTTCCGCTACTGTCGGCACTGAAGAGAATGTAAGAATCAGGACAAGGACGCATTTTTCCTTGCGTTTTCTTCCGCAGATTGTATTTGAGTACAGTAGTACTACAGTAGTGTCTGAGGTGAAATTAAAGCAGCGAGTCTGAACATTGTTTCACCTGAACGTCCAAACGGAAACCTCCTCGACACACAGACTGTCACTGCAGTGAATCCACTAACACACCGACTCTGTTTTAGAAATTCAGGTCTTTGTGCTCCAGGTCGAGTTTACTAGAAGAATATGGCGACCGGAGAGTGCGGCTCAGTACAGCTAACACGTACTCATACAAGAAAGGTATGCATGTGTAACGCTCCCCGTGCTCTGCTGTGATAGGCTGCAGGTGACCTTTATTTATCTGTTTAACTCTCGCTGACTCTTTGATCACTTTGGTCCAGTGGACGTCCCTTTCCAGGAGTACGTGGACGTTTTCCTGAGGCCTCAGTCTGCAGACGCCCTCGGCAGCGGTGAGTAAGAACGCGGTTCTCCCTCAGAAGGCCGTTTTCCATCCTGCATTTTAGCTTTGACTTCAGGAGGAGAGTGGAGGTGAAGCGGTAAGCATGGAGTAGCTCAGCCTGTAGGGAGGGTCATTTACACTGGGGACATGTAGCTGCCACTTTTTGAAAGCATTTGTTAAAAATGCTCTGAAAGGTTTAGGGTTAGGGTTAACCCTAACATGAAATCCCATCGAGCACAGGTGGATGTTTTGACCTGATAGTGACGCAGGTGATGATGAATATTTGTACCTCTGCAGACGTGCTATATTCAGTTTCTCTGTTCTGCAGACACGCTGTATTTCTTTGGCGACAACAACTTCACAGAGTGGCAGAGTTTGTTTGAGCACTACGAGGCGCCGCCGTACGTCCTGCCTCACACCAGCGGAGCCTTCAGCTTCGGGATCGCAGGTCAGAGTTTGTCCTGCGGAGTGGAGTTGACTGAAAGCCGGCAGTGAGAGAAACTGGGCGCAAAGTTAGACTCACCAGGACTTAGCCTGAGCCGACAGGTGAGAAACCTCCGTGTCATCTTCAACTGTAGTGCTCATGTAGGATTTGTCACCAGCTCCAATCTGGACCATCCCTGAAGCAGCTCGGGTGGCTAAACATCTGATTTGGTGACAAACCCAACATGAGCCCTGAATTTAAAGATAACAGGAGGTTTCTCACCTGTCGGCTCAGCATAAGTCCTGAAGAGTTTAACTTTCTCTTGCTGAGCCTTAGAACTTCTCCTGTTAGAGCTGCAAAGAGTTCTGTGACATCCAAACACTGATTTCTAAAATACATCTGAAGTCTTGTAGTTTTGTTTTCTGTGACTCAGATCTAATCTTAAATATCAAAAGGACGAGAGGCTCAAACTGCAGCTCTTGTTTCCTCCCCAGGTCCTGGAACTGGAGTCCCCTTTCACTGGCACGGTCCTGGTTACTCTGAGGTCATCTATGGTCGGAAGGTAAACTGTCTTATTTCCTTCTCTGTCCTGTTTAGTTATATCCTCCCTGAATCTGTCCGATTCCTCAGCTGAAGCGTGAACACGGATGAATGTCACAGTTTTACTTCAGTCCGTGATTGATTTTCTTGTGATCACACAGCGTTGGTTCCTCTACCCGCCTGATCAGGAGCCTCATTTCCACCCGAACCGCACCACCCTGTCCTGGGTGACGGAGACCTACCCCCACCTGCCCGAGGACGAGGCTCCACTGGAGTGCACCATCAGACCCGGAGAGGTAAACACTTTGACTTTTACACACACAGGGAAGAGATTTGTGAAGCGGAGTGCAGTTTTTAAAAGTAGTTTTCGGTTATTTCATTAGTTTTAGTGTCTGTTCAGTTCTACAATAAGAGCATCTTAAAGGTTCACTGTGGAGCTTTAAAAGCACTTAAATGGTTTCTCCAGCCAGCTAAGAGAAGAAGACTGTTGGCTAGTAGGAGGGCTGCAGCTAATGATTATTTTCACTGTTGATTTATCTGTTTATTATTCTCTCGATTAGTCGATGGTTCATAAAATGAAAAATGCAGATCAGTGTTTCGAAAAACAAAGATGACGTCCTCAAACGTCTTATTACGCCTAAAACCCAGAGATACTCACTGAGTCACTGAGGAGGAAAGAAACCAGAAAATAAAATCCCATTGAAGAAATTCTTTAACTTTCAGATGTAAATGTGATTTATTTCAGAATTGGTTTTCCAACCTGGATTTTATGATATATTATTTAAAAAATGAAACAGACTAAATGAGACAGAAAAGTCAACAAACTAAATGATGAGAAAGATTTTCTTCATGGTGACTGTCGGGCGTCAGATGTGTCTCGCCTCATGGTGTTTTTGCACTCTCATTATTACAGTTGCAATATCTTATTAAGCTCCTTGATACTCTACCATTTGCACAGGTGTTATTCTCAATACTGTTATTGCCATTCCACTTCTGCATACCAACTGACCTTCCTCTCTGAGTAGACATCACCTTGCACAAACTGTGTGTAGACTCAGCATTTATATTTAAGACTCTCAACTGCATTTCGTATTTTTGTATTCTATGTATTCAGTGTGTAGTTTTATGTGTATGGCGTATTGCACCTTTATCTGGTAATCTTTTATGCTCCTCGGCACTATACCTTTGTGCAAAGGCAAACTCAAGTGTTATTTATTCCCACCTCTGTTATATTGTCCTCACTTTGCACAAACTGTATACAGAGTCTCTACTGTGTACTTTTGTATTTTTGTACTTTATGTATTTAATCTGAAACTGTATGTAGGGCTGCACAATTATGCTTTATCTTTGCCAGGCCGCTGTTGAGAATGAGACTCTGTTCTCGACTGGCCTACCTGGTAAAATAAATAAATGTTGGTCCTAACGCAGTCACTGTTACAGTTTGCAAAATTTAATCCAACACGAAACAGAAGATGAGGATTACATGCAATGGGTGGTAGGTTCATGACCAGAAAACATAATCCAACATTGAGCAAACACGATATATATAGAAACACATGAGCATGAACAGGTGACAAATAATCAGGACAAAACAGGAAGCTAAGCTAGACACGAACAGCTTCAAAATAAAACAGGACACAGACAGGACTTTAGACCAAACTGTGACAGTGACACTAAAACAACCATCTGAATATTAAAACTTTAATATTTCGAAAATAACTTTTTCTTCCTTTCATAACTAAACTGGACTGGTGGTCTGAACTATCCGAGCTGAGGCCTCAACATAATTATGTTCCACAACAACTCAAACAACAAAAAAGCATCTTGTTAAAACTTTACAGATGGCTTGAGTGGTTTTGTAGTTTTCTAACAGGGTGTTTCTGCTTCAGGTGCTGTATTTCCCTGACCGCTGGTGGCACGCCACCCTCAACCTGGACACCAGCGTTTTCATCTCCACCTTCCTCGGCTGAGCTTCACCTTCACCTTCATCTCCTCTTCCTTTTAAGGGATTCATCCCATCTCTTTTTATCAGAGTTCGGCGCAGACTGACGGGAGGAAAACACTCAACAAGAGACTGTATCTGATGCTTCAGGTGACTGACTGAGTGATGAGCTGGGATCATTTATTCTGAAGCCCCACAGTAACATTCCAGGTTAATCTTTTTAACAAAGATTGTCCTTACATTCAACCATGTTTGAACAACAACAACAAGTATTAAAGACCAAAGGAGCTAAAAGAGACGACGTTCTGTCACTTCTCTCAGGATCAGTTGTAGATGGAAATACATGTGAGAATTATTGATCTATGTTCATTTTTATCAGTTGGTTTTACTATGATGACGTAATAAAGCACCAGTCTTTTGTGCCAGGAAGAAGTCTGCTATTAAAATGTTTGTGGTTCTTTCAACAGAAACATATTTCACTGCAGCAACATCAACATGCTAATATTTAGCAGGTGTAGGCTAATGTTTACCATGTTCACCATCTTAGTTTAGTGTGTTAGCATGCTAGCAGTAGCTAATTAGCATTAAAGTAGAGTTGAGGCTGATGGCAATGACATTAGTTCTGCAGGTATTTGGTCACAAATCGAAGTGTTGGACATGTTGACCTGATGAAGGCGCTAGATGAAAAGTCAGAGGATCAAGGTATTAGAACGTATCCTATAGGGACCTTTAATATCTTCAAAGTTCATTTCAATCCATCAAATAGTTTAGATAGATAAATATTTAACGAAAAGAAATGTCAACATTGCTAGATGAAAAGTAAGAGGATCAATCAAAGTTCTTACAGTTCATCCTGAGGGGAACAAGAAGGTCTGAACCACATTTCATCACAATCCATCCAACAGCGCTTGAGATATTTCAGTCTGGAACAAAGTGAATGACATTCAGTCTCTTTATCTTTTGCACAGGAAGACATCTGACTGAAAGCTGAAAACCAGTTTGAAGAAGTAAATCTGCTCCCTTCAGTCCTTTCAGTCTTTTAGAAGCATACAGACTTGATTGTAGATCCTAGACTTGATCTGGACTGAGTCATAGCTGGATTGTAATCGCGCAAGAAACATTTAATCTGTCAAAAAACTACAAACTCTAGCTGCTGGGTAGGTTCCTCATATGTGATATTAATTAAACCACAATGTAATCAATGATTGGCCCCCACCGCCTCAAGCCCTAGTACACCATCAATCACTGAAATTAAACTATTAGTGTCAAATTCAAGTGGTAAGCATGTTTTCCTTTTATCACAGTCAATAAGATGTCGTCCTCTATGAGCAAGTGGGCCTACAATTATTGAAATATATGCATTCCTGATATATTTATTGCAGTTCTGCAAGGACTGTAGTATAAGTGAGTATAATTAAGCCCCAGACTCCACCTAAATAGGTTTAGTTACCCCTCCACCCAGGCCTAACAAAACAATCTTTTCTTTTGAATTCCTATTGCATTTTCTCCACAAGTTGGTTCTTTAACATCTTGTTTAGTTTCCCCCTCTGTGGTTATCGTTTTCTTCTCCTTAGGTCTTGTATGTCCTGGGCGTTTATAATTCAAAAACTATATTTAAACACTACTCCTTGGCTTTTTGCCCAATCCAGACACTGAGCATAATTTAGGTAAGCTATGCAACTTATGTAACTGATAAAAACATTGTTGACTTTATGTTTCACACGGGAAACAAACACCGTTCTCCTGCTTGAAAGTCCAGTTTCTGGCCCACCTGTTCACCCCAACCACCTCCTCATATGGGCTTTACTTTACTGTACTACCTTGAGCGTTAAAAAACAACTCTACAGGGCTCCCCCCAGTGCATTGACCTATGACGCTAAGGGGTCTTTACCATGCATCCATATGTGACGACTTAGGAGTGAGAACGGTTTGACAAAAGTGTCTATATTTAAGTTGGAATTTGAATACAGGACTTGTTTGCAGTGGATAATTCGTTGACTATATCCATGTTTCAAATTTCCAATGGTTTAAAGAAGACTGTTTCTGTCAAACTCAAATGTTCATATAACAACATAAATTTGACAAAAGTCTACGCAGACTACGTAGTCAACGCAATGATGTAATGCAAGTTTAACTTTGAAAAACTCATACAGTTGAGTTCAAAATCCAAAACTTGTCAGAGCTCTTTGAGTGTAAAAGAAGAAGTAAGCGGATAAAACTAAATGGGTCTGTTATGATTTACAGTTTATGAAATGAGTCTTTCATAACACATATATTACAGCATATGCATCAATACCAAACCAACAGCTGTACAATATGATCCAATTACACAGCCCTGCAATAAATCCTACCTGTGATATTGAACTGCAACACACTGAATGTTGCTAGTAATATTTGACAAAAGACCTGAAGGCATTAAATAGAGTCATGAATTAATACCAGATTAATAAAAGAAACATGTCTTCATCGTCACATCTCATTCTTCAAGTTTATAAACTTCTGATATTCACACACACACAATTTTAATATATGAGCTTATAGAAAATTCTAACTTACAGTCAGGTAAATAAATCAGGTAAAAACTGTAGAAAGACTCATGATTGTTTGTATGTTTGATGAGTCAGGCCAAAATGATCTTTAATAGACTTGGATGAAGTCCGGAGTAATTATAAACTTTTACTGTTTAATTACAGTCAAAAATTAATAAATTCAACACGTTTAAAAGACTTTCTGCTCGACACGTCAGAGAACACAGATATGTGGGAGAGATTCTGAAGTTTTGAACATGATCAGAAAACCTGCTGAATCAAAGGAGTATAATAGGAGGAATAAAGTGCATGGGTTTATAAAGGAATTAAAATTCATTAACTTATCATTGAAGTGAAAAGGTGCCACAAGCACATTAAAGAGGTTACTTCCCCAAACAAAGACACAAAGACAAGTGAAGACTAAATCATACCCATTAATTTTAACATGCTTACACATCTTTCAGTCATTTTAAAGACAAAACATTCAGTTGAGGGAAAAAATAGCCCAATCAAAATTATAACCAGACATCGTCTGGTAATCCTTAAACAAAACCAATTAAATGTCCTATGAAAAGATAAAGAGGTAGAAGGGAAGAGGTATGATGGAGAGCAGCAGAGGAACTGAGAGGGTAACCAGGTGAGAGGTTCCAGAGGATGAAGGATTCCTAGAGATTGTAGGGCTGCGAGAGGTTGTAGCGCTGCCAGAGGTTGTACTGCTGCCAGAGGTTGTAGCGCTGCCAGAGGTTGTAGCGCTGCCAGAGGTTGTACTGCTGCCAGAGGTTGTACTGCTGCCAGAGGTTGTAGCGCTGCCAGAGGTTGTACTGCTGTCAGAGGTTGTAGCGCTGTCAGAGGTTGTACTGCTGCCAGAGGTTGTAGCGCTGTCAGAGGTTGTACTGCTGCCAGAGGTTGTACTGCTGCCAGAGGTTGTACTGCTGTCAGAGGTTGTAGCGCTGCCAGAGGTTGTAGCGCTGTCAGAGGTTGTACTGCTGCCAGAGGTTGTAGCGCTGCCAGAGGTTGTAGCGCTGCCAGAGGTTGTAGCGCTGTCAGAGGTTGTACTGCTGCCAGAGGTTGTAGCGCTGTCAGAGGTTGTACTGCTGCCAGAGGTTGTAGCGCTGTCAGAGGTTGTACTGCTGCCAGAGGTTGTAGCGCTGCCAGAGGTTGTAGCGCTGCCAGAGGTTGTAGCGCTGTCAGAGGTTGTACTGCTGCCAGAGGTTGTACTGCTGTCAGAGGTTGTAGCGCTGCCAGAGGTTGTAGCGCTGTCAGAGGTTGTAGTGCTGCCAGAGGTTGTAGTGCTGCCAGAGGTTGTAGTGCTGCCAGAGGTTGTACTGCTGCCAGAGGTTGTACTGCTGTCAGAGGTTGTAGCGCTGCCAGAGGTTGTAGTGCTGTCAGAGGTTGTACTGCTGCCAGAGGTTGTACTGCTGCCAGAGGTTGTAGCGCTGTCAGAGGTTGTACTGCTGCCAGAGGTTGTACTGCTGCCAGAGGTTGTACTGCTGCCAGAGGTTGTAGCGCTGTCAGAGGTTGTACTGCTGCCAGAGGTTGTAGCGCTGCCAGAGGTTGTACTGCTGCCAGAGGTTGTAGTGCTGTCAGAGATTGTACTGCTGCCAGAGGTTATACTGCTGCCAGAGGTTGTAGCGCTGTCAGAGGTTGTACTGCTGCCAGAGGTTATACTGCTGCCAGAGGTTGTAGCGCTGTCAGAGGTTGTACTGCTGCCAGAGGTTGTACTGCTGCCAGAGGTTGTAGCGCTGTCAGAGGTTGTACTGCTGCCAGAGGTTGTAGCGCTGTCAGAGGTTGTACTGCTGCCAGAGGTTGTACTGCTGCCAGAGGTTGTAGCGCTGTCAGAGGTTGTACTGCTGCCAGAGGTTGTACTGCTGCCAGAGGTTGTAGCGCTGTCAGAGGTTGTACTGCTGCCAGAGGTTATACTGCTGCCAGAGGTTGTAGCGCTGTCAGAGGTTGTACTGCTGCCAGAGGTTATACTGCTGCCAGAGGTTGTAGCGCTGTCAGAGGTTGTACTGCTGCCAGAGGTTGTACTGCTGCCAGAGGTTGTAGCGCTGTCAGAGGTTGTACTGCTGCCAGAGGTTGTAGCGCTGTCAGAGGTTGTACTGCTGCCAGAGGTTATACTGCTGCCAGAGGTTGTAGCGCTGTCAGAGGTTGTACTGCTGCCAGAGGTTGTAGCGCTGTCAGAGGTTGTACTGCTGCCAGAGGTTGTACTGCTGCCAGAGGTTGTACTGCTGCCAGAGGTTATACTGCTGCCAGAGGTTGTAGCGCTGTCAGAGGTTGTACTGCTGCCAGAGGTTGTACTGCTGCCAGAGGTTGTAGCGCTGTCAGAGGTTGTAGCGCTGTCAGAGGTTGTAGCGCTGCCAGAGGTTGTACTGCTGTCAGAGGTTGTACTGCTGCCAGAGGTTATACTGCTGCCAGAGGTTGTAGCGCTGTCAGAGGTTGTACTGCTGCCAGAGGTTGTAGCGCTGTCAGAGGTTGTAGCGCTGCCAGAGGTTGTAGCGCTGTCAGAGGTTGTACTGCTGCCAGAGGTTGTAGCGCTGTCAGAGGTTGTACTGCTGCCAGAGGTTGTAGTGCTGCCAGAGGTTGTAGCGCTGTCAGAGGTTGTACTGCTGCCAGAGGTTGTACTGCTGCCAGAGGTTGTAGCGCTGCCAGAGGTTGTACTGCTGCCAGAGGTTGTACTGCTGTCAGAGGTTGTACTGCTGCCAGAGGTTGTAGCGCTGTCAGAGGTTGTACTGCTGCCAGAGGTTGTAGCGCTGTCAGAGGTTGTAGCGCTGTCAGAGGTTGTACTGCTGCCAGAGGTTGTAGCGCTGCCAGAGGTTGTAGTGCTGCCAGAGGTTGTAGTGCTGTCAGAGGTTGTAGCGCTGCCAGAGGTTGTAGCGCTTTCAGAGGTTGTACTGCTGTCAGAGGTTGTAGCGCTGTCAGAGGTTGTAGCGCTGCCAGAGGTTGTAGTGCTGTCAGAGGTTGTACTGCTGCCATAGGTTATACTGCTGCCAGAGGTTGTAGCGCTGTCAGAGGTTGTACTGCTGCCAGAGGTTGTACTGCTGCCAGAGGTTGTAGCGCTGCCAGAGGTTGTAGCGCTGTCAGAGGTTGTACTGCTGCCAGAGGTTGTAGCGCTGTCAGAGGTTGTACTGCTGCCAGAGGTTGTAGTGCTGCCAGAGGTTGTAGCGCTGTCAGAGGTTGTAGCGCTGCCAGAGGTTGTATTGCTGCCAGAGGTTGTAGCGCTGCCAGAGGTTGTACTGCTGCCAGAGGTTGTAGCGCTGTCAGAGGTTGTACTGCTGCCAGAGGTTGTAGCGCTGTCAGAGGTTGTACTGCTGCCAGAGGTTGTAGCGCTGTCAGAGGTTGTAGCGCTGTCAGAGGTTGTACTGCTGCCAGAGGTTGTAGCGCTGTCAGAGGTTGTAGCGCTGCCAGAGGTTGTAGCGCTGTCAGAGGTTGTAGCGCTGCCAGAGGTTGTAGCGCTGTCAGAGGTTGTACTGCTGCCAGAGGTTGTAGCGCTGTCAGAGGTTGTAGCGCTGCCAGAGGTTGTAGTGCTGTCAGAGGTTGTAGTGCTGTCAGAGGTTGTACTGCTGCCATAGGTTATACTGCTGCCATAGGTTGTAGCGCTGTCAGAGGTTATATTGCTGTCAGAGGTTGTACTGCTGTCAGAGGTTGTACTGCTGCCAGAGGTTGTAGCGCTGTCAGAGGTTGTACTGCTGTCAGAGGTTGTAGCGCTGCCAGAGGTTGTACTGCTGCCAGAGGTTGTACTGCTGCCAGAGGTTGTACTGCTGCCAGAGGTTGTAGTGCTGTCAGAGGTTGTACTGCTGCCAGAGGTTGTAGTGCTGTCAGAGGTTGTACTGCTGCCAGAGGTTGTAGCGCTGCCAGAGGTTGTAGTGCTGTCAGAGGTTGTAGTGCTGTCAGAGGTTATACTGCTGCCAGAGGTTGTAGCGCTGTCAGAGGTTGTACTGCTGCCAGAGGTTGTAGCGCTGCCAGAGGTTGTAGCGCTGCCAGAGGTTGTACTGCTGCCAGAGGTTGTAGCGCTGTCAGAGGTTGTACTGCTGCCAGAGGTTGTAGCGCTGCCAGAGGTTGTAGCGCTGCCAGAGGTTGTACTGCTGCCAGAGGTTGTAGCGCTGTCAGAGGTTGTACTGCTGCCAGAGGTTGTAGCGCTGCCAGAGGTTGTACTGCTGCCAGAGGTTGTAGTGCTGTCAGAGGTTGTACTGCTGCCAGAGGTTGTAGCGCTGTCAGAGGTTGTACTGCTGCCAGAGGTTGTAGCGCTGTCAGAGGTTGTAGCGCTGTCAGAGGTTGTACTGCTGCCAGAGGTTGTAGCGCTGTCAGAGGTTGTACTGCTGCCAGAGGTTGTAGCGCTGTCAGAGGTTGTAGTGCTGCCAGAGGTTGTAGCGCTGTCAGAGGTTGTACTGCTGCCAGAGGTTGTAGCGCTGTCAGAGGTTGTAGAGCTGTCAGAGGTTGTAGTGCTGTCAGAGGTTGTACTGCTGCCATAGGTTATACTGCTGCCATAGGTTGTAGCGCTGTCAGAGGTTATACTGCTGTCAGAGGTTGTACTGCTGCCAGAGGTTGTAGCGCTGCCAGAGGTTGTAGCGCTGTCAGAGGTTGTACTGCTGCCAGAGGTTGTAGCGCTGTCAGAGGTTGTACTGCTGCCAGAGGTTGTAGTGCTGCCAGAGGTTGTAGCGCTGTCAGAGGTTGTACTGCTGCCAGAGGTTGTAGTGCTGCCAGAGGTTGTAGCGCTGCCAGAGGTTGTAGTGCTGCCAGAGGTTGTAGCGCTGTCAGAGGTTGTAGTGCTGCCAGAGGTTGTAGCGCTGTCAGAGGTTGTACTGCTGTCAGAGGTTGTACTGCTGCCAGAGGTTGTACTGCTGCCAGAGGTTGTAGCGCTGTCAGAGGTTGTACTGCTGCCAGAGGTTGTAGCGCTGTCAGAGGTTGTAGTGCTGCCAGAGGTTGTAGCGCTGTCAGAGGTTGTAGCGCTGCCAGAGGTTGTAGCGCTTTCAGAGGTTGTACTGCTGCCAGAGGTTGTAGCGCTGTCAGAGGTTGTAGCGCTGCCAGAGGTTGTAGTGCTGTCAGAGGTTGTACTGCTGCCAGAGGTTGTACTGCTGCCAGAGGTTGTAGCGCTGCCAGAGGTTGTAGCGCTGTCAGAGGTTGTACTGCTGTCAGAGGTTGTAGCGCTGCCAGAGGTTGTACTGCTGCCAGAGGTTGTACTGCTGCCAGAGGTTGTAGTGCTGTCAGAGGTTGTACTGCTGCCAGAGGTTGTAGTGCTGTCAGAGGTTGTACTGCTGCCAGAGGTTGTAGCGCTGCCAGAGGTTGTAGTGCTGTCAGAGGTTGTAGTGCTGTCAGAGGTTATACTGCTGCCAGAGGTTGTAGCGCTGTCAGAGGTTGTACTGCTGCCAGAGGTTGTAGCGCTGCCAGAGGTTGTACTGCTGCCAGAGGTTGTACTGCTGCCAGAGGTTGTAGCGCTGTCAGAGGTTGTACTGCTGCCAGAGGTTGTAGCGCTGTCAGAGGTTGTACTGCTGCCAGAGGTTGTACTGCTGCCAGAGGTTGTAGCGCTGTCAGAGGTTGTACTGCTGCCAGAGGTTGTAGCGCTGCCAGAGGTTGTACCGTTCCCAGATGTTGTACCGTTCATCGAGGCTGAACAGTTCCCAGAGGTTGAAGTGTTCCCCGTGAAGACAACAAAGCCCGGCAGGTTGGTGGCAATCTGGCTGTTGATCCAGGACTGAAACTGGGACACTCGGGCGTAGACTGTGGGGAAGTTAGGCAGAGCACAGGGTTCTCCAAAATTCACCACTCCACCTTGGACCCAGATAGAGCCAGTTTTACTCACCAATGGGCCGCCTGAATCCCCCTGCAGATGTCACACATCTCTGTTACATCATCAGACTGTTTACTGAAAGTATAATTCAAGGTAGTGAGCATGAGGCTATTTTTTACTACATTACACCATGAGCTTTAGTTACTTTGCAGATTCAGATTTGAAATATAATATATATCTCTCTATATATCTATGTATATCTATACATAGATACTAAGTAAATAACTAAGTAATTAGCTCCACTTTTACCAGCTGCAACATTAAAGTGATGAACACACATTTGGTACTTTAAGTAGGCTATATTTGGTGCTTATACATTAGTACTTTAGCTCAAGTAAAATTTGGGATGCAGGATGTTTACAACCCTGTTTCCAAAAAAGTTGGCACATTGTGTAAAATATAAATAAAAACTAAATGTGATGATATGCAAAAAATGGAAACCCCATATTTAATTGAAAATAGCACAAAGACAACTTATGAAATGTTGAAACTGAGAAATTCGATTGTTTCTGAAAAATGTGCCCATTCTGAATTTGATGTTAACAACATGTTTAACAACATGGCAACAAAAGACTGGAAAAGCTGGTGGAAGGACTAACAGTTAAGGTCAACTAGCAAAGGATTAGGATTAGGTATAAAAAGTCTTTCTGAAGTAAACATGAGGAGGGGTACACCATTCTCTGGAAGGTTGCACCAGCAAATGGTTCAACAATTTAAGAATAATGTTTCCCAAAAGCCAATACTTGATAGCCATGATCTTCGGGCCCTCAGATGGCATCAAAACAGACACAATTCTGTAGTGGACATCACTGCATGGGCTAAGGGAACATTTCCCAAAACCAGTGTCTGTGAACACAGTTCGCTCCTGCTTCCACAAATGTAAATTGAAACTCTACCATGCAAAGAGGACACCATATATAAACCAGATCCAGAAATTTGGCCACTCTCTGTGGGCTGAGCTCATTTAAGATGGACTGAAGCGAAGTGAAAACGAGTCAAAATAGATGCTGTGTCCTCCAGGCTTAAGAGTCCACAGCTTGTTCCGTGATGATATGGGGATACATTATGCACGTGGTGTGGCTATTAATAAGAATCAGAAACACTTTATTTGTCACACCGTGGGCATGTCTGCTCTGCTTTGGTCATTTAGTTTTCAGTTAGTCATGGTATTTGTAGTCTCTCCAGTATCTGTTAAATAGTTAGTCTGTGTTTTGGGTTTCAGTCATTTCTTGTGTCTAGTTTACTCTGTATGTTTGCTCTGGTTGGTCTGGTACTGTCTGTGTGTCTGGTTGTGGGATTATGATTTGTTTAGTTCATTATGACGTTGATCTTTCTGCTTTAGTTTCCGTGTAGCCTTGTTTATTATTTTATTCATCCGCATCTTTAAGTTTACTTAGTATGTGTCTTGTATCTTGTTGGTTTGTCTTTCTAGTTTAGTTAGCCAAGTTAACTAAGTTGTAGTTAGCCAGGTGTAGTTAGCTAGCATAGTTATTGCAGAAAGTTAGCTAACAGAGGGTCTTCATTTTATTTTTTAGTTTCCTCATCAAGTGTGCTGTTCATTTTCATTATGGCATTTGTGCGTGCAGTGTTGGAGGACAGATGACAGAAAACATGTCGCACTTTTACCATGCCACAGTCTTATATACAGTCTGCAACATGCATTTTACTGACGTCTGTTTTACCAATGCATTGGCACCCCCCACACCCCTGCGGTAAAGGAAGCGCACCATAAAACGTAGTGGGAGTTATCGTGTGCAGTGTGTGACAGGACCATCGACTGTATGATTGATAACAGCTGATATGCGCACATTAGTTTCTATCATGGGTAAGTAATAGCTAATCTTGCCAGACAGAAAAGTGTACTAAACTTTATAGTGTAGCAATGTTAACACAGCATATCGTTAGTGAACACTCCAGCCGGTCAGTTTTTGGTTGTTATGGTAATGTATTACGTCCAACTACTAACCACACCCCCATTCTCTGTTTGAGAAAGAACTTTAATCAAAACGGCAGTTAAAACTGGCTGGAGGGGGGCTTTAAAGGACATGTCTTGATGAAAGATAACTCTGAGATTCCTCACAGTGATACTGGAAGCCGGGGCGATACCATCCTGAGTTAACTATATCTTTAAACAATGTGTCACAGAGGTGCTTGGGGCCCAGTACAATAACTTCAGTTTTTATTTTAGTTTAACATTAGAAAATCACAGGTCATCCAGGTTTTAACATCCTGAGGGCACATTTTGAATTAAGCTAACTATATAATTGAGCATCATCTGCATAACAGTGAAAGTTTATTGAGTGTTTCCTAATTATTGCCTAAAGGGAACATATATAAAATGAACAAGATTGGTCATAGCACAGATCCTTGTGAAACTCCATGACTAACTTCGGCGTGCATGGAGGATTCATCGTTAGGGGTAGGGTGAAGTAAGTAGTTTAATGTAATTTGAACATAATATGGTGATTTTCTTCAAAACTAGTAATGTTAGTTACCTGGTAATGAAGCTGTGTTTTTTATATTTCATTAGTGACTTGTTAGATTGCTTGATGTGGGATATAACGTTACCATAAGAGAGAGATTACCACAGTGAACGACGGCATATTGGAATATTGTTTTCAATAGTCGTCATGGAGAAATCCTGTAAAAACTTGTCACATCTGTTAATGTCAGAGCCATCATCGACTACTGATGACGTGCCAAGGGGTACACTCGAAAAACAAGTGGTAGGGGCTATTGTTGTGCTGGTCTGCCCATTTCTGCATTTACTACAGCAGCACGGCTTTGTAGTAAAAGAGTCCGGGTGCTCAACTGGCCTGTCCGCAGTCCCAACATTGAAAATGTTTGATATTATGAAACGTAAAACACGACAAACTGTTGATCAGCTGAATGGGAAATGAATGGGAAAACATCCCACTTCCCAGATTACAGCAGTCTGTCTCCTCAGATGCTTACAGAGTGTTGTTAAAAGAACAGTTAATGCAACAGAGCATTAGACATGACCCTGTCCCAACTGTTCGTGGCATCAAATTCAAAATGGGCAAATCATTTTCCAAAAACAATCAAATATTCAGTTTCAACATTTGGTAAGTTGTGCTCTTTTTAAATATGGGGTTTCAATGTTTTGCACATCATCACATTTTATTTTTATTTACATTTTACACAGCATGCCAACTTTTTGGAAACTGGGTTGGGCTGTATTTCTACACAGTGGTATAATTACTTTTACTTCAATCATTGCCTTCAAGTGTGTTAATACATTGGACACATACTAGTACTAAAGTACTTAGATCCTTTGGTTTTGGTTTTATGGCAATAAAAGTATGTACGTATTAGCAGCAAAATGTACTTGACGTGCAGATTTAAATTTAGCTCAAGGTATCATCAGGGACTAACATGGACACAGACGTTGATAAAAATCAATAGACAGCTATATTGATTTGTGCAGATTTAAACATTAATGAAGCTGATGAATTTTCCAAACAGACTCACATAGCAGGAGTACTTTCCTCCCTGGGTCAGACCGGCACACACCATGTTGCTTGTGATGAAACCGTATTCAGCGCAACAATCACTGTTGGACACGATGGGAACACTCACCTGCTGCAGATACTGTGAGAAAGGAAGTGAAACTGAAAAAGAAAAGACACAAAAATGTTGAGTTGGTATTTTTCTTTTAGTCAACACTGTGTGTGTCTCACATCTTGATGTCTCTTCTTCCTCTTAGCCTTAGAGCTCCATTGTTGTCCAGAGACAACACCAGAGCCTCACTGCTGCACTGGGTGACATGTTCCTTCATCACCATAAACACACACACTATGGTTTATTCTGACTCAGTCCCACATACACCGTCCTGCTGCCCCAAACACTCACTAGAGTTGCACACGCACAGTACCTAGTTAAAGACAAAAAAGAGGTAAAAGGTTTTCCATTTTTTGAGTTTTATTTGGACTCTTGTAATAACTAGTTGCTCCTCTGCAGTGGTTCTGGTTGATATAAATGTGTGGTGTCTTGTGGTGTCGTTTTCACAACACAAAAATAAAACCTGAATTATTCCATACAACCATTCACTATTAACAATACATTTAAAAATGACAAAACAAAATCTCACTGTTATCTTGGATGATTCCCCATCCAGTGACCCAGCAGGTCGTCCCGGAGTTAAAGACGCTGCCGTCCGCCGCTAAACACACTGGTCTGATGTATTCGGTGAAGGTAACAGGACAGCTGCAACAAGGCTATGTCGTTATTGGGTGAGTAGGCATTGTAGTTGGGATTTATGATGATTTTGGAAACAGTCCGGGACACCTCGTTGGGGTTCGAGAGTTCCTGGGAATCACGTCCGAGGTAAACGACGAGATTGGATGTGCTGGTGCTGAAAACAGAAAAAACAACATATTCTACACTCCTGTGACTTTTAATGATGTTTAATAAAATTAATAAATAGCTTTATTGGAGTTCATTGTTATGTGTCAGTATAACATTTTATTCTTAACTAGTGGTGGGCCGTTATCGGCGTTAACGTGCTGCGTTAACGTGAGACTCTTATCGGGCGATAAAAAAAATATCGCCGTTAATCTATTCTCAAAGTTGGGTTGGGAGCTGGGTCTATCTAATTTGTGGTAACTTCACTGTACATGCTCACATCTCTACGAAATTTCAAATGTTTAAAAAGAATCACGCCCCACACTCATAGCGCCACTTACTGGCAACAGGAAGTGATCCTTCAATGAATCAGCCTCCATGCTGCATTTCACCTACATGTACGAAATTTTTGTGGCACATCTGTCATCCCAAGACACACAAAAAAAAAGCCTCTTGGAGCCATACCCTAAACTCTACAGTAAGTCCCCCATTTTGATTTGAAAGTGTAATTTTAGCTTTTTACAGGCTCCATACTTTAACAAACTCCTCTTAAAGAATTAATCCGATTGACTGCAAAGTTTTACTGTGCAATCTAAAGGCATTGATGATGAAAAGCTATGCTCTGGGTGAGTTTTTTTCAAAGGGCGTGTGAGTAGCGTGTCGTCAAAAATCGATGATTTGCCATGAAACACATTACACACTACAAGCCAATATTCACTCAGTGCCTAGCACCACCTACTGAGTTCTGTGTTATAATCATCATCAGAATCAGAAACAGCTTTATTGCCAGGTATATTCTGCACATACGAGGAATTTGACAATAATTAATAAGACAATAATACAGTATACAATAAGACAATAGTAATCAAACACAGGCTATAGTATAGAGAACACATATATACACACTATGAACAAAAACAGACAGATTGAGACATTAGTGCAATAGTGCAATGAACAGAGTCCAAAGGATGCAGGAGAAAAATTATTATTACCATTATTGTTATTATCATGTATATGTCGGAGGTGGATGTGATATAGTGATGGCAAGTTTGAGTCTTTTGACAGACTTGTTCATTCAAAACTCGTTCATTAAAATGAACTAATCTTCTTTTGAGTCATTTTGTTTATTTGAACTAGGCTGGTTATTGTGGCACTGCAGCCCTCTAGTAGGCGATTAAAAAACAGCGCTGTTCTCAAACACGGAACGCTGCCTGGCTTGCTTTATTTGACAATTTTTTATGTGAAGTATAATGCACAAATTCACCTCTTGATAACTGTATATCATCATTATTTAAACCCCCCTGGGCCCACAACTAAATTCAAACCATGTAAAAACGACAGAAATATGTTGTCAATATACCATCCACTACTCCGCCTAAATCCTTTTTACTTTCCCAAGTATACAACCAGACCAGCCATTTAAAGGCTTATGTACATAATTACTATCATTATCTCTAAAGTGCTCATTCATACAGCAGCCTAACGTCCCTATCCATGAGTAAAATATTAATATCAGATTTGCAGTAAATATATTGAAGTAATAAGCTTGATACACTATATGAATAAACACACCTTATTAAATTCAACCAATTTAATAATAATCTGGATCGAGCCACCAAGAGAGAGGAACAAAGAAATAAACACATATAAATGCAGCAGTTTGGCAGTTCTGGACGCAGAATGGGCCACATCAGGTCCGGATTCTGCAGACAAAGAGAAACACACATGAGCACATCGCTCTCAAACACTGCAGGTTGTTCACCAGTCAAGAGCTGTGAAACAACAGCACGGCTCTGTTGGTAAATAAAAAGGAAAAGTTATGTTCCGTCCTCTGGCGGACCCGGATCAGCTGTTAGCTGTTTACACGGCTAATGCTAACGTTGCTACGTGGCTGTGTTTTAATGTTTTAATGACCGGGTCTGTTTGTTTTGGAGAGGAGACGACCTCTGAGGTAATTCAGGGCTCTGAAGTGGAGCCAGAATAACTCTCATCAGCTGTTAGCTGTAATGTTAAACACTAGCAGGACTAAAGTTACAGTGCGGCTGTGTTAAAACTATAAGTTAGCACAACATCACTGCGCTGTAATAATGTTATGCTTTATAAAATGTCGCATAATTAACAAAATAGCTATATAATATCAGTCCAGTGACTGTTACCTGACAGCCGACCTGCCTCTCATTCTCCAACGCTGGCAGTCACTCAACCTGCCGAGTGAACGAAAGACTGAGGAGGACCCATGTGAGCGGTGAACGAGTCGGTTTGAGTCAAACAGACCCACAGTTGAGAGTCGTGAACTAATCAATTCTGTTTCCTGTGCTGACGGAGCCCATGCAGCTGACGTGTGACGAGTGAATGTAAGAGTCCAAGATCCTTCACGCATGCGTGAAAATGAACGAATCACTCACTGAGACTACCCGTTCCTCCCGAGTCATATACACGATTAGGTCTAATGAACGAAACGTTCTTTGAACGACACAACACTAAACGACACAACACTAATGTGATATACAGGTGCACATGTATACAAGCATACATGTACACATGTACACAGTGTGATGAGTGGAAAGAACTAAGTATTATGTGTGGTGTTATGTACATGAGGTAGGTAGATTGGTATACAGTATGTTCAATATACAATATACAATATATGAACAGTATGAAGCTGTTCATCAGAGTGATGGCTTGTGGATAGAAACTGTTCTGCCTACCAAAGGGGGGGAGGTGGAAGAGGTTGTGTCCGGGGTGAGATGGATCTGCAGTGATGTTTCCTGCCTGTTTCCTGACTCTGGAGTGGAGTTCTGAATGAATCTTTTCTACAGTCCTGACTGTCCGTTGTAGTCTGCTCCAGTCCTTTTTGGTGGTAGATCCAAACCAGACAGTGATGGAGGTGCACAGGACACACTGGATGATGGCTGTGTAGAAGTGGATCAGCAGCTCCTTAGGCAGGTTGAGCTTCCTGAGCTGGCGCAGGAAGTACATCCTCTGCTGGGCCTTCTTGATGATGGTGGATGGATCCCAGAAACCTGAAGGATTCCACAGCAGACACAGAGCTGTTTAGAACGGTGATGGGGGGCAGAGTGGGGGGGCTCCATGGTCATCTCCACAGTTTTGAGCGTGTTAAGCTCTAAGTTTTTCTGGCTGCACCTGAGAGCCCGCTGATGATGAGGCCGATGACCGTCGACAACAAACTTCAGGAGTTTGACAGATGGGTCTCCTCCAGTGATCTGCTGAAGATTTGTCATTTGATTGAAATGAAAATTTCAGTGTGGTCCACACTTGATGTACTGGGACACAACATATAATTAGCGGGTGTTCCCTCGAGCTACATAGAGGACACAGGAAGTGACGTTAAAGTCTTTCATTAGATGTCCTAAATTCATGGTAATTCAGAGCCGTTGTGACGACCTCCAACAACTGCGCTGTGGTTATGGCACGAGGGCCCTTCCAACGCTGCTTGCAGCTTTAATTCTTAAGTTTGTGCTGTTTTTTCCCAGCATACGTCTTTAATTTAATAATGTCAGTTTAGCAGTTGCGGAGCCTTCTGTGAAATAAAAGGCTGGCTGAGGAAAATGCCACTTTTAAATCAACTTTTCCTCTCCTTTATTGAGTTATGTATCTTTTTTGTGCATGGGTTTGCAAAGTTAAAAAGCCCAAAGTCCACCCCAAAGGGAGTTCCCATCTCCCACAGAAAACACTGCTCTGAACTGCCTGAAAACTGCTGAATTTTAGTCCAGCCTTTTTTCTGTTACCATGTTACATCACATCATTACAGGTCATAAGCTCAGCAGCTAGTCAGACACGCCCTCAAAAACACAGATGGAAAAACACACTAGGCTGCAGCCCACACAGCGACATGACGTCCGCCCGCTGCCTCCCCTCACCCCTACTCTCACTACCGACACTGAACATAAAGCTGTTACTGTTATGTAGAGACACAACGTTAGATATTAAAGATAAATGTGTTACAGATTAAAAACTCACCACTCTGAAACTCTTGCTCCAATCTTGGTTGCTAAGCTAGTTCAAGAACATGTACAGCTGAACCGAATCGAAGCCGTGTTTTGCCGGCTTCTCACGACCCACCCTACTCTGCTTCTGTTTGGCTAGTAGTCCTTAACTAGGAACTGCACATGTGCAACTTCCAACAAAGATCTTTTAGAAGTGAGATGCATCCCTCTGTAGCTAAAACAGAGTGGTCAAAACACAGGGTGAAAAGACGTGCTGCAGCAATGTGTATTATGACAAAAAAAAATTTTTTTAAACTTAAACCATGTAAACCTGTTTTGGTACAACCCCTAAAAAAATAATGAACCTGAAAATGAGCATAACATGACCAATTTAATGTAATGTAATGGAAATGTATAATTTATTTTCTAAGAAATACACTATATGATATAATACTGTAATAACGTAATTTGGTTCATATATATATATATATATATATATATATATATATATATTATAAGGGAAATAAAAAAATGCTGAAATAACTTCTAAATTCAGTACATTTTTGTCATCTTAAAATAGTAACAATAACTATTTCTTCTAATTAGAGACTAAGAGGGGGAATTAAAGACATATGAAAAGCTACATTACATTTTTAGTTAAAATAAAGTGTTTGTTTAGCAGTAATGTTTTTGTGTGTTTAAATTCATTAAAAGTCAGAATTCAGTCTCAGAAATCACAACTCTACACTATACAAGCTCACTGTGGTTGAACAGGTAAAGTGCTGGCAGGGTCATGTGTCAGGACTAGAGCTCACCTGGAGAAACAGTGAGCCGCAGTCAGAACCCACTGGTTGTTGATCAGGGAGCCTCCACAGAAATGAGATCCGCAACTGTGCAGACTGGCCTGCCAGGGCCACGACCCTGCAGAAGCATTCGTCCCTTCTACGATCCTGGTGTTTAGCGGCGCAGTGCCACAAACTGGAGGGAAACAATCAGAATTCATGTAACCACTGCAAGAACAATGCCTTGTTGGTCTATTGTTTCTTTCTGGGATGTTATCTTCTGTCATGTGTGTTTCGGATTTGTTTTAAAGGTCCAATATTATATTAATATTAATGTTAATTTAGTGGAGTGGAAATTTTGGCCTTCTCAAGCTTCCTCAAGAAATATAGTCGTTTCTGAGCTTTCTTCACCAGCGTGGAGATGTGAGATGACCATGTCAGATTCTCTGTGATGCTGATTCCAAGGAACCTGAAACTGTTCACCTGCTCCACCTCAGCTCCACTGATGTAGGCAGGAGTGTGTGTCTTTATCTCCTGTTTCCTAAAATCAATGATCAGCTCCTTGGTTTTCCTGACGTTGAGCAGTCGGTTGTTCTCTGAGCACCACTCTGCAAGATTATGAGTTTCCTCCCGATATGAAGTCTCATTGTTGTTTGAAATGCGTCCGATGATGGTGGTGTCGTCCGCAAACTTCCCCATGTTCTCTCCATGTCGGGGGATGCTGTCGAGGGTATACAGTGTGAACAGGAGTGGGCCTAGCACACAGCTCTGTGGCTCCGGTGTTGAGTGCTAGAGTGGAGGAGGTGAGTCCACCAATCCGAAATGACTGGGGTCTGTGGGGTTTGTGAGGAGTCCAATATCCAATAGCAGAGTGTTTAGTATTTAAGTATTGAGTGCTGAGTTTGCTGATCAGTTTCATGGGGAGATTGTGTTGAGCTAAAATCCACAATAATGAAGGTGTTGTTTTTCTCAAGGTGTGTGAGGGCTGAGTGGAGGGCAGTGGAGATGGCATCCTCTGTGGATCTGTTGGTTCTGAAGGCAAACTGGTGAGGGTCCAGGCTGGCTGGGTTGTTTATGTGCTGAAGAACCAGTTTCTCAAAGCACTTATGGGGGTAAATTGATGTCAACATCATTGTAAAGACAGACTAGAGTCACAAATACATACAACAATTTGTGAACACTATCCACAAATAGATTCTAGATCCACAAACAAACTCTTCATGATCCACAAATAGAAATCAGGGACTTATACTTAAAAACCAGAATTTTAATGAATACAAAATGATTTGTCTTTGTGTGAGGGTCATATTCAATTTGTTTTGCGTTTGTTTTCAGTATTTTTACTATGACTATGTATGCTGCTCTCGCTATCCTATATGGTCTGGATTGTAGCACTCTTAGAGCAAAGAGAGAAAATCTAAGAAAGACAAACGCCACTTTTTAAATTCCTGAATGGAATTCTATGGGGAAAGCCCATAACACCAAAGATAGTGGTTGTATGCACATATCCCGCCCCTCCTGCGAGCAAGCCAGTCGTCTGCTTTTAAACAACCGAGAGGTGAAGCATATTATGCCAGTTTTATAGTGACTACAAAGAAGCACTCTGGATAGATAGATAAATGAAGCCTATGTCGTGAAACCTTTCGCATGCACATTAGAAGTATAACCTGTGGGGAAAAACTGTTTTTAAACTGTATTTTAGGGAAAAGTCATCAAACATATCAAAGTTTTTTTTCATCAGATTTTACTCATGAGTAAATACATGCAGTTTTTATGTCCAGGTGACCATTGAAAGTGCAGTAATAGCTCTCTCCCCATCAATTTAGGTAGGGGCCTGATCATGTTACTCCGAAATAACTGCCCTGTGGCCTTACCGAGATAGCTGCTGAGTGGCAGGACTTGGAACCAGTTTCTGCCGAAGTCTCTCTTGTACTGTGTAATTGCAGAAATAATTGTTGTCGGCATATTGCTTAGTTGTTAGTGTGCTTAGTTTTTGCGGTTCATTAGAGCCATCTTGTAAGGTAATTTATGGGAGATTACTGCAAATAGGGGTCTGTCTTACAAACGTACGGACTCATTGACTCACGCAAAGTATGTGCCGCCTGCTGGGCAAATGCAAACTTCACTTAGAGCACTAATAAAATTGCTGGGGTATCTCTAGGAAGTATACTACAATTTCAAACAAAAAAAACAAAATCTACAATCTTTCCAGATCGCATGGGTTAGCAAAAGTGAAACGGGACTGCAACATACATAGTATGTAAATACTGAACTGTATAACAAAGGCACTCTTCACCAACCAAACTATGAAAGTCCACACAAGATTACATGCGGAGAAGATAATGTCCATGTTTCAGATCTTATTTTGAAATGCTTATAGAGGCATTACAGTTTTACCACAGAGTGTGAATATGATCTACATTTATTGTAAAAACAATTCCAAAATGATTTGTGGTTAAATGCAAAGCCTGCCCTCCAACATGCGGGGCTGAAAGGAACAAAACGTTTATGTCCCAAAAACCTGTTCAAAATGAGAGACAGACAGGAAGTAAAAAAAGTGAGCGTAAATCTTTGACTTACCATCTAGTTGTGACTGAGACTCTGAAAATAACAAAAACAAACAGAAAACACTTTTGAAACAACAACTTTGTATTTATATGTAAATGACTTGGGCTACATTGACATGTTGTATTTACATGGGTGGAAATTTGTGATCATCTGTAACATTTATTACTAAACTCAAACGCAAAGATTATTGAATAGTGACACTTTAAACCCGGTCCTTAGCTAACAGCCAGGGGAAATAATTTCCCTGTGAGAGAAATACAAACTGGGGAGGATGGACTGAAATGCATTGCATTGACTTTGTATGTAAACTCACCACCCTGAAAACTCGGGATATAACACAACTGAACTTACTGACAAATTTCAGCTCTTATTCAACTTAAACTAATATCATTACTTTATTATTATTATTTACATAAGATAATAAAGTAACTTATGGACTTGAAATTATTTTGTGTCTGTTTCATGCTGGCTTGTATAGGTAAAGCTTAAGACTTTTGTTTTGTACTTTTCATTGCTACAGCTTTGTAAAAAATGTAAATAAATTCAGGATTTCCACTAGTACGTGATACTTTTTCCTCTAACAACTACCAGACAGCAGTCATCAGATCTCAAACATGATTAGTTCAGGTGTGCACAGTGAGGAGGGTTCTTACCTTGTGTCAGGAGAGTCAGCAGAGCTGCCACACAGATCACTTTGTAGAAAGCCATAACTGTAAATGCATATCATCAGAGCTGCACCACCATAAATAACCTTCTTCTCCCCTCCCTCTCACTTTCAGTTTACCTCCAACACACCTGTCCAATGACACACCTGACACCTCACTTATCACTTGTTTTACATGAATTGTGTTTAATTTGAAAGGCACTCTGTACAGCGGCTTCACACAATGCAGAGAGACTCACTCTGTTGATGTTTTGGAACATTGTGTTATCTGCCAGCATGTTATCTGTGAAGGTTCTCAGTCATCCATGTCAAAGTTATCCAAGTAAAGTTATAATCAAAGGCAACTGGACTTGGTTTAAGATACTAGAAGACGTTTCATCCCTCATCCAAGAGACTTCTTCAGGTTAGACTGACTGGTAGGGAAACTGCAGACACGTTTTCAAAACTATGTCTCTTTTTTTCAAAACTTTAAACACAATTCCCAAAACTGCTCACTCCAAAATACAAATTGCCTCATATCTCATTTAAAATGAAACACTGCATTCGAAATGCCATAAACACATCTCAAAATTAAGTATTGCATCAAATGGAATGAAACACCTTAGTCCTATTGGTAAATTTTTGTATATACCATGCCCACACTGCTGTTCTAAATCTAAAGCTTCTTGGTATTTCATAGGCTTATACATATCCATACAATATTCTAGAGTTAAAGTGATCTGCTGAGAGCTGTTGAAAGGTACACTGTAAACACCAATGCCATGTTGAAACTGAAAATATTTATTTGGCAAAGCATTGCTATACAGTAGCAGTGTGTGTGTGTGTGGGGGGGGACCCGATCCACAACAGGATGGCTTGGAGCTACAAATGTTTATGCAATAGTTTGCAGTAAATACGTATTTTACGGTACGATACTGTAATGCTGAAATAGTCATTAGATAGTAGTGACCTGTTCTCATTTCTGAAGGTTTAAATTATGGACGCCACTCTAAAGCGACTCAAGTTAGGCTGTTCCCCCCTCCCAATGCACTTGCACGTTAGTACGCGCATAAAATGACTTTGAGTTAACGAGAGATTCCTGCCGGCAGTGCACATATCAAAACAAAGCAAGCAGCTCAGAACGCTCCAAAATGGACATTAGGTTACAATGGTTACTGGTTACAGACCCCAGCTGCTTCATCCACGCCTATAAACCCAAACTCTGAATCTCAAAAGATGGTAAGTTCTACTCAAGCGGGAAGCTTCCTGTCTACAATATGAAGCGAATGCGGAAGTCTCTGAAACCTGCATTCTATTGAAAATCCAGCAGGGCAAGGCAAGGCAAGTTTATTTGTATAGCACATTTCAACAACAAGGTAATTCAAAGTGCTTTACATAAAACCTAAAAGCAACAGGGAAATATAAAAAAGTTTAAAAGCAACATAAAATATAATAAAAGTTACAGTGTTACAATCAGGGTTAAAAGAGTAAAATGGAAAATAAAAACAGGCTGAGGGGTTGAGCAAATAATTTAGTTACAATAATTCTGAAAAGAGAATAAACAGAGAAGTACACTTAATCTACTCTCTCTAGCTAGTCTGTACTCGGGTCCATAGCAATCTTTGGGTCCACTGAAACTCCAAAAACCCTTAAACACTACAGAGAAACCAGGACATGTCTGTCTGCAGGCCACTTTGATCCAGTTATACTCTGGACCCACTGGCACGTTTACAGGTGGACAGAGGTTCCTGCAAATCACTCAGGCGCGAGATTTAAGACCACTTCCTTCACTCTGTTCAGTCTCACTGTCATTATATTTCCACTCAATTACCTACTCATTTCTCACTGTGTAAATATTTCATTAAAAGCAATGGTAAAAAAAAAAGAAGCTAAAAACAAAGAAAAAGAAAACAGGACAGTAAAAGTTACAGTGCAGTGTAAGTTATCAATAAAAAGAAAAATCTTCAACATTTAATTAAAAGCAGTGGTAAAAAGAAAAGTCTTCAGTCTTAATTTAAAAGAACTGACTGTTTCAGCAGACCTGCAGTTATCTGGGAGTTTGTTCCAGATATACGGAGCATAATAACTGAACGCTGCTTCTCCTTGTTTAGTTTTGACTCTGGGGACAGAAAGCAGACCTGATCCCAGACGACCTGACAGGTCTGGATGGTTCATAACGAAGCAGAAATGTTTTTTGACCCTAAACCATTTAGTGCTTTATAAACTAACAGCAGGACTTTGAAGTCAAAAACAAAAACAAAAACAATAACTTCAGTTTTATCCTTGTTTAATTGAAGAAAATTCTGGCACATCCAATCGTTGACCTGCTCAATACAGTTACTCAGCGCCTGTATGGGATCATAGTCCCCTGGTGAAATGGTAATGGTAAATGGTAAATGTAAATCTGTGTCATCTGCATAATTATGGTAACATATTTTGTTGTTTTTCATTATCTGAGCCAGTGGAAGCATGTAAATGTTAAACAAAAGAGGCCCCAGAATGGAGCCTTGGGGAACTCCACATGTAATTTTTGTCAGCTCAGATGTGTGATTACCTATAGACACAAAGTAGTCCTTGTCCTTTAAGTAGGATTCAAACCAGTTTAGTACTGTGCCATAAAGTCCAACCCAGTTTTCAAGTCTGTCTAGTAATATGTTGTGGTCGACTGTGTCGAATGCAACACTGAGATCCAATAATACTAAGACTGAAATTCTGCCTGTCAGTGTTTAAATGGATGTCATTGAATACCTTAACAAGAGCCGTCTCAGTGCTGTGGTGTGGTCGAAAACCTGACTGGAAGACATCAAAATAGTTATTTAGTGCCAAGAAAGCACTAAGCTGTTGAAAAACATAAAAACTACTTAAAAATGGGAGATTTGATATGGGCCTATAATTGCTCATTAGTGAACTATCTAGATTGCTCTTTTTTAAGAGTGGCTTAATGACTGCAGTTTTCAGGGCCTGTGGGAAAAAACCTGAGAGGAGAGACATGTTGACAATTTGTAGTAAATCTGAGGCCATGCATTTAGACACATTTTTGAAAAAACCTCTTGGCAAAATATCAAGGCAACATGAGGAGGATTTCAGATGTTGTATTATGTCCTCCAGGTTTTTATGGTTAATAGAATCAAATTGTCTCATGCTATATGAATTGTTTTTAAGTGGACACAGGGACAAGACATATCCTGTTACTGGCATTGGAGGCACTGATTGCTTGTCTAATTGTTTGAATTTTGTCTGTGAAGAAGGAAGCAAATTCATTGCAGGCCCCGGTGGATAGAAGTTCAGAGGCTACAGACACAGGAGGGTTGGTTAGCCTGTCGACAGCAGCAAACAGGGCACGTGCATTATTAGTGTTTTTGGTGATGATGTCAGAGAAGAAGGTCCGCCTTACATTTCTCAGCTCTAAATTATAAGCGAAGTCTCTCTTTATAGATGTCATAATGAACCTGGAGATTTTTTTTTACGCCACCTGTGTTCAGCTTTTCGACACTCTCTTTTTTGATTTCTAACCAGCGTGGCATTTCTCCACGGAGATCTTCTCTTACCAGAGACCACCTTCACCATGGCTGGTGCAATGGCATCAATAACATTTGTAATTTTAGAACTGAAATTATGTACAAAGGGGCAACTCTTCTGGTCCGGCTCCATTAGAAATAATGGGAAAATGACCCTTCTTCTCAGCTAAATAATTACCCCAGTACACTTTCCTGATGAGTTTATGGTCTCAGTTGCTAGTTTCAAGTCTTCTTCAATACAAAATGATGTTCATTTAGTAAATTATGGTCCCATTTATTTAGGGCGGGATTATCTATGATTGACAAGTCGGCGACCTGTCAATCAGGCTAGAGCGGACTCGTACCCTCCGCACTGTGTAAATTTAACTAGCTGAAAAAGCTTATTAGGAGTTGGCTGTTCACTTTCAGGAAGAGCCCAGCCCCACCCTCCCCCATCATCCTAAGTGACTCCCTTGTCACCACTGTGGACTCCTTCCGCTTCCTGAGCACCATCATCTCTGTTTGTACTTTGAGTACATTGAGCACCATCATCTCTGTTTGTACTTTGAGTACATTTAGTTTTAAGACTGTAGTTCGCTAGACAAAGTTACCAGCCCAGTTAAAATGACAGTTAACGTGAGTTACAGTTGCACCTAGCTAAGCAAGCTAGCTAGCTCCGCACACGGCCGTAAGCTCCGCCGTATCGTCACTTCCGGGCACTTCGTGGTTGCAAAAACTCGACATGGCGGCACCCTATCGGCCAAACTCGAGGCTTCAAAACGGCCGTCCACAAACCAACGGGTGACGTCACGATGACTACGTACATTTCTTATATACAGTCTATGGTTCTACTACATCCACATGTCAATAAACGAGTCTGCCGATCCCATACAGCAAGATAAAGACAGCCCAGTTATGTCGAGTTTCGCATGCCTGCCTAGAATTGCATGCACCTCCAAAAACTGCTTTTAAATGCTTCATCATCAATGGTGATAAATGAAACAAAGTATATATTTTATGAACATTTAGAGTAATTAATAATTTATCACACTTAGTAGAAGTAGCATTCCTTATGATTCAGCAAAAATATGTGGTGATAACCGCATTCTGCACAACACCTGCTAGTTCGTGGCTGAGCATTTTTAGAGGCTGGCTAGTCTTAGGTGTGAGTTAAGTGGAAAGGATTGAACGGGTTGGGAAAGGCTGGACCGTTGGTCTTGTTGTGTCTGGGTGCGACATCGTAGACCCGGAAGTGCTCGTAGAGCTTTGGAAAGGAGAATGGTGTTTTGCTGCCAGTCCGTTAACAGTTGAAAAGTTTTCTTTAATGTGGGCCCTAGAAAAAGCTGATTTGCTGGCTGGGTGTGTGCCTTGGGTGAGCAACTGTCCACTAGGATATGTTTGAAGCTGAGGGAGTATTGGTGTTAGTAGTGGACTCAGGTCTTAACGGCTTTGATTGTTGTTCAGCATCTGAATCTCGGGCGGATCGGAGAGGAGCGTCTGGAAGGGTGGATGTCCCTCAAACACCTGCAGACGGGATCTCCTCCTGGAGCTGCTGAACGGCAAAGGCCCGAGTATAGTAGAGTTGATGGAGGCCAAGAGCACAGGGGATGCTGAGCGCTACCCAAGTTTCTGACCTGGTTGGAAGTGAGAAGATGGTGAGGGTTCCAAGGTTTCAGTAGTCTGCTGAATTTCTTTAAAGTGATCGCTGTCTGAGGGGTT